TGTGCGCTTTTTTCTGTTTGCGCTTTTTTCCATTTGCGCTTTTTTCTCTTTGCGCTTTTTTCTCTTTGCGCTTTTTTCCGTTTGCGCTTTTTTCTGTTTGCGCTTTTTTCTGTGTGCGCTTTTTTCTGTTTGCGCTTTTTTCCGTTTGCGCTTTTTTCCGTTTGCGCTTTTTTCCGTGTGCGCTTTTTTCTGTTTGCGCTTTTTTCTCTTTGCGCTTTTTTCCGTTTGCGCTTTTTTCTGTTTGCGCTTTTTTCTGTGTGCGCTTTTTTCTCTTTGCGCTTTTTTCTATTTGGGCTTTTTTCTCTTTGCGCTTTTTTCCGTTTGCGCTTTTGTCTCTTTGCGCTTTTTTCCGTGTGCGCTTTTTTCTCTTTGCGCTTTTTTCCGTTTGCGCTTTTTTCTGTTTGCGCTTTTTTCTGTGTGCGCTTTTTTCTCTTTGCGCTTTTTTCTGTTTGCGCTTTTTTCTCTTAGCGCTTTTTTTCTGTGTGCGCTTTTTTCTCTTTGCGCTTTTTTCCGTGTGCGCTTTTTTCCGTTGCGCTTTTTGATTTGCGCTTTTTTTCCGTTGCGGTTCTTTCCGGCCACCCCTGTGTCCAATGATGCTAATATATGGGAGTGTACTGTATCAAATTATGCTAATATATGGGAGTGTCCTGTATCTAATTATGCTAATATATGGGAGTGTCCTGTATCCAAGGACATTTATTTATGGGAGTGTCCCAAGTGAGCCCAGGTACCACACGACCCCACCACCACACGACCCCACCACCACACGACCCCACCACCACACGACCCCACAACACGACCCCACCACCACACGACCCCACCACCACACGACCCCACCACCACACGACCCCGCCACACGACCCCACCACACGACCCCACCACACGACCCCACCACACGACCCCACCACCACACGACCCTGCCATCACACGACCCCACCACACGACCCCACTACACGGCCCCACCACACGACCCCACCACAAGACACCACCACCACACCACCCCACCACACGACCCCACTACACGACGCCACCACACGACCCCACCACACGACCCCACCACACGACCCCTCCACACGATCCCGGTTTCCCACACCACAGTACCACACAGCCACATCTAAAAACAGATCCTTGACATGAACTAAAGATTTTGTTTTCTTACATTTTATCTCAACTCTACCCCGCCTTCTCCACCCCCCCCCCCCCCGCCCACCCACCAGCTGATATTATTCCAATCATCTGAAATTGTTATTTTTAATCCTTAGCTTTTACACAGTGAGTGAGTTTCAATTATCCCCCTCAAATAAAAAAAGAAAGATAACAACTTTTTGTACAGCTTGCCGTGAAGCTGGGAGGTCGAAAAAATCTTGTCGAGTTTTTAGCTCGTCTAGTGATCAGCTGATTAGGGTGATAAGGTAAAAGATTTTGTCGATACATTTTGTTGTAGCTCAACAATTGACGGGCGGTGTGTGCCTGTGTGTGTCTGTGTGTGTCTGTGTGTGTCTGTGTGTGTCTGTGTGTGTCTGTGTGTGTCTGTGTGTGTCTGTGTGTGTCTGTGTGTGTATGCGTGTAATACCGTGTGTCTGTGTGTATGTGTGTGTCTCCGTGTGTATGTGTGTATGTGTGGATTAGCGTGTGTATGTGTGTGTCTCCGTGTATATGTGTGTATTACCGTGTGTCTGTGTGTCTGCGTGTGTATGTGTGCTTTAGCATGTCAATACAAAAAACTACGACATAGGAAAGTATAGGAAAGTATAGGAAAGTATGTCTACTTCAAATTTAAAAACACCAAATGATAATTTGATGTAAAGGAATAATTAAATGTCATCCCATGTGACATGTGACATGTTGGCTGGACGTGAAAAATATCGAGCATTTCTGACGTCAACCATCAAGTTGCAGGCCACCTATGACGTCACAGCAGTAGTTCTAGAACTGACCAGATTTAAAGACCTGCCCTAACAGCTACCAGACACGGCGTCCATTAACCGACATGTAACCTTCACCTTTCTCAATAAGTGATTTCTTTCAAATACTTAACTTCGTGTTCAGACGAATGGGGCGGGGGGGGGGGGGATATAAACTTTTGTAGAGTGAGACTTTAAAACCCACCACACCTCAGGCCGGCTGAGATGGGAGGGGGGGGGGGGCTATAAACTTTTGTAGAGTGAGACTTTAAAACCGACCACACCTCAGACCGGCTGAGATGGGCCGTCCATCCAAACTTGTGTCCCGGGATGACACCAGAGAGATTACAGAGCGATTACAGCGCGATTACACCAGGCCGTTTGCATCAGGCAAAATCTCCAGTACCCAACTGTTCTTGGTTTCATCAACTCTGATTATGTATGTGCATCTACTAACAATTATTCAATATCTGAAAGGTACAGCGCCATCTCCCTTCCATTCCTAAAAATAGCAATTAAAACAATTAAATCAAAACGCAACTTAACGCCGGTAAGAAGAATCAGGCGAATGGTCTCAAGTTTCATCATTACATTTCTCTCAGCTTACATGTTGTCTATTATTTTCCTGATCTTTTGTGAGGCGAGAGTGAACTCAAATTTAGACAGGGAGGTAATCCCATGGCGAGAGTTGACTCAAATATAGACAGGGAGGTAATCCCATGGCGAGAGTTGACTCAAATATAGACAGGGAGGTAATCCCATGGCGAGAGTTGACTCAAATATAGACAGGGAGGTAATCAAATTTTCATGGAGAATTATTGTACATTAGGATGTTCAAGAGATCAGTCAAGACAATTAATTAGTACTGTGAATATAAATCTAAGCAATTAATTAGTACAGTTGTAGGCCTAGATTTAGTACTGTGGTAGGTCTAAGTGGCTCCCATTATTGGTAAAAACAACTGACTCCCATGATTTATGACGCCACTGACTCCCATTATTCGTGACGCCACTGACTCCCATTATTCGTGACGCCACTGACTCCCATTATTCGTGACGCCACTGACTCCCATTATTCGTGACGCCACTGACTCCCATTATTCGTGACGCCACTGACTCCCATTATTCGTGACGCCACTGACTCCCATTGTTGGTGACTGGCCAGTGAAACACGTGCCGCTCTAACGAACTGTCCGATCTCCAGGGTTTCCTGACGTCACTTCCGCCTGTCAGCTCCAATCACGATGTGCCGGATGTTTGACAGACAGGCTGTCATCTGTCATCTTGCTGCCTCTACTTTACCATCAGGGATGGATGTCCCTGTCGTCCCGCCCCCATCCAACGACCCCCCCCCTCCCCATTTACTATAATAAAGTTGAGCCTTACGTTTGTTTGCCTAGAAACCGTTTCTTTAGTGACACAGTCCAGTGTCACTGACTATCGTGGCTCTGTCACTGACACTAAGTTCCACTGACAATAGCCACTGCCTTATAATCCTGTCTTAGTGTCATTGCCTTATGTGCCACTGCCCATACATTATGTGCTCAGTGCCACTGCCTCTCAGTGCCACTGCCCCTCAGTGCCACTGCCCCTCAGTACCACTGCCTCTCAGTGCCACTGCCCTTAGTGTCCCCACTTGAAGCGCCACAGTAATTGGCACTGAGTCAAACTTAAACTTGGCGCCGATTTCTGCGTGGGCTTTTGTCAACTGGCTAGCTAGATCTAGAATCTCTAGGTGCTAAATAGTTTTTGCTTGATTGCAAAGGAGCTGCATTGTTTTGGCTGTTAGGAATGTTTGCATTGTTAGAGCTGTTGTAATGTTCTCTACACAAAGAATCGATGAGCTAGACTCATGAGGACCTTAGTTAGCCCTCCTGTAGTGGTTAAAAAATTATTATTTTAACTTGAGTGCTTTTTAATCGCGCGCCTGCTGGCTTGAAATCCAATTCGTTGAAGATCAGTTATCTCCCCGTACAAGGTAGAGCTGTCATCGGATTTACCGCCCCTGGTCTAACTCCGCTAGAAAGACGTCAGTCGAGACACAGAATAAAAGCTCGGGCAAACAGGGACCAAATCCAAATATTACCTCCCCTGTTATTCCTGGTGTGTACGCCATCTCTGAGGGGCAATAACTCTTCTACTTGACTGGAAGAATTGACAATACGATAGAAGCTGTTTTTAAAGGTCTCGTGATTTAAACTTTAAAGCCGTAGCATTGCTTTACGTGAACCAAATGTAGCTAATGTAAGATTGAGTCTCCACCTGTGTTGTTGCGTCCCTTCATGGGGTGGGGTGGTGGGGTAAGACTTGCTTCAGACAAACATACATTGCTGACAGAAATTGATCACATTTTAAAATATGATTGTTCATCAAAATGGCTAGGCTATAATTTATTTGGTATCACGTGACTAGAATGTAATTGATATCACGTGACTCAGTTAATTTCACACAACCTCGGCTGATTGGCTTAATTAACTCATCTAATGTGGAGAGCCCTGCACTGTTGGCACGACGCAATTTTATATTGCACCACGCAATCATTTCTTGCACCCACACGTTACTTGCATCTAGCGCAAGGGGCGGGGGTAAGCGTAGAGGTTAAGACAGGTTAAAGGTTAAGACAGGTTGTTTTTTTATGAGCAACAAAGTGAACAAAAAACACTTTATTTTTCTGTAAGTCACGTGATCAGACTTTAAAACAGGATTCGAACCTCTAAACCTCGGGATCCACGCTTGTTCTGGCAATCTAGGCATGGTCCAAAAGCTTCCCCCCCCCCCCACCAGCCATCAAGAACTTGGGGCCGCAAACAGCCATGAAGATTTAGAGACCCGAACCCATGTCAACTAATTCCCCACGACGCCATCCTGCCATCCAACCACGCGGACAACATCGTAACAAACGTAACCAGGTCAACGACTGAGTTCAACCTTTAGGTTTGACCTCAGTGACCTAAGTCCAGTAACTCTAAAGTCGTCCTAATCAAGCGACAGACATTTATCTAACACCGGTCCATTAATGACTACCTGTTTATTTATACCATTGTTTAAGCTTTAATGATATTTAAACAAAAATATGGATTTAAAAAAAAAAACTTACTTAACTCAGCTTACCTCTGTAAGTGAGGTCCAGTTGACTGTAGGACATACACGTAGACCTATGTAAGCCGCGAGCGTTGAAACGGGCGGGTAACTCTCAACCACAAGAAGAATTCGTTCAACTTATTCCCCTTATCGAACACCGCTACGTTAAGGGTATCGATTTTAATTACCGGAAATGACGTGAGACGATTCCTAGTTGTATTCGATATGTCCTGTCAGCTTTTGTATGTTAATGGCCGGCGTTAAAAAATCTTTTAATCAAATGTATTCAGACGTTTTGCCCATGCGCAGTAAGGCGTACATTTCAACCCGCCATTAAGCCATTGGTTCTGTGTTCCAGTAGAAACAGGCCATTGAATGTTGAAGCCAGGAATGTAGACAACTTGTTGGGGTTTGGTCTTTTCAAACACGGACACTAGCGTCAACGATTAGCGCGCTTGAAAATAAACTAAACGACCATTGACAAAGACGGGGAGAGTATTAGAGGGATTAGCAAGATAATCCAGCGAACTAAAGTCAAACAGGCTAGTGGAGAGAATTAGAGGGATTAATAAGACATTCAAACTATCTACAGGCTAGTTAACAACACCGGTGGCGTCGCCAGGAGGGGAGTGGATACTGGGGGGGGGGGGGAGGGGGCATTTTAGTCTTTTTAAGGCTGTATAAAAATGCACGGCGGAACTAGCGTCAGCCGCTTTATGTAGTATTCCAAGACAAATATCTTACAGTCAAAATATTCCAAGACAAATATCTCACAGTCAAAATATTCCAAGACAAATATCTCACAGTCAAAATATTCCAAGACAAATATCTCACAGTCAAAATATTCCAAGACAAATATCTTACAGTCAAAATATTCCAAGACAAATATCTCACGGTCAAAATATTGTCAAGACAAATATCTCAGTCAAACTATTCCAAGACAAATATCTCACAGTCAAAATATTCCAAGACAAATATCTCACAGTCAAAATATTGTCAAGACAAATATCTCAGTCAAACTATTCCAAGACAAATATCTCACAGTCAAAATATTGTCAAGACAAATATCTCACAGTCAAAATATTGTCAAGACAAATATCTCACAGTCAAACTATTCCAAGACAAATATCTCACAGTCAAAATATTCCAAGACAAATATCTCACAGTCAAAATATTGTCAAGACAAATATCTCACAGTCAAAATATTGTCAAGACAAATATCTTACAGTCAAAATATTTTAAGACAAATATCTCACAGTCAAAAAATTCCAAGACAAATATCTCACAGTCAAAATATTCCAAGACAAATCTCACAGTCAAAATATTTTAAGACAAATATCTTACAGTCAAAATATTTTAAGACAAATATCTTACAGTCAAAATATTGTCAAGACAAATATCTTACAGTCAAAATATTCCAAGACAAATCTTACAGTCAAAATATTCCAAGACAAATATCACGAGAAAGTGTATCCAAACTTAAATATTACCAATGACGAACCAAACAGTGAAATAAACGGAACATTATACGTTATAAAAATCTCATATCTCATACAATATAAACGATTGTACAGCAAGATATATGTCGTACTAAATTCCATACAATATAAACGATTGTACATAAAGTTATATGTCGTAATATATAATTATACCCTATTCTATGTGAATGCTTCTACAGAGAATTGATTCTTCATAAGAAACCAACGAACTATTTGTAGATCAAAAATATCAAACTACAGTTAGATCTATATGCAATTTAATTATACGGTATGAGGGGAATCGAAAAACACATTAGAGCCTCTTTATGACTTTTCGACATGTAGATTTATTAGTGTGGTTAGTTTTTGGCAGGACTTGCCCGAGTGCCGTCCCCTGTGACAGGGAAATGTATTCCTCCCCCTGTTTGTATGCCAGTCAATCGGTATTGATTGGCCCGCGACACGGCCGGACGGTGGGGAGGGGGGGGGGGGTGAGGTTTTTAGCTGTCCCCTGAGACAGGTAAAAAATGACAGGTGCCTGCCAATACAAAATGGAGATCTGGGTTTAGATAATAAAATGATTAGTCCGCTACTATTTTATTTCCCTCTGTACACGACACGTGACCTCACTGACACACGAACGTACAAATTATCTTAGAAAGTTGCTGACGTTAGGTTGAATGTACATTATATAGCCTATATATATATATATATATATATATATATATATATATATATATATATATATATAGAGAGAGAGAGAGAGAGAGAGAGAGAGAGAGAGAGAGAGAGAGAGAGAGAGAGAGACTATTATAATTACCTATCAGTCTCCGTGTTAAAGTAAATGACTATTTAAAAAAAATAATCAAGTTGATTTTTAAAAAATAAATAAACAGCTTGATTTAATAAAAATAAACAAGTGGATTTAAGAAAAGTAATATGGTTTAAAAATAAATATAATTAACAAGTAGACAGAGGCGTAGCGACCCTTCCCAGCGCCCGGGGACATACTTTCAATTTGGCGCCCCCTTGGGAGCAAATTTTCGATTTGCACCCACCCCCCCTCGAACTTTTCATTTGCACCCCCCCCCCCCCTCAAATTTTCGATTTGCACCCCCCCCCCCCTCGAACTTTTCATTTGCACCCCCCCCCCCCTCAAACTTTCAATTTGGCGCCCCCCCCCTAAGGTCGGCGCCCGGGGACATATGTCCCCCCGCCCCCCCCCCCCCTCGCTACGCTACTGCAAGTAGATCTTAAAAAGAATAAGTTGATTTAATAAAAAAATAAACAAATTAATTTTGAAATAATTCTATTAAAAACAAATTAGTTTCAAGGTATTTATCTGCAGTTAACAAATTTTCATTTTTTTCCCCAGGAGTTTCAAGGCATCTACCAGCAGTTCTTTCCCCACGGCAACCCGGATAAATTTGCTAGTTATGTCTTTAACGCCTTTGATGTTAACAAGGTAGAGTTGTGTCCCATTATTTCCTCGTTAATGTGCGGTTGCTTCCCTTGATTGCTGGTTTAGCTAGGGTTATGAAATAGGCTTACATCAGGGGACATTACTACACTGGCATTTGTGATATAAGATGATTCTGCTATGGATTCTGTATTTTGGTCTACAATTTAAAACTTTAGTAAAGTAATTAAATAAAAATACGCCATTGGTCTACAATTTAAACTTAAGTGAATTAATGAAATTAGGTAGCGCCATTGCTGATGTATTTTGTCTACAATTGAGACCTCTCTTCCTCAGGATGGTTTCATCTCATTCCCAGAGTTCATTCGTGCCTTATCCATCACGTCACGGGGGTCACTTGATGAAAAGTTGGACTGTAAGGTTTTCTTCTAGCTTGGGTTAGAACCTACACTTGACAAAAGTTGGACTGGAAGGTTTCCTTCTAGCTTGGGTTAGAACCTACACTTGACAAAAGTTGGACTGGAAGGTTTGCTTCTAGCTTGGGTTAGAACCTACACTTGACAAATGTTGGACTGGAAGGTTTCCTTCTAGCTTGGGTTAGAACCTACACTTGACAAAAGTTGGACTGGAAGGTTTCCTTCTAGCTTGGGTTAGAACCTACACTTGACAAAAGTTGGACTGGAAGGTTTGCTTCTAGCTTGGGTTAGAACCTACACTTGACAAAAGTTGGACTGGAAGGTTTCCTTCTAGCTTGGGTTAGAACCTACACTTGACAAAAGTTGGACTGGAAGGTTTCCTTCTAGCTTGGTTAAAACCTACACTTGACAAAAGTTGGACTGGAAGGTTTCCTTCTAGCTTGGGTTAGAACCTACACTTGACAAAAGTTGGACTGGAAGGTTTCCTTCTAGCTTGGGTTAGAACCTACACTTGACAAAAGTTGGACTGGAAGGTTTGCTTCTAGCTTGGGTTAGAACCTACACTTGACAAAAGTTGGACTGGAAGGTTTCCTTCTAGCTTGGGTTAGAACCTACACTTGACAAAAGTTGGACTGGAAGGTTTCCTTCTAGCTTGGTTAAAACCTACACTTGACAAAAGTTGGACTGGAAGGTTTCCTTCTAGCTTGGGTTAGAACCTACACTTGACAAAAGTTGGACTGGAAGGTTTCCTTCTAGCTTGGGTTAGAACCTACACTTGACAAAAGTTGGACTGGAAGGTTTCCTTCTAGCTTGGTTAAAACCTACACTTGACAAAAGTTGGACTGGAAGGTTTGCTTCTAGCTTGGGTTAGAACCTACACTTGACAAAAGTTGGACTGGAAGGTTTGCTTCTAGCTTGGGTTAGAACCTACACTTGACAAAAGTTGGACTGGAAGGTTTCCTTCTAGCTTGGGTTAGAACCTACACTTGACAAAAGTTGGACTGGAAGGTTTGCTTCTAGCTTGGGTTAGAACCTACACTTGACAAAAGTTGGACTGGAAGGTTTGCTTCTAGCTTGGGTTAGAACCTACACTTGACAAAAGTTGGACTGGAAGGTTTGCTTCTAGCTTGGGTTAGAACCTACACTTGACAAAAGTTGGACTGGAAGGTTTCCTTCTAGCTTGGGTTAGAACCTACACTTGACAAAAGTTGGACTGGAAGGTTTGCTTCTAGCTTGGGTTAGAACCTACACTTGACAAAAGTTGGACTGGAAGGTTTCCTTCTAGCTTGGGTTAGAACCTACACTTGACAAAAGTTGGACTGGAAGGTTTGCTTCTAGCTTGGGTTAGAACCTACACTTGACAAAAGTTGGACTGGAAGGTTTCCTTCTAGCTTGGGTTAGAACCTACACTTGACAAAAGTTGGACTGGAAGGTTTGCTTCTAGCTTGGGTTAGAACCTACAATTGACAAAAGTTGGACTGGAAGGTTTCCTTCTAGCTTGGGTTAGAACCTACACTTGACAAAAGTTGGACTGGAAGGTTTGCTTCTAGCTTGGGTTAGAACCTGTCTCTAGACGGGACGGTACTTTTAGCTCTTGAGCTGTGAATTGACTTATTCTGGTCACAGAGCTTAAAGTTAACACACAACCCGACTGTAACAAACCTTAGCTGAACCTGTTACCCATCTCGACTTTAATTCTTAGCTGAACCTACTTAAAGCTCCTGATTTCAGCTCTTCTACCATTTTCTACCAGTGGCATTTATCATGTATGACCTTGAAGGTTAAATTCTAAATATTTTTCTACCAGGGGCATTCAGCCTGTATGACCTTGACAACGACGGTTAAATCCTAACGTTATTCTACCAGGGGCATTCAGCCTGTATGACCTTGACAACGACGGCCAGATCACCAAGGGCGAGATGGGGGAGATCGTGGACGCCATCTACAGCATGGTCGGCAACCTGCTGGACCTGCCCAAAGACGAGGACACGCCCCAGAAGCGCGTGGAGAAAATATTTAAACAGATGGACCTGGTAAGTTAGAGAACTCTGGTTCAACAATTGGACCTGGTAAGTTAGAGAACTCTGGTTCAACAATTGGACCTGGTAAGTTAGAGAACTCTGGTTCAACAATTGGACCTGGTAAGTTAGAGAACTCTGGTTAGTAATTTATTAAACAAAAGAATCGGTCAGTTATCACCATAAGAGTTATATCAAGCTATAGCTATATAAAAACACGTTTTATTTCTCCCAACACTAGAACCACGACGATAAAACAAGTTTTATTTCTCTCTCTTCCCCCCCCTCCCCCCCCCAGAACCACGACGACAAACTAACACGGGAGGAGTTTAAAGAAGGATCCAAGTGTGACCCGTGGATCGTGCAGGCCTTGAGCATGGAGCTGCCCAACAACAGCCACTGACCTGTTGTTAGATGACCAGTAGCAGCCACTGACCTACTTTTACAGTAACAACGCCTGACCTACTTTTTAAATGACCAGAAACGATATGTGACCTACTTTTAAATGACCAGTAACAACACCTGACCTACTTTTTAAATGACCAGTAACAACACCTGACCTACTTTTTAAATGACCAGTGACAACGCGTGACATACTTTTAAAATGACCAGTAACAACACCTGACCTACTTTTAAAATGACCAGTGACAACGCGTGACATACTTTTAAAATGACCAGTAACAACACCTGACCTACTTTTAAAATGACCAGTGACAACGCGTGACATACTTTTAAAATGACCAGTAACAACACCTGACCTACTTTTTAAATGACCAGTAACAACACGTGACCTACTTTTAAAACGACCAGTACCAACGGCTGACCTGAATTAAAAATGTACCATAACACTGGGCTGAGACCATTGCCACGAAATGGATGACCTCTGGTTGAACCTGACCTGTCCATTTGTTCATTGATCCAAGTTTTAAGTTCTAAGGTCCACGCCACACTCTCTAAACAACCAAAGTCAAATAAGTCATACGTCAGTACAAAAGCTGTGTTTTAAAAAGTTTAAATAGAGAGATGTAACAAGCTCATCCATAGAGATCATTGGTGCAATACGCTACTCGGTCAGGATCGGTAACTCTTGATACAAGGGACATAATGACATTAAAAACAACTGACATCGATCTTGATATAAGGGGACATAATAACATTCATTTTAAACCTGACAAGATCTGTAACTTTTCATACATGGGTAAATAGAAAAAGCACTGCATTTAAAATTAAATTTAAAAAAAAAAACTGACAAGATCGGTCATAATACAAATTTTGTTTTACATTTTCTCAATGGCTATTATAGTACACCAGCCTCCCCCCTCCCCCCGCCTTTTTTCATTTGTAACTTATATTTTGCGTTCATCTGTTTCATTGACATCATTCTCGTCTAACATAAAAATGTTGTATGTGTTCTTTCAAAATGTAGCTCATCATGATGGTGTGTATTCAAGGATTTACAACTCCTATTGACATTGTCCTAATTATGATCAGAGCTTGCCACCTTCTCCCCTAACTGTGTGGACGTGATTGCCCAAACCACATTCTTCCAATGATTTTGTTTTAAGCACACATCCTTTCATCTTTCTTCCATACGATTCATCCCCACGCCGCCTCCGTATCAATAGAATGTTGCCAGGGGAAACAGCTCTCCTGTAATTTTTTTTTCACGATTGTCCAGCTAAAAAACAGGTTAGACACTAGATACTGTCAACAGAAATACCGAAACGTCTGTCCTGTTCAGCAGTCTAAAAACAACTTTTGACGTTCCTTTAAATTTTATTTTTCCCCCCACTTAACATGTTTTTTTTTTAAAATTGTACTTAACAATGCTGTCAATCAAATAATTTCGATTAGCATTTTATAAAAATAGTCTATTAGATGAATGTGTAGATACTGTCTACTTATGGAAACTCTGTACACTTTTTATTTGAACTCAAATTAATTAAACATGCATGTTAATTATTAATAAAGAACTATTTCTGACTCTCTGAATGAGTTTGTTTGGCGTAGAGACGTCTGAGTTCAAACCCCGGGCAGATGAGGCATGACAGCTGGGGGAAGCAGCTCATCTAGGAGTGACAAATGATAGGTGGGGGCAGCAACCCATCTAGGAGAGACAACTCCGAAATCTAACAACTGCTGCATTGTAGTTTGTTCTTGATTGGACGGAGGCCATGGATTTAAATCCAGAAAGAAAAGCAGGCTGAAATCTGAGTCAACGTCCAATATACGTTAATTGCAAGTTGATAGGTAATACTTGCGTTGGAGGAAATCACATTTTAATTTAGAAGACATCCGGGTCCTCATCTTTGGTTGCTGGTCTCATGGTGCGAGTGGATTAACTCAAAGTTTGATCTCATGGTGCGAGTGGATTAACTCAAAGTGTGATCACATGGTGCGAGTGGATTAACAGATTAGACCGGGCTCATGAGTTTTTTAGACTGTTCAGACTGCTAGACCGTTTCATGTAAGGTCCGGTGGTAAATTAATATCCAATGGATTGCTGGGTAGATCAATGGTGCACAAGTGTAGGATATATAGTGGTGCACAAATGTAGGCTATACAATGGTGCACAGCGGGAGGCTGTATAATGTTTTTCCTCATAATTTGTGTTTTGCCATTGATATTTTGCTATCACACTGTAGAAAATCTAAGTAAGGATGTAGTCCGTTTGACAACCTAATCAAATCGATACTGTCCTAATCAAATCGATACCGTCCAGATGAAGAAATGTGAAAGTCTGACCAACCAATCAGTCGGCTGTAGAATCAATTTTAGCGACCCGAGTACAATCAACTTTAGACACTGGAAACACATTGCGATGTTTTTTATAAAATCAGAAACACACACATTTAGTACGTGAAAATGTGTGTGTGGCTCTTCTGTCATGTCGGATTATATTCTTTTTAAAATTCTTCTGTACTGGCTGCTTGGGGAGATTTTTTGTTTTTAATTGGACAGACCGCAGGAACACAAAAAGGTTGCATACATGGGACGATTGGACACAACATATCGTTGGGTCAAGCTAATAGATTGTTGCAAGATAGAATGTAATGGCGACGTCGTGTACACCTCCACATATTGGGCCTGACATCAACAAGGACATGTGTACATACATTTCAACCATCTTTAATGACAAATGCTGCATACGTCACTGTCTTCTAGTATTCTCATCAAGGCCAACTCCAGTTATTTATGTAACTCTCTAACTAAAGGGGTTAGAGCTGCACAACTTATCTATGTTAAAATGTTTAACGTATCCCGCATCCAAGCAATAGTGGATACACTCTACTGCCCCACCCCCACACTAGATACACTCTACTGCCCCACCCCCACACTAGATACACTCTACAACCCACCCTCCCACCAGAGTACCAACATTACGACCTCAGGGGCAGAGTTTCTTCAGGCAAGTCTCCCCCCCCCCCCCCCAACGAAATGGAATTTATAACATATACTTTTACCAAGTGCCCCCCCCTCCGGAGAAAAAAGTCTGGAACAAACTCTGCTCTGGTGTTGTCGGTAACAAACACTTTCGCCTACAGCATTGTTTACAACCTGATATTGTTTGTCATAACAAACATAAAATAACACAATGTGGAACAAAAAAAAAGTGTTGAATTAATTTGTTTCTAAAATCGATATTCAGCTGATAAACATGAATTTGAAATATGAAACACCATCACACCACATAGAAGGAGAGCCACAAAATCAAGATTATCAAGTCTATGTTGAAACATCATGATCCATCAAAACTTTTTTGATGAACTGAACGGCCCGACCACAAGGGGCCGACTCAGGGGCGGAACTACAGGGGGGGGGGGCACGCCATTTAGGGACCCATAACCATAGGTGACCATAATAAAATTTTATAGTTCAAAAGTAATTTTCTTGCATTTTTGACTTGCCGGTAAAAGCTTTTTAAATTAACAAACTGATCTACTACAGTAGTGATGTTATACAGTAGCTAACACTTGCTGTTGCGTAAAAAATATATATGCATGAGCTGTAGTGAGAAAGATAGGCAAACGTTCAAAACCCTTTTGACTTATTTCACTTTTTTTAAATAGTTAAATAGGTGTGCTCATAAGCTCTTTTTAATATATTTGTACTAAACAAATTAAAAAGCAATTACTTCTCTTAATTACTTTAATATATATATATATATATATATATATATATATATATATATATATATATATATATATATATATATATATATATATATATATATATATATATATATATATATATATATATATATATATATATATATATATATATATATACTAAAGAAAGACGTAGCATAAAAAAAGAACTGTATTTAAAATAAATAATATATATATATATATATATATATATATATATATATATATATATATATATATATATATATATATATATATACAAGAAAACATAAAAATAAACATAACACGAGAATCCATTACACATACAAAGCTTTCACGTTTTATATTCTTTTGACCGGCCGCAGTCTGGAGGTTAGGCAGTATTACAGCAAACGTGTTGAATAAACTACTCTAAATCTAAAAAAAAAAAAAAAAAAAAAAAAAAAAAAAATTCAGAACAGACTAATGCACTCACACACATGAGTTGTAAATTGTTTTGTTTGAATTTTTTTTTTTTTTTCAAAAACCGATTAGGCCAGAAATGAGTATCCAATGTTTATATTCTGTGTTTATATATATATATATATATATATATATATATATATATATATATATATATATATATATATATATATATATATATATATATATATTATAGGGGGGGGGGGGCAAACATTTTTTTGCGGGGTGGCCCTTTTTTTCTAGTTCCGCCACTGGGCCGACTATTCTGATTCACGAACAAAAAAAAAAATAGTATAAGAATATCGCTGTGCAACCCTGCTCATAATCATATAGCCAAACTTGCTATCTTTAGTAAAAATTTTAGGCTATTCCAGATTTTCTTTTAGACTTTTTTTAAGGGGGGGGGGGGGGAACGAAAATAGAATTATGTAGGCCTATAAATTATTATTATTTATTCGTTAGGCCCTACATATTTTATTATTTATTAAGACTTTTAAGACTTGTAAAGTTGCAATTTTTGTTGCTATTCGTCCACGTGTAACAGCATATTTATAAGCCCACTGATATTTTTTCATCAGATCAAAATAAATTCTAAAGCAATTTTCGGTAAAATATGATTAGGCCTAACCACACAGCACAAGCCTAGATGTTTTAGCTCGAAATACGCATTTGGGTGCTGTAAAATGTACACTAGCTTTACCTGTTGAAGGTGAAAGGTCACGACTGGAGTAAACCATGGATGCGGTATGTAATCAAGTGCTTGTATCAAAAACGTGACAGAGTCGTCGGACAATATAGACTCCACATTTTCAAAGAAAGCCGTTCGTGGTTGGAAGGATTATAGATCTAGATCTAATTGGGTAACCTAAACGATTATTGAGGATTCTGTTTATCGAATTTAATTAATAATTTTGCCTAGACTAGATCTAGAATCTAATCTAGAGGAGTTTACACTTTTCGGACACACACAAAAAATTACGTAGGACCGAACACTTCGTCGGTTTTTGGCTCATAGAAACTTTAATTAGCATGTCTCACGCGAAACCACGGCGCCTGCACGTAAACTGTTCATTTATGAACACTTCCGTGTCAAGTACTTCCGTTTCCTTTCTCAAGAATTATTTTTAGAAATTTTTTAACGTTGCATGGTACGCACATTTCTATTTTTACACCAGCCGGATGAAGTGACCTAGGGTTGGACTTAGGGGCAAAACTTGAACCAATCAATGCTTAGCTAAAAGGTTACACTATAAATAGCTTCTATATATGTATGGAACATCGTAAATGTCAAGGTTAATGGGTTTTTTCGTGCTTGAACAATAAAAAAGGGGTGTTCGCTAACTTATTTGGCCTTACATGGGAGCGGACAGCAACACAAAAATATTATTAAATAAGAATTTAGAGCATAAAAGGGGCTGGTTATTGAAGGGAAAGGGTCAAAATAAGGTCAAGAAGGCAGTGGAATGCGAAAAAGGAGGGGGAATCATGTGACCTGGCTGGCTTAGCAGCGTACTGCGCGAGCCGCAATGGCTGAATGGGATGAACTTTGGGAGTGTGGGAAAAAGGTTTTATACTATTAAAATTACCTCACAAACAATTAATAACACAATATAAATGCATATAATATATGTTTTTATTCATTAAATTGACTTTAAATTATTCTAAATGAACAAAAAGTGCTATGTCCGATGACGGGTAAAGGTGTCCGAACACATGTAAAACTGTATTACATGTGTTCGAACACACGTTAAGACCCCCCAGTCACTATAACAAGAATAGCTTAAGTTCTATGCGTATGAATACAAAATGACACACACATTATTAAAGTAGAATGGTTGCGGATAGATATGATACTTTTTTTTGTTTTCTATGTTAAGCGGTTACTGAATGAGACCGCATGGAATTTTTACGTTGCGTTTTTTCGCTATGTGTGTCCGAAAAGTGTAAGCTCCTCTAGATTCTTAGAAGTTAGATCTAGAATAATCTAGATTTAGAATCATAGATCTAATCTAGTCTAGATCTAGATCAGACTTAGATCTAGCTAGATCTAGAATCTAGATCTAGATCTAGATCTAGATTAGATCTAGCTACTTTTAGCTAGATCTAGAAATCTAGATCTAGATATCTAGATTTCTAGTTAAGTAAGTAAAGTAAACTAATTTTAGTAATTTAGAAAGCGCTAGATTAGATCTAAATTCTAGATCTCTAGTCTAGAAGTCTAGATTTCTAGAATCTAGATCTACTGATCTAGAAGAATCTAGATCTAAAATCTAGATTCTAGAATCATACAACATTTACATAGTTAATTAGTAATTTCATAGGGCCTAATACTAATAGTAGGCCCAATTATTATCGCATAAAAAAATTTGAGCAGCTAAATCTCGTAACCTGACGTAAATCTAATCTTATCTAGAGGAGCTTACACTTTTCGGACACACATAGCGAAAAAACGCAACGTAAAAATTCCATGCGGTCTCATTCAGTAACCGCTTAACATAGAAAACAAAAAAAAGTATCATATCTATCCGCAACCATTCTACTTTAATAATGTGTGTGTCATTTTGTATTCATACGCATAGAACTTAAGCTATTCTTGTTATAGTGACTGGGGGGTCTTAACGTGTGTTCGAACACATGTAATACAGTTTTACATGTGTTCGGACACCTTTACCCGTCATCGGACATAGCACTTTTTGTTCATTTAGAATAATTTAAAGTCAATTTAATGAATAAAAACATATATTATATGCATTTATATTGTGTTATTGATTGTTTGTGAGGTAATTTTAATAGTATAAAAGCTTTTTCCCACACTCCCAAAGTTCATCCCATTCAGCCATTGCGGCTCGCGCAGTACGCTGCTAAGCCAGCCAGGTCACATGATTCCCCCTCCTCTTTCGCATTCCACTGCCTTCTTGACCTTATTTTGACCCTTTCCCTTCAATAACCAGCCCCTTTTATGCTCTAAATTCTTATTTAATAATATTTTTGTGTTGCTGTCCGGTCCCATGTAAGGTCAAAAAAGTTAGCGAACACCCCTTTTTTATTGTTCAAGCACGAAAAAACCCATTAACCTTGACATTTACGATGTTCCATACATATATAGAAGCTATTTATAGTGTAACCTTTTAGCTAAGCATTGATTGGTTCAAGTTTTGCCCCTAAGTCCAACCCTAGGTCACTTCATCCGGCTGGTGTAAAAATAGAAATGTGCGTACCATGCAACGTTAAAAAATTTCTAAAAATAATTCTTGAGAAAGGAAACGGAAGTACTTGACACGGAAGTGTTCATAAATGAACAGTTTACGTGCAGGCGCCGTGGTTTCGCGTGAGACATGCTAATTAAAGTTTCTATGAGCCAAAAACCGACGAAGTGTTCGGTCCTACGTAATTTTTGGTGTGTGTCCGAAAAGTGTAAACTCCTCTAGCGAGTGGCCGTCCGATCTGCGCTCGTGAGCGGAACTCCCAATTTCCATTAGGCGCTATTTAATGACCGTTTCACATACAAACAAACCAAAAGTATAGAGTCCTTGCAAACACGTGACCTAAATCACGTGATACCTACGCCCGCCGCCACAGTGGTGTACATCAGACGTAAACACAATCAGCTGTTCGCCAGCGCTGGACGTGTTCACCGTATGTAAAGAATCGCGCCCGCGGAAAAGGAAAAATATGTTAAAAAACTTGAACTCTTAGGAATTGAAGATCCTTATACAGTTATTGACAGTTTCGTGGATAATATAAATATGTGGCTGAAATTTCTAAATAAAAATACTGTTAGTAATACCGTTTGCGTTTAGAGTTTAAGTAGACGAAGCTGATCAAATGCAGTAATATATTAGAGGTTATCTACTGTAGCAAACGTGAGACCACTTAACTCCTACAAAACCCACACTACAACGGCTAATATAATCCATGGGTAATAACCAATCTGGGTAGCATGTTATACAATTTAAGACCCTTATAATCCAGCAGGGAAGTAATCAGACACATTAATACTGACGTTCAACCGTCATGATGGCTGCCCCCACCTGTATCTAGCCCACAATAAAACCAAAGAGGAGTCTGCCCTGCCCTCCCCTGAAAATGTCTCACCTCCGTGATACCCAGCCCCACAGAGATAGTATTTCTTATATAATTTTGACCCTCAGGGCCCAGCAGGGAGAACAAAGGGGAAAGTCCCACTGCTCTCCCCTCAACACTTCTCACCTCGGTGTCATGTTATGTCATTTATAGCACACACGGCTTATCAGGGGAAAGCATTAAGGCATTAAGAATCTTAACTCTGGACAGCTACACACTAGTATACTAGCTACACACTAGGTGCCTACTGTAAACTACTAGACTGTAGGCCCTATGTAGACCTGCAATTGTATCAATTGTAGACTGGGTCCATTGTTATTATTCTAAACCATCTCACTTATAATGTTTCTAGCTTGATTTGTTTCTTTTATAAACAGTGGATTTAAAAAAATAATTAGCCTAATCATTAACCTAATAATAATAATGTGGTTATTTGTTGTTGGCTGGTATGATCTAGATTGTACTACTAGGCTACAAAAACTTAGTAGACCAATTACTAGATATGAATTTGAATTTAATTAAACTCAGTCCTGTATCAGATACATATTGCTGTAAAAAGACAACAAAGTAGGTAGGCCTTAGTAATTTATTAAAGCCTTCTACAACAATAATATCAACTACATGCTTGTATAAAGTTTTTACAATTTAATTTAAGTAGCAGATTCTAGATCTAAGTCTAGTCATATAATCTATTTCAATTTCAGAAAATTTCGTTTGCTAAAAAAATGATTAGATAATAGAGCGAGATTTTAGATCTTAGAGACAATTAAATGCTTTATTAGGCCTATTATGACTACTTTTGATTTATTATGGGTGTATTTTGAATCGAATGTAGATCTAAAGTAATTAAATTTAAGTAAAGAAGTAGATTCTAGATTCTATGTCTACCCAGCGGAGCCAGGTATAAGCCTACTATTAGATCTTGTTATTCTTATTAGCCTATAATATTACTTTTGACTTTGTCTTTTACTATTAGTATTTGTGAAGGTCGAGCATATTTGTTTTATTAATAGTTATCTTTTATAATTAAAATGAAGTTTATTATTTTACTGTCCTTACATGAAACAAAGTATCGAGAACTGCATTTGATCAGATTCGGCTACTTTAACTCTAAACGCAAACAGTATTACTAACAGTATTTTTATTTAGAAATTTTGTCCACATATTTATTTATACGAAACTGTCAATAACAGTATAAGGATCTTCAATTCCTAAGAGTTCAAGTTTTTTAACGTATTTTTCCTTTTCCGCGGGTGCGGTTCTTTACATACAGTGAACGCGTCCAGCGCTGGTGAACACGTCCAGCGCTGGCGAACAGCTGATTGTGTTTACGTCTTGTGTACACCACTGTGGCGGCGGGCGTAGGTATCACGAACGGACGTGACGTCATATGAAAGGACTCTATCCTGTAACTCTACTGGACTCTAAGTCTACATCCATTCTACTATATTAGGTATGAGTCATATTGTATTCCTACGCATAGCATTGGAGATAATTCAAATTATGGAGGTGAACCACCTCGGCAATCACTTTTTTTTTGTTATCCTTCTTGCAGTCACTTGCGCTTACTTGACCCAGATCGACCCAGATTGTGCTCAGGACTTATTTTATTCATTTAGACTATTTAGTCTGTTAAAAGTTAATTAAACAAATAAAATAACCATTATATGCTGCATATTTTATGTGTATACTGTGTTATAAGTATGTTTAAATATTTCAATGATCCTTATTCAGCCTACCTATTATGCCGAGCAAGTCACGTGACCCACTTATCCTACCTCGAAGCTTGCCTGGTCACATGACTCCCGCTGAGCCTGTCAGGTCCAAAGAACCTTATGGCAAGCTAGGTCATGCTTTTCCCCATCCTTAGAGTGATCTAATTAACGTTTTAAACCAAATTCCTATTTAATAAGCAATATTCTGAGTTGTGAGCGCAATCGGGTAAGAAAACCAATAGGGACCAAAAATCATGTAATCACCCCTTTTTTCTAATTTTAGAAGAGAAAACCCCATCAACCTTGACATGTACAGTTAGCTGTATGTATCTAGAAGCTATTTTTAGCGTTACATTTTATCTAACTGTTGATTGGTTCAAGTTTTGAAGCTAATCCCGAACTCTGTCGGTACATCCGGGAGAGTGTGAAAGGAGAAAATGTGTACCATGCAATTTTTTACAAATTATAATCAATTTTCAGAAAAACGAAAAAGCATGAACTATACATAGAAGTGTTCAGAAATGAAAATATGACGTGCCAAACACTGCGGTTTTGCATAAAACATTAAAATAAAGTAGCTATAGCCGAAAACGTGACTTTACGTGAGTGCGATCGCAGCGTTGTGCATGGTGCAGATCGGATGAACATAGATCTAGATCTAGTCTTTCTGTTACAGTCTTTTGATTTAAGATTCAGATAATCTAGAAGTAGAGTAGACTACCTTTGTAGATTTTTGGCTCTTGGTAAAAGTTAAAACGCAAGATGGCAAGGCTGTAATTTTAATTGTGAAAAGGATGAGAAATAGGCCTACCGCTTGTTATATGACCAATGTGTCTCACATTTTACCTCCTGCACATTTTTTTACCTGAATTTATAGGCCTATCAACTTTGATGCACACTTCAACTTCAATTTTTTAGTCCTATGAATATGATTTTTACTGCACCTGAAATTTGTCAATGATTAAACAACTTTCTATTGTGTCAACTTAGAATACTAGATCATTCGTAACAGTCTATTTATTTTGAGTATTTTAACCCAAACTCATATGCGTTAGAGCATTACATTTTGTGACACAAGATTTATATTTCTAGCTTAAGGCTATAGTGATAGGGCCTCTTTAAAATCTTAGAAGAGAATTTTTTTTTTCAATTTAAAATAAAGATCTTGGCCTACTGTCTTTTTTATAGGCCCAACTAAGCTCTATAAAGTAGGAAAGCAACTTAGCAAGTGGGAAACAAAAAGTTAAAAATTTATAAAATAGGCCAACATTTGCTAAATTTTAGAAAATTGTAATGATAAATTTGATAATTATGAAACTGGTTTAGTAAATTTGCATTAATAATTGAATAGAGCAGGCTTGTTTCAGTAAAGATTTTTTTTCAAAAGTAAATTTTTACTATGACTAATACTCATTAGGCTATTCAGGCTAATGAATCTTAAATTATTCATAAAAAATGTGGGCTCCTATTACGAACTATTAGTAATATTTAATCAGAATTACTTAATAAAATAAAACTGGAGGCCCTAATTATGTTAAACATGGACAAGAGATTTAGTGGGTTATGTACTGTTATGTAATTGTAATGTATGTTCTTCTTTGAAGGGGGTGTTAAATTACTTCAGTGAACTAAATATAAATCACTTGCCAATATAATTACCAAAGCCAATGCTATTCCAAACTCCAATCTACCATTGTAGTTTTAACCATAAATAGTAAACTTGAGACTACTAACAGGATTAACACCTTATAGCATACACTGGTCAACAGTCACATTAGTTTGAGTTGTTTGAATGATAGAGGTTTTATAGAACAGTAGTGTAGTTCATTGTACTCAATATGGAGGTTGATGATTTTTGATTTGTTATGGGGGGGGGGGGGGGGTCCTATGATTTTAGTTATAGTGGTTGGGTTAAAATGTGTCATTTTCTGTACAATAAAAATAAATGCACAGTTCTACCTATCTAAGATTGCTTAAATTCTTTTCCTTATTTCCAGCCACAAGGGTTAAGTGAAGATGGATTCAAGTATCTTCAGCATCCAATCAAACTGACAAGCTTCATTCTGTTGAAGATGCTAGCATTCAACACCTTAGTTGTGTATATTACAAAGTAATATGTCTGCCATGTATAAAAGCTTGTCCAGTATCAAGCAGTCCATCCCCTTAGAAATATCCAAACTATCACACTTGCCTAGGCCAGTCAAATGGACTGCGTTGAGTTTAACCCTAGGCATAGCCTTGATTGGTACATTAGCAATGTTTTTTAGGAAGCGTAGAAAACGTACTCAGATGATTCAGAAAAAACTCGAGGCTAAAAATCAGCAACGCAAACAGAACACATTAGCCAATCACACATCCCACACAGAAAGCAACCATGTGAACAAAGCCCAAACTTCTGGTGGAGCATCAGCGCTGAATAGGTCGACCTTGTCTTTCAGAAAGTTGAGAAGCTCACACCTGACCAAAACTCAAACACCTAATGGAGGTGAGCAGGTTTTTTCTGATGAAATTGTAATTTAATTATTATTGGAGAGCTATAATAATCCTAGGCCATTGCTTACTTTGATAATTGTTATCAAAGTGTTAATCTAGTCTTGTAAGAGCTGGGTCATGTTTTACTTGAAACTTATTGTAAAAATTTCTGTTTTTTATTGTATCAATGCTTTTTTTTTGTTCCTTGTTTTAACCTTCAAATTAGTCGCTTTGTTTTGTGTGTGCAGATGCCAAAACAAAACTGGTTTCAAGCAGTGTGGATGGCAGCAACTGTGGCAGTGGAGATGTGGGCAACTTGTTGAGGCAGAGGGCGCTGTCAGCATCCATGAACAGCCTGGGGGGCGTGTCCAACAACTCGAGCTCCTCCACCATCACACACTCAGGACTGGACACAGCCAACATGACCAGTGCTGATTTATGCCAGCTAGGTCAGTGGGCTCCTGGCTTTCTTCTTCAGGCACCACACTTTGAGGATTTCAGTTAACACATTACTCACTCCCCCAATCTTGCATTACTCACTCCCCCAATCCTAAGGAAAGGGATAGTACTCGCTAAAATATAACCTAAAAATTGTGTTGGTCTTTTAAAGATGTACAAGAAATTTTTTTTTCATCAACAATAAACATACATTTTTAAAGACAAAACTTAAATGAACAAAACAGTGAATAAAATATAAATGAAGACTTTATTGCATTACAGTAGAAAAAAATTTATTCTTAACCACACATACAACAAATGCGCTACATTATAATTGATAAAAGAAAGTGTAGAACTGATGCTGCTACTATCATTAGCCATTCCCATCTTTAGATGTACCCAGTACCCACACGTCTGCATATGACATTACTATTTATTAAATCTTATTATCACTATTATTATTTATTTCATCTAAAATATACATGTTCTCATTGTAAATTAGTCCTGAGGCATCTGTAAATGAACGCAAAAGTCATGCAAAGTTATGGAAATTTGATGCATTTAAAAAAAAAATCTCTTAAATCTAACCCATGCATAATTTTTATACTATAAATACTGGAAGGTCTGTTAACTAAAGAGTTTTTATTGTAATAAATAGCTGTAGAAATTAGAACATACAATATAAAATAGTGGCGTTTGGCAACATCAGGAGTTAAATTATTAATAAATACATTTACTTTTTAATATGTAGTTTTATGTGTCAAGTTTGATTTTCCCCAGGTATGGAGAATCTCTCTTTAGCTATTTCGTATTGGGAGGATGCAGTGATGAAGTTGTCCTATCTAGATGATCAGCAGGGTCAGCATTCTGTCTTAGCAATACCAGTAAGTTTTGTTTTTTACTTTCTCGTATACGGAAGTATAGAGGAAGTATTTTAATCATGCTAAAAATCAAATCCAGATTTTCTCATATTGCAATGCTTTAGACCTTCTTGAGTCGGAAAATCTTATACTTTTGCAAACTTGTCTGTTCATGTGTGTGTGTCTGTGAACACGATAACTTGAGTACCACTTCAGCCAGTTGATGTGATGAACTACTGAAAAGTAAAACAGTTAAATCTGTCAAAATTTCATGTGATTTTTGTGCACGATTACATTACTTCCTCTATACTTCCTCTATATGAGAAAGTAAAAATTTGTTTGAAAAATGATTTTTAAAAAAAGCTGTATCCCAACTGAATGGAATTTCCATTCCCATTAGTGCTATCTAAGAATATTTGAAGGTGAGATAACTGGCGCTTTATTTATTACATTTAGAAACAGTTTAATTTTTTTTTAATAATTTTAACTTTATTTAAAAAATTATATTTGTTTTAAAACAAGATAATTGTTAAAAAATTGATGTGTAAGATAATTTATTTCCTGTAATTATAAGATCATTAATTTTCTCGTCTCAGGACGAAGACACAGCAAACCTCCAACACAGACTAGAAAATCTGTTGGACCTGGCCTACCGCATGCAAGACAACTACGAGCGTCTCTGTGAACGTCAGGTTGAATCCATCGCACTAGAATCTGCGCTGGCTGTGCTAACAGAGAGGGACAGGGACCGCAGCTTTGATGAGGACTCTAGTGACCAGGAGTCTTTTGTCTCGGCCACTGATGTAAGTGGCACAGTTACGTCCCTTGTATGGGGCACATGACTGTCATGTGACCAGGAATCTTTTGTCTCGGCCACTGATGTAAGTGGCACAGTTATGTCCCTTGTATGGGGCACATGACTGTCATGTGACCAGGAATCTTTTGTCTCGGCCACTGATGTAAGTGGCACAGTTACGTCCCTTGTATGGGGCACATGACTGTCATGTGACCAGGAATCTTTTGTCTCGGCCACTGATGTAAGTGGCACAGTTATGTCCCTTGTATGGGGCACATGACTGTCATGTGACCAGGAATCTTTTGTCTCGGCCACTGATGTAAGTGGCACAGTTACGTCCCTTGTATGGGGCACATGACTGTCATGTGACCAGGAGTCTTTTGTCTCGGCCACTGATGTAAGTGGCACAGTTACGTCCCTTGTATGGGGCACATGACTGTCATGTGACCAGGAGTCTTTTGTCTCGGCCACTAATGTCCAGCAAAGTTACGCTAGTATTATGTAAAGCTTTTGTTGCATTCTGGCAACAAAGATTTAAAATTTTGGAATGAAATGTGTTGTTTAATTGAAGAATTTTTTCACAAAAGTTTGGAATGAAATGTGTTTGATTGAATAACTGTTTCACAAAATTTTGGAATGAAATGTGTTGTTTGATTGAAGAACTGTTTCACAAAATTTTGGAATGAAATGTGTTGTTTGATTGAAGAATTGTTTCACAAAATTTTGGAATGAAATGTGTTGTTTGATTGAAGGATTGTTTCACAAAAGTTTGGAATGAAATGTGTTGTTTGATTGAAGTTTCCCATGTATCCACAGATGGCCCACCTAACAGATCTAGATTTCAATCGTGATATATTACATCACGTGCCGCTGTACGAAGCTGGGATGCTAGAGTTGAAGTATGGGAATGTTCCATGTCGGACAATCAGGCAAGCTTTGGTTCATTTGACTGTGTGTAGAAAAAAGATGAATTTCATTAATGGATGTTGGGGGTCGCCGTGGTCGAGTCAGTAAAGCTCATGGTTGCTAAACCAGAAAGTCTCGAGTTCGAACCCTCGGGCAGATGAGGCTCGTTAGCTGGGGACAGCCACTCTTCTAGGAGAGACAACTACAAAATCAAACAACTGTTGCCTTGTAGTTTGTTCTTTGTTGGACAAAGGCTGTGGAAGCAAATCCAAAAAGAAAATTAGGCTGAAATCGGAGTCAATGGCCTCAATGGCACTTAACCAGTTGACACATATACTTAATTGTGTTGAAGGGGATCCCTTCCAACACTAAAATTAAGAACGATGACGAAGAAAAAGATAATGGATGATTTGTCATATATCATACAAAAGTGGTTAAAGCTTATGACACTTTTTATTATACAACCATACAGGTCTTGCTTTACAACCATTATGATAAGGTCTTCTTATTTTCTCCTTCCATAGACCAGAAATGGTTCAGTGTCTCTCAGATGTTGAGTTTTTGGCTAAACTTCATGGCATTCGTTTGGCCTTCCAGGTATTTAGCATTAGTTTGATCATTTTATTTGGGACATTTTAATTGTATTATCAGTAGGGAAATTTTAATTGTTCTATTATCCGTAGGTAAATTTTAATTGTTTTTTTGTTGTGAAATTTTAATTGTTTTATTTTATAGAGAAAGTTTGTTTTATTTTCTGCAGTGAAATTTTATTTTTTTTATCTGTAGGGTAATTTTAATTGTTTCTTTTTTGTAGGGAAAGTTCAATTGTTTTATTATCAGTAGGGAAATTTTAACTGTTTTTTTTTGTAAGAAATTTAAATTGTTTTTTTATTTGGAAATTTCAATTTTTACTTTCTCGTATATATGAAGTATAGAGAAAGTCTTGTAATCGTGCAAAAAAAATAATCGAGATTTTTACAAGTCTCGACGTTTTACATCTCACTGATACGGAAAAACATAATTTTGCAATCTTGTCCGTATGTCTGTGTGTGTGTGTGTGTGTAAACACGATAACTTGAGTACCGTTACAGTTGGGTTGATGAAATTTCATATATAAGTATTTTATCAAAATCGTAGATCCGTATCAACTTTTGAGCGATTTCGGATAACCGGGAGTGGTACTTTTCCTACTTTGATTTTTTCAAAAGCCTATAACTTGAGTACTATTTCAGATAGAAAAATGAAATTTCACTTGTAAGTAAAAGATCTAATTCTCTACCTTCTGTTAAATTTTGAGTAATTTCCGTTTACCGGAAGTAGTAATTTACGCTACTTCCGATTTCTCAAAAAACTAATGTAAATTTTTAAAGTACTAATAATATTGCGCACTATTATGCACTTTTTTATTTGGCGTTCACTTGGTGTGCAATTCTTTTGTCTACGAGATTTTATTCTATTTTTAAAACTTTAATAAGTATTTAAAATGGATTAAAAATCATGTCTATAGCCCAAGTTCCCATCCCCTGTTATTTTATATAAGAATATTCGAGAAAGTTTTGGGGAGATCACTCCCGGTTTATTTTTTTTGTAGGGAAACTTTAATTGTTTTTTTTTTGTAGGAAAATTTTGTTTTTTTTGTAGGGAAATTTTATATTCAATTTGAACTTTTTCTGGTTGAAGTGAATGTTTGTGAGAAATATTGATGTGAATGTTGTATTTCCTCTCCTGTTTAGTGCATCTTTCAAGAGGAAGGTAAAAAAGATTGGTTCAAGGCCATGGGTAAAAAGTTGGTTGGTGACCTCATGATCAAGGCCGACAAGGTGAGTGGGGTCAGTGTACCTGGTCAGTTTGGGCAAGGTCCAAGACACTTACAGGGGAGGTCAGTTTGGGGGTTGTACAATGACTGTCTTTATGTACTCTTTTGGTTTGAAGCTATATGGCCTTTATAATCTGTAGTATGTTTCACAAGTAACATTTAGTTAATCTTTCAATTTCCCCATTGCCTGAGATATTGTGGAGCTGTATGATTATGTAAGAAGCTGTATGATGATGTAAGAAGCTGTATTATGTTTTCAGGATGTGGAAGAGTTCTACACCAGCTATGATAAAATGATGCAGTTCGTCAGTGTAGACTCCAACTGGCAGATGATTGAGGAGGAGCTTAGAGGAAGAGGGGTGGGTAGTGTTGTCCACTGAGGGGTGGGTCATGATGTCCACTTAGGTGTGAGTGTCCACTGAGGGGTGGGTAGTGTTGTCCACTGAGGGGTGGGTAGTGTTGTCCACTGAGGGGTGGGTAGCCACTGAGGGGTGGGTAGTGTTGTCCACTGAGGGGTGGGTAGCCACTGAGGGGTGGGTAGTGTTGTCCACTGAGGGGTGGGTAGTGTTGTCCACTGAGGGGTGGGTAGTGTTGTCCACTGAGGGGTGGGTAGTGTTGTCCACTGAGGGGTGGGTACTGTTGTCCACTGAGGGGTGGGTAGTGTTGTCCACTGAGGGGTGGGTAGTGTTGTCCACTGAGGGGTGGGTAGTGTTGTCCATTGAGGGGTGGGTAGTGTTGTCCACTGAGGGGTGGGTAGTGTTGTCCACTGAGGGGTGGGTAGTGTTGTCCACTGAGGGGTGGGTAGTGTTGTCCACTGAGGTGTGGCTAGTGTTGTCCACTGAGGGGTGGGTAGTGTTGTCCACTGAGGGGTGGGTAGCCACTGTGGGGTGGGTAGTCCACTTAGGGGTGGGTAGTGTTGTCCACTGAGGGGTGGATAGCCACTGAGGGTTGGGTAGTGTTGTCCACTGAGGGGTGGGTAGTGTTGTCCACTTACGGGTGGGTAGTGTTGTCCACTGAGGGGTGGGTAGTGTTGTCCACTGAGGGGTGGGTAGTGTTGTCCACTGAGGGGTGGGTAGTGTTGTCCACTTACGGGTGGGTAGTGTTGTCCACTTACGGGTGGGTAGTGTTGTCCACTGAGGGGTGGGTAGTGTCCACTGAGGGGTGGGTAGTGTTGTCCACTTACGGGTGGGTAGTGTTGTCCACTTACGGGTGGGTAGTGTTGTCCACTTACGGGTGGGTAGTGTTCACTGACTGTGTAGTGCAGACTAGGCACTAGTTATTTCTATTGCCAGTCAGATGCTCCTGAGTTACCAATCTTGTTTACTCAAATGTTTTGTGTCGCAGGTTCGGGTGATGTCGTTTTATGACATAGTCCTGGATTTTATTCTAATGGATGCGTTTGATGATTTAGCCAACCCTCCGTCTACTGTGCTAACTGTTGTCCAGAACCGCTGGCTGTCTAATGGTTTCAAGGAAACTGTAAGTCTCTCTTCATTTTTTTAATCTATTGGGGGGGGGGTATAAGTGTGATAGTTGACATGGTTTTATGGGCTTGGGTTCAAAGGTTAAGCAACATTTTTATCTCATCTGTTGTCAAATTTTTTTATTTCCAGGCTTTAGCCACTGCTGTATGGTCAGTCTTGAAGGCAAAGCGGAGTTTGTTGAAGGTAGGTTCAAAGTTTGTTGAGGCTAGGCTACAATGAGTTTGATGATTTTTTACTATGGAGTGTAAATGTAGCCATTAGATTGTCTGGCTGCCACTTGTGTATTTGATGCTTACTTTTTCCCCAGTTCAACGATGGTTTTATTGCTCACTTTTTCCCCAGTTCAAAGATGGTTTTATTGCTCACTTTTTCCCCAGTTCAACGATGGTTTTATTGCTCACTTTTACTCCATCTCTGAACACACAAGTCCTATGTTAGCCTGGGGATTTTTAGGGCCAGACTCAGAACTCAAGGAGATGTGCAACTACTTCAAGGTAGGCCCTGCTCTAAACACTCTTTAGTGACTCAATGACTGACCAGTGACTCAATGACTGACCAGTGACTCAATGACTGACCAGTGACTCAATGACTGACCAGTGACTCAATGACTGACCAGTGACTCAATGATTGACCAGTGACTCAATGATTGACCAGTGACTCAACACTGACCAGTGACTCAATGACTGACCAGTGACTCAATGACTGACCAGTGACTCAATGACTGACCAGTGACTCAATGACTGACCAGTGACTCAATGACTGACCAGTGACTCAATGATTGACCAGTGACTCAACACTGACCAGTGACTCAATGACTGACCAGTGACTCAATACTGACCAGTGACTCAATACTGACCAGTGACTCAATACTGACCAGTGACTCAATGACTGACCAGTGACTCAATGACTGACCAGTGACTCAATGACTGACCAGTGACTCAATGACTGACCAGTGACTCAATGATTGACCAGTGACTCAACACTGACCAGTGACTCAATGACTGACCAGTGACTCAATACTGACCAGTGACTCAATACTGACCAGTGACTCAATACTGACCAGTGACTCAATACTGACCAGTGACTCAATGATTGACCAGTGACTCAACACTGACCAGTGACTCAATGACTGACCAGTGACTCAATGATTGACCAGTGAATTAATGAGAGACTAAACACTGACCAGTGACTCAATGACCGACCAGTGACTCAATGATTGACCAGTGAATTAATGAGAGACTAAACACTGACCAGTGACTCAATGACTGACCAGTGGCTCAATACTGACCAGTGACTCAATGACTGACCAGTGACTCAACACTGACCAGTGACTCAATGACTGACCAGTGACTCAATGACTGACCAGTGACTCAATACTGACCAGTGACTCAATGACTGACCAGTGACTCAATGATTGACCAGTGACTCAATGATTGACCAGTGACTCAACACTGACCAGTGACTCAATGACTGACCAGTGACTCAATACTGACCAGTGACTCAATACTGACCAGTGACTCAATACTGACCAGTGACTCAATGATTGACCAGTGACTCAACACTGACCAGTGACTCAATGACTGACCAGTGACTCAATGATTGACCAGTGAATTAATGAGAGACTAAACACTGACCAGTGACTCAATGACCGACCAGTGACTCAATGATTGACCAGTGAATTAATGAGAGACTAAACACTGACCAGTGACTCAATGACTGACCAGTGGCTCAATACTGACCAGTGACTCAATGACTGACCAGTGACTCAACACTGACCAGTGACTCAATGACTGACCAGTGACTCAATGACTGACCAGTGACTCAATACTGACCAGTGACTCAATGACTGACCAGTGACTCAATGATTGACCAGTGACTCAATGATTGACCAGTGACTCAACACTGACCAGTGACTCAATGACTGACCAGTGACTCAATGACTGACCAGTGACTCAATGATTGACCAGTGACTCAATGATTGACCAGTGACTCAATGACTGACCAGTGACTCAATGACTGACCAGTGACTCAATGACTGACCAGTGGCTCAATACTGACCAGTGACTCAATGACTGACCAGTGACTCAATGACTGACCAGTGGCTCAACACTTACCAGTGACTCAATGATTGACCAGTTACTCAACACTGACCAGTGTCTCAATGATTGACCAGTGACTCAACACTGACCAGTGACTCAATGACTGACCAGTGACTCAATGACTGACCAGTGACTCAATGATTGACCAGTGACTCAATGACTGACCAGTGACTCAATGACTGACAAGTGACTCAATGACTGACCAGTGACTCAATGACTGACCAGTGAATTAATGAGAGACTAAACACTGACCAGTGACTCAATGACTGACCAGTGACTCAATGACTGACCAGTGGCTCAACACTGACCAGTGACTCAATGATTGACCAGTGACTCAACACTGACCAGTGACTCAATGACTGACCAGTGACTCAATGACTGACCAGTGACTCAATGACTGACCAGTGACTCAATGACTGACCAGTGACTCAATGACTGACCAGTGGCTCAACACTGACCAGTGACTCAATGATTGACCAGTGACTCAATGACTGACCAGTGACTCAATGACTGACCAGTGACTCAACACTGACCAGTGACTCAATGACTGACCAGTGACTCAATGACTGACCAGTGACCCAATGACTGACCAGTGAATTAATGAGAGACTAAACACTGACCAGTGACTCAATGACTGACCAGTGACTCAATGACTGACCAGTGGCTCAACACTGACCAGTGACTCAATGATTGACCAGTGACTCAACACTGACCAGTGACTCAATGACTGACCAGTGACTCAATGACTGACCAGTGACTCAATGACTGACCAGTGACTCAATGACTGACCAGTGACTCAATGACTGACCAGTGGCTCAACACTGACCAGTGACTCAATGATTGACCAGTGACTCAATGACTGACCAGTGACTCAATGACTGACCAGTGACTCAACACTGACCAGTGACTCAATGACTGACCAGTGACTCAATGACTGACCAGTGACTCAATGACTGACCAGTGACTCAATGACTGACCAGTGACTCAATGACTGACCAGTGGCTCAATGACTGACCAGTGACTACTGGAACTGATGACCATAGCTGACAAAACAGGTGTAACATTTGAAAAGGCTGACCCACCAAGGCCACAACAGGGGGTGTAGTGCTGGTGTGAGATGTTGATGATCTGGGTCCTAGTTGCTGAGCTACTGTCTAGTAGCTCAGTTGTAGTGTGTTGTAGTGTGTTGTAGTCCCTCAAACCCCATTGTATTCTATCTGTCAATGTCTGTACAGCACTCTGTCAATGTCTGTACAGCACACTGTCAGTGTTATACAGCACTGTGTCAATGTTTGTACAGCACTCTGTCAATGTTTGTACAGCACACTGTCAGTGTTATACAGCACTGTGTCAATGTTTGTACAGCACTCTGTCAATGTTTGTACAAGACTCTGTCAATGTTTGTACAGCACTCTGTCAATGTTTGTACAGCACACTGTCAGTGTTATACAGCACTGTGTCAATGTTTGTACAGCACTCTGTCAATGTTTGTACAGCACTCTGTCAATGTTTGTACAGCACTCTGTCAATGTTTGTACAGCACTCTGTCAATGTTTGTACAGCACTCTGTCAATGTTTGTACAGCACTCTGTCAATGTTTGTACAGCACTCTGTCAATGTTTGTACAGCACTCTGTCAATGTTTGTACAACACTCTGTCAATGTTTGTACAGCACTCTGTCAATGTTTGTACAACACTCTGTCAATGTTTGTACAGCACTCTGTCAATGTTTGTACAACACTCTGTCAATGTTTGTACAACACTCTGTCAATGTTTGTACAGCACTCTGTCAATGTTTGTACAGCACTCTGTCAATGTTTGTACAACACTCTGTCAATGTTTGTACAGCACTCTGTCAATGTTTGTACAACACTCTGTCAATGTTTGTACAGCACTCTGTCAATGTTTGTACAAGACTCTGTCAATGTTTGTACAACACTCTGTCAATGTTTGTACAGCACTCTGTCAATGTTTGTACAGCACTCTGTCAATGTTTGTACAACACTCTGTCAATGTTTGTACAGCACTCTGTCAATGTTTGTACAACATTGTCAATGTTTGTACAGCACTCTGTCAATGTTTGTACAACACACTGTCAATGTTTGTACAACACACTGTCAATGTTTGTACTCTGCCATTTATTTCAGAATCTGGTGCTGGGGTTTATCCGAGATATCTTCAGCTTTGACAAAGTTCGCTACACAACAGTGGAGAGTCTGGCGGAGGACATCCTGCGGCTGGCGGAGCAGCAGAGCGAGACGGCAGCGGAGCGGCTCAAGTCTGGCAGTCCTGACCTGACACCTGTGGCGTCATACTGCTGACAGTAGCACCTGAGTGGGTGCACCTGTAGCAGTAATATTGATTGGGTACACCTGTAATATGGGCTGATTGGTACACCTATAGCATTGATTGGGTACACCTGTAATATGGGCTGAATGATTGGGTACACCTGTAACTTTGGTCAATTTATAGGATATAATGATACAATAGATTTTCTGTAGATAAGTAGCATATTCTAGTGTATTTAAATGACATGAAGGTTGTTGAGTTTTGATGGAAGGCAGCCAACATTTGATTAGACTCTGACCAGGTTGAATCACTTTGTTTACAAACTTGAAGACACATCACAAACTTGAAGACACATCACAAACTTGAAGACACATCACAAACTTGAAGACACATCACAAACTTGAAGACACATCACAAACTTGAAGACACATCACAAACTTGAAGACACATCACAAACTTGAAGACACATTACAAACTTGAAGACACATCACAAACTTGAAGACACATTACAAACTGTTTTAATGTTGACTTATGGACCAGCTGTTTTTTATCTTGGTACCAAGGTTAGAGTGAAGTTAGTGCTATCTCAAGCTGGCTCCATGTGTGCCCTATGTTGTAGTCATTGACCACTGTCTTGACCACTTGTTCTTGTACTACTGGACTCATCCTGTTAGACAGGATCTTTGTATTGCATGCTGTAGGCTGTAGCAGTTGGTCCAAACTAAGATGTTAGAGCAAATACAATTTGTTGTGTCACAGCCCATGGATGTGTATCACTTCAGGTCACAGCCCATGGATGTGTATCACTTCAGGGTTGCTGGATTTGTCACATTTTGAATGCATTGATCCAGATTTTTGGACCTAGATAAGTAGTACCTGCTGACTCATGGCACTTGAGTGTGTAGCTACTGTTAACAATGATAGGCTCATGGCACTTGAGTGTGTAGCTACTGTTAACAATGATAGGCTTATGTTTTATCTGATAGATATTGGTGGAACTTGTGATAGACGTACTTGATGGGACTGATTGGCTCATGAGTTATGGGATTCACATAGGAAATTGTAGCCACATAATGTGCTTTTGAAAATATTGGTGTCCATTTTTAAAGCTGTGAACCACGTTGATGTGTGATGTGAATGACATACACACTGATGTGAATGACATTCACGCTGCTGTGAAAAATTTGGTTGTGTTCAAATATTTTGTTTTAATAGTCAGTGTCAAATATTTAGGTGAAATCCTGCTTGAAGTTTGTTCATCAAAGTGACACCACACAGGACATCAAGACAGCGCTACTGGTGTTGGTGACACCACACAAGACAGCCCTACTGGTGTTGGTGTCACCATGTATCACAGTGTTTTTATTTCCCCTGTTACTTGTTGTTTTATGTACAAACATTTTAACTATAACAAATGAGAGCACAATTTTTATAGAGAGTATTTAAAAAGTTGGTTTTAAGAAATGTATAGTCATCCTCATTCATGATGTGGTCCATGTTCTGTGGACATAGATTGTCATTGATATCTTCTTACTTATTTCACCAATTCATATTTTGCTGTTACATTTATCATATGCCAAAGTTTAAAAATCTGATCAAAAACTATTCAATGTAATTGTTATTTCAATGTTTTGAAGTTTTTCTGATGTAAATTTTGCTTCTGATTGTAGCATTAGATATGAACAATTTTAATAAAGTAGAACACAGTTGTATTCTATTCATTTTTCTCTGCTATTCAAATAAAATGTCTCAGCTAATTGATGTTATTTTTTAAAATACTTGTGTGTTTTCTTCAATGAATTGAATGGGTGGGTTGAGGGGAAGGACCTTTGAAAATCTGAGGCTAACTCTATAATGCGTGTAACAAGCTAATTTGAACATTATGTTGTAGTCTGAAAATTTTATCAATTCTACAAAAGTCTATCAAATTACTACCAGTCATTTACACCTGTACTAAACTCAAGGGTGAAAGAAAATATTTGGACCCACATTTTGGTTGGATTAAAGTGTAACCTGCTTCATATGGAATATCCGAATTAAAAGAAACAAGCATTTTATAAGATAGCTCCACTGTATCAGTTCAGGGTTGGTGGATTAGCTCCACTAAAATCTCAAAACATTACGCAACGTTTATTGGTGCAGGTAACTGGCTCTATAATAAAGGCAAATTTTTTATCACATTTAACTCATGATCGTGCTAAATAGGTAACAGTTACACCCTTAAAAAATAGTAGTTTGTAGTCAAAGAGAAATAACTAATATTATTTTTATAATTATAAGATTTACATAGTAGCTTCCCTTGGACATCTCCGTTCGGTGACTGAAAACTGAAGTAGAATCTATGTGCGGAATAAATTTTAAGCCTAATTTTATTATTTATTTTAGTTAAAACTCCTCTCCGCTAACTTCTTCGTTCTTAATTTTAGTGTTGGACGGGATACCTTCCAACACAACTAAGTGTACGTGTCAACTGTTTATGCGCCATTTAGGACGTTCATTTCAGCCTGCTTTTCTTTTTGGATTTGCTTCCATAGCCTTTGTCCAACCAAAAACAAACTACAAGGCAGCAGTTGTTTGATTTTGGAGTTGTCTCTCCTAGAAGAGGTTCGACCTCGAGACTTATGGGCTTAGCAACCGTGAGCCCATCCGACTCGACCACGCCGCCCCCATGGACATCAATTTTTGTTCAAAGAAAAACAAATATGTTTTGTTTATTTCTTACATTTTCATTGTAGCTCCTTTTCAAACGTCTAACATAATACAACGGATATGAGCAGTGACTATCAATAATTAAATATAATGCAAAACAGATATGTTACAACCGCTTATTACTTTAACCTCAAAGAATGCACTATATATTTGGTTAAAACATTCCGAAGTATTTTGAGTTCGGAAAAAATTGTAAAAATTTATGGTCAAAGAGAGGTAACCATTATATCTTATTCATTCGTAATATTTACATGTTAGCTTCCCTTGGTTGAACATGCAGGAGTGTAAATAAATGTCAATATATTAATATGGTGAAGCAAACGACAATAATTAATAAACGAATTGGAAAACATTTTCTTTCATCCTTTTTATTTGTTAACTTGCCACTTGAAGTTTTATTACAACCGGTTTGCACCTAAAAGGGAAGGCGTAATCAAGGGATGTAACAATGTAAATCTTATAAATAAATAAATATATTTGGTTACCTCTCTTTGACTGCAAATTACGTTTTTTTTTCAATTCGCCAGGGATTCGTTTTAACCAAGGGAAGCTACCATGTAAGACTTAAAAATTATATAATAAATTAGGTTACTTCTCTTTGACCACAAAAATTAAAGCGCATTTTTAACCGAGGTAAGAATTCACCGATTTTGTAGTCATTAGGAACAACGAAGCGAGTTTTCTTCCTTCTGTTTTCATGAAAATTCCACTTTAAAGGAATAATGCTGTAGTACTGAGCACAAGAAATAGTCTAAATGAAATACAAAATAAATATGTTATAATCGCATTAATTCTTTCACTGCAAAGGATTCGTTGAATTGTCTTAAGCTGCACGACATATTTAATAAAAAGAAAAAAAATCGTCCAAATATATGGTCAGAGGGATATTTACAAATTATAAATATATTTTCTTATTATTTCTATCATTATTTGTTACTTGCCTTACAAATAAAAAAAGGTGTAGAATTTTAAAATACAGTACAGAGTAATGATAAAGTAAAAATATTTTTAACCACTTGAAGTACATTTTATGATAAAATTAAACCACTCGTCAACAATACGAAATTTGTGTTTGAGTGCTGGAACTAGAATCAAAGTCAAAGATTTCTTGATATGGTATAGATCTAATCTAGTGGTATCAAGACAATAAGTGTAGAATTCTATCCCTTTTTATATATTAATATTTAGGGCCTATAGGCCTACTCAGTAGCAGCTTTAAGACCAAAAAATCGTAATGGACACCAGCGAGTTGACGAGATTCCTTCCGTCCGTAATGTCAAATGTTGTTGACATGGAATAAAAATGTGCTTTTTTAGATTTAGGACCATAAAACTAATAAAAGATAAAATTTTATTAAAAACTTAAGCCTAAATTTAATTCAGAAATGTAGGCCTAATATTTTTAGAATCAATGATAGACAAGTTGCAGATCCAGAGAACTTGAAAATAATTTGTTGAGTTTAAGGCTACATTTCTATTAATTTTCATCAAGCCTAAGTTATAACCCGATGTTTCACTTTCGTAAGACAAACATTGATTGGCTGTAAAGGAACTTCGTGATCGATTTCTGACAGCCCCACTTTACAGTTATTTTGTTTACAAAACTTTGCAGATCAAGTTTTTAAATAACTATGCAAATTTAAACACCATGACCTATTTTTTCTATTTTTAGCTTTCAATGTGTACAATAAAATTTATGGCGGCCATTGTTTATGTCACCATTACACGTGAAAACCAAATTGTTTTTGCTTTTTTTTTAAATTTTTATTTAGTTACCGAAAATTTAAAAACATCAAATACACCCAATCTTTAGTAAAGTCCGAAAAAAACCATACAGACAGGATTTTATAACCATATTAATTGTAACTACACCGTGCCTGATTTTTAAATTAATTTATGCACCTCTCAAATACCTTTGAGACTTTTCTCGCTGGTGTCCATTTAAAAATAGCATATGAAGGGGATATGTCTAAGTCGGTAATTTATCGTTTTAGGTACGTAAAATCGCCCGCGACGTGTAATGTGAAAAACAGGTGACTCCTTAAATTTTAATAATTATTTCACATTTTGAGGAGGATTTATGTTTTTTAAAATACAAACATGTTTCCATGTTTCATTTATTATGTAGGCCTACCTGTTTTTAAACAACTGAATTAAAACTTTTCCGTAATAAATGAAGACTAGCGATGTTTCCAACAGATGCAACCATGCTCATTTACTGAGGCAGCCATCTTGTTTATTTTTTTTATTTTAAATTTATTACGCAAGATTCAGGGGAAGCCACTCTAACTTACAGATGGCCGCTTATTACATAGCAAATCCTGCTCGCAAACACTGCTGTTTAAAGTTAATTTCTTGCCTATATCGATATATTTAGCCATTGATTTAGGTTTATTATTCATTTATCTATAATATTTGACACAAGCATATCACAATATACTTCTATTACAGCCTTGACAATGAGGTAACGTTTTCATACATTATTAGCCGCGGTCGATTTTACGTACCCAAAACGATAGATTACCCTAAGTCTATTCTATTTTAAAATAATATTATGCCCAACTTCACGTTCACCTCCTCCAGTTGACCGTTGAGTTGAGCGATGGCCCCTATTTTTAAACTTTAAACTATTTTATTTTTAAACTAAATTTTATTAGGCCTAGGGAAACAAAAATGAAACAAAAAAAATTAGGAAAACACTAGGCCACTCCTATTTCCTTATTAATATAGGGCACCGTTCAATTGACAGCTTTTTCGGGTTTCTTAGTTTTGAACTTAGCTATCTCACAGCCCAAGTGCTAGAAGTGTATTACTATTACTAACATGGCGACCAGTTTCGCTTTCTTACATGGTAGATAGATATAAACTGGTGATTTATAGGATGTTCTATTCAAACTAAAAGCTTCCGGGTTTTGTTATTTTCGTGCCATCTCACGGCTCATGTGCTTACTAAAATAGCGGCCAGATTTGCTTTCACTTCGCGGTAGAGGGATAAAACTAATGATTATGAAGCCATTGTCAATTTTAGAAATCGTAACTAACCGTTTCTATTTAAGTCTGTTATTTAAGAATTGTCAGGTGTACTTTTGACCTAATTTCTTTGTCTCGCAAGCGGCGCTTTAGTGAATTAGCGCTGTGTATTCTTGTCTTTCAAATTAAATAACTCAAAAATACTGCTTCAATATCAAACCAGCCTATATGAATACTATACTTGAAAGCCTTAATTTTAAACACATTACAATTAAATGGTAATAATTTTTTGGGTTTATGAGATGTGATATGTGTAAATGATCACCACTCAATAATGGCATTTTATTATAATCTTTTTTTGGTGAAAATGATGCGCGGGCAAAAGTGTGCAGCGCAAGATTAAAATCATTTGGCTAGATTTATGACTATTTTTTAATGTCATTCCTAAAAATAGAATGTTTATGCTCTCTTCATTGATGATCATTATTATTTTTTAAAATGAAACTATTATTAGTTAGATTGGAGTTTTTGTAACTTGGTATCCTTACCCTTTATCAATTTAAAAAGCTTAGCATGCTGATTGTGTACAAATATAGTCATAAAACACAGAAATATAAAGTTCTAATTGCGATGTGCCACATATGTTTACTAAGCTGTCTATCTCACTTTACACTACAGTAATTAAAATTAATTTTCTAGTTTTTATTACTTATTTTGGGTAAGATTAACCATTTTTACTCATAATTAAAAAAAAACAAAAGTAAATTTTGTTTTAATAAAGGGTCACAGGTCAAGTACTAGCCAAGTATTTATTCCTTCAGTGGAGGGTGCTGCAGGGTCATGATAAATGTGGTCAGTACAGGTGGTTGAACTATTGTTGCCATGAATTGAGGACAAGTCAAATTAACTACGTCCTTATGATAAAGTTTATTCCATTTCACGCTCATTTAAAGTAGTAAAAAAAAACACAATGGAAACTGAGAAAATTTGAACGCCCTATTAAATTCTATAAAATATTATGTCAAACAGAATTACAACCTAGATAGTTTATTCTAAATAATTGTACTTGTCTTATAAATATTACTATACGTATCCAACCTACGCACACTACATTACATTTAATTAATTGTAAGTTGATTTGCACTTTCTGAATATTTAATACATAGAAGTATTAACAAATTCCATGCAAATATACATTTGTGACTTTTTTATACAATTTTTTTCTGTAATGCTTATTTATAATATTTTTAATGCTTATTTATAATATTTTTTACCTGTCCTAATTAAAACTTGAATTCATTTAAAAAAAATAAGTATGTCTAGATCCAATCCTAGTTTTTTGTTGATGTTTTTGTGTGTTTCGGTTGTGTTTATAACAAAATACGCTAAACCAACGGGAGGTGAACGTAAAACGCTGAATAAAATAAGCTTAAACTTAAATGGAGTTGTTTCCCTGAAAATAGAAGCTTAGTATAGTCGGGCTAATGATAATGCCTAATTATATTTTTATTTAATTTTGGTGAATAGGCACTGAATGACTGATGAAAAAGTGATGATGATTGGCTAAAAAAAATAAAAGAAAAAGAAAGGTTGAAAATTAGTAAATTACTCAGAAGTCTGAGACTCTGAAAAAGGTAGGCCAAAGGTGTATTTGTATTTCTTTTATACTTAGTTTTAGAATTTGTATAAGGCTTAGGCCTAGCTAGATTCTAGATTATCAATCCTAGTTAGTAATAGATGGTCCTCTGCCAAAAGGAAATGATCTTTAACCCTGAAATATCACTCTCTGTATTTTAATGTTTTATGTTTATTTTTGGGTCTTATTTATAATACCTGAAAAAACTGTTAATCTCACTAAATCTTATCATTATTTAAATGTGAGACACTAAGGAAATGGACACACTGCCTTAGAATGTCAGAAAAATTTGCCAGTATGTAGTTTTAATTAATAAAAGGAGCTCTAGTGAAGTATTTTGTAAAAACTGAACTGCCGCCAAAAAACTATTGATTAACTGGTCAAAATGCCTGACTAATAATGGATGAAAAAAATTTAATTAAAATATTCTGTTACTTATCATACACCATTACAAGCTATATCCCTAATTGGTCAGTGTGAGACCAAATTTGTCTGGCTTGTTACTCAGAGGCAGAGAAACCAAAAAAAAAAATTACCTAATACACACTTACAATGTGAAACACACTTTCTCCCCTTACCATATTGACTGACTTAACTGATGACATACATCAGAAATTCAAAATGATTTTGTAAGCTCCAACTTGGATATATTGAAACCTCCCTGTTTTTGTCCTATGTTTATTCCTATGAGATATATAAGCTCATACTCTCTCACCATCATCATTCACCATCGCACAAAGTCAGACTGCCTCAAATGGCATCACATGATGATTTGGCAATGCACATCTGAGTTAAAAATAAATGTGCCTATTTCATCTCCTGAATCAGATGGCCAAGAGCACAGAGCTGTGGGTGAATGACAAGCTGCATGACATCCTGGGGATAGCTGACAAATACATAGCTCAGTACTTTGTGGGGCTGGCCACCAAGTCTGAGAGCCCAGCTGACTTGCTCAAGAAACTGCAAGACACTGGCACCCTAGATGTCGATGACAACATTGTTGCATTTGCTAAAGAGCTTTTTGACAAAGTAAGTGAACATTGTTATTTTTGTCAGGTCCATGGACCCATCTAAATGAAAAATTATAAATTATTGAGTTTGCTAATGGATTATGAATGTTCAGTTGCCTAGACTTTCCCTTCATTTAGTAAAAACTAACTTCAGCTCTTCCATTTGAATTGAATAATTTTATATTGAAATAATTTACTTTATGAAGTATAAAAAAACAAATTTTAGAATAAGCAACATCAGTAGGACAGTCTCAGTTTTGTTGCTCTAAAATCTTCCTCACACAAATATTTTTATTCATGAAACAAAACAAACTTGATTGATTGATGAAGTGATGTGGTTGACTAGACTGTCAATGAACCAGAGATTGATGAAATGATGTGATTGACTAGATTGTCAATGAACCAGAGATGAATTGATGAGGGTCAACTCTCTCTAGGTCCCCCACAAACAGAAGCCAGAGAAACAGTTAACCCAGGAACAACAGAAGACCAGAGAACTGGAGGAGAAGAATAAAAGCTACCAGCTGTTGGATGATGACGATGATGATGATGATGAGGTGGAGCCGCAAACTTTTAAGGTCAGTTAACCCTTTATAGCCTACCTTCTACTGTAAACTTTTAATGTCAGTTAACCCTTTCTAGCCTAGAATATACAAAGTCTTACATATCACATGTGTTTTACTATCCAACCTAGCACATGTGTTTGACTGTCCAACATAGCACATGTGTTTGACTGTCCAACATAGCACATGTGTTTTACTGTCCAACATAGCACATGTGTTTTACTGTCCAACATAGCACATGTGTTTTACTGTCCAACATAGCTTTAGCCACCATCAACACCAATGTTTCAGGTCCCAAAAAGTGGCTCCCATGCCAACAGACAGCTGAGAAGGAAACTGTCCTCATCTGAGAGTAGTGAAGAGGAAACAGTCATGGATCAGTAAGTCTCACTTATCATTATTTTATACACACTTTGTCCTCAGGTGCTTTCTTCACTTGTTAGAATTATCCAAATAGGTTTGTCAAAAGTAGCTTTTCCATTAATTATATTTTTAATTTATTCTTTTAAAAACAAATCAAAGTCGGAAGTAAACATTGCTTTAAATGTAGTTTAATCCTAAAGTTAAATGTAGTTTAATCCTAAAGTTAAATGTAGTTTAATCCTAAAGTTAAATGTAGTTTAATCCTAAAGTTAAATGTAGTTTAATCCTAAAGTTAAATGTAGTTTAATCCTAAAGTATTGGAAAAAAAAATTTCATCTCATGAACAACTCTGTTAGCCATTTTACATAATTTTTTTTTTTTACTTTCATTAGAGACGATGACGATGATGATGATGACTCTAATGCAAGCAGTGATGACTCTGACCCAGATCACGAGCGTAAAAAAGATCTACAGGAGAGGGATGAATTTGCCAAGAGACTTCGAGACAAAGACAAGGAGAAGACAAGAAGTGTCATGTCCAAGTCAGACAAAAAGGTGTGGCAATAGCCTCAAACAATTGGTGTGCCTTTAGCAGTTTAACATCTCATTCCATTGTTAGACATATTTAAAAGCATTTTGTTTTTTTCATTTGTTGTTAAATTAAGCTGAGTAATTAATTTTCTTATAATTTTCTTATGTTAATTTTAAAACAAATAATTTGTCAATAAAAAAAGATTGATTAGTTAATGAAACTTATGAAGTGATAATAGATTTTAACGTTTTGTCCAGGCATTTGAAGAAGCCAAGAAAAGATTGAAGCTGGAACAAGAGGATAGAAAGAAAATAATTCCGGAGTTGAGGAAAAAATCTCGGAGAGAATATCTAAAGAAAAGACAAGCAGACAAACTGGAGGATCTAGAGGCTGATATAGCAGAGGAGGAATATTTCTTTGGACAGTCAAAGTAAGTTGTAGATGGTAGTTGACAGTCAAAGTAAGTTGTAGATGGTAGTTGACAGTCAAAGTAAGTTGTAGATGGTAGTTGACAGTCAAAGTAAGTTGTAGATGGTAGTTGACAGTCAAAGTAAGTTGTAGATGGTAGTTGACAGTCAAAGTAAGTTGTAGATGGTAGTTGACAGTCAAAGTAAGTTGTAGATGGTAGTTGACAGTCAAAGTAAGTTGTAGATGGTAGTTGACAGTCAAAGTAAGTTGTAGATGGTAGTTGACAGTCAAAGTAAGTTGTAGATGGTAGCTGACAGTCAAAGTAAGTTGTAGATGGTAGTTGACAGTCAAAGTAAGTTGTAGATGGTAGTTGACAGTCTAAGTTGTAGATGGTAGTTGACAGTCAAAGTAAGTTGTAGATGGTAGTTGACAGTCAAAGTAAGTTGTAGATGGTAGTTGACAGTCTAAGTAGGTTGTAGATGGTAGTTGACAGTCAAAGTAAGTTGTAGATGGTAACTGACAGTCAAAGTAAGTTGTTGATGGTAGTTGACAGTCAAAGTAAGTTGTAGATGGTAGCTGACAGTCAAAGTAAGTTGTAGATGGTAGCTGACAGTCAAAGTAAGTTGTAGATGGTAGTTGACAGTCAAAGTAAGTTGTAGATGGTAGTTGACAGTCAAAGTAAGTTGTAGATGGTAGTTGACAGTCAAAGTAAGTTGTAGATGGTAGTTGACAGTCAAAGTAAGTTGTAGATGGTAGTTGACAGTCAAAGTAAGTTGTAGATGGTAGCTGACAGTCAAAGTAAGTTGTAGATGGTAGTTGACAGTCAAAGTAAGTTGTAGATGGTAGCTGACCCACCTGTAAATGTGTCTGACCCCCCCCCCCCCCCCCCCCCTTGCCCTAGACTGACCCACCTGTAAATGTGTCTAACCCACCTGTAAATGTGTCTGACCCACCTGTAAATGTGTCTGACCCACCTGTAAATGTATCTGACCCCCCTAAGCTGACCCACCTGTAAATGTGTCTGACCCACCTGTAAATGTGTCTGACCCACCTGTAAATGTGTCTGACCCACCTGTAAATGTATCTGACCCCCCTAAGCTGACCCACCTGTAAATGTGTCTGACCCACCTGTAAATGTGTCTGACCCACCTGTAAATGTGTCTGACCCACCTGTAAATGTGTCTGACCCACCTGTAAATGTGTCTGACCCACCTGTAAATGTGTCTGACCCCCCTTGTTGTAAGCTGACCCACCTGTAAATGTGTCTGACCCCCCTGTAAATGTGTCTGACCCCACCTGTAAATGTGTCTGACCCCCCTGTAAATGTGTCTGACCCCCCTTGTTGTAAGCTGACCCACCTGTAAATGTGTCTGACCCACCTGTAAATGTGTCTGACCCACCTGTAAATGTGTCTGACCCACCTGTAAATGTATCTGACCCCCCTAAGCTGACCCACCTGTAAATGTGTCTGACCCACCTGTAAATGTGTCTGACCCACCTGTAAATGTGTCTGACCCACCTGTAAATGTGTCTGACCCCCCTTGTTGTAAGCTGACCCACCTGTAAATGTGTCTGACCCACCTGTAAATGTGTCTGACCCACCTGTAAATGTGTCTGACCCACCTGTAAATGTGTCTGACCCACCTGTAAATGTGTCTGACCCCCCTTGTTGTAAGCTGACCCACCTGTAAATGTGTCTAACCCACCTGTAAATGTGTCTGACCCACCTGTAAATGTGTCTGACCCACCTGTAAATGTGTCTGACCCACCTGTAAATGTGTCTGACCCCCCTTGTTGTAAGCTGACCCACCTGTAAATGTGTCTGACCCCCCTGTAAATGTGTCTGACCCACCTGTAAATGTGTCTGACCCCCCTTGTTGTAAGCTGACCCACCTGTAAATGTGTCTGACCCCCCTTGTTGTAAGCTGACCCACCTGTAAATGTGTCTGACCCACCTGTAAATGTGTCTGACCCACCTGTAAATGTGTCTGACCCACCTGTAAATGTGTCTGACCCACCTGTAAATGTATCTGACCCCCCTAAGCTGACCCACCTGTAAATGTGTCTGACCCACCTGTAAATGTGTCTGACCCACCTGTAAATGTGTCTGACCCACCTGTAAATGTGTCTGACCCACCTGTGAATGTGTCTGACCCACCTGTAAATGTGTCTGACCCACCTGTAAATGTGTCTGACCCCCCTGTAAATGTATCTGACCCCCCTAAGCTGACCCACCTGTAAATGTGTCTGACCCACCTGTAAATGTGTCTGACCCACCTGTAAATGTGTCTAACCCACCTGTAAATGTGTCTGACCCCACTTGCTGTAAGCTGACCCACCTGTAAATGTGTCTGACCCACCTGTAAATGTGTCTGACCCACCTGTAAATGTGTCTGACCCCCCTTGTTGTAAGCTGACCCACCTGTAAATGTGTCTGACCCACCTGTAAATGTGTCTGACCCCACTTGCTGTAAGCTGACCCACCTGTAAATGTGTCTGACCCCCCTAAGCTGACCCACCTGTAAATGTGTCTGACCCACCTGTAAATGTGTCTGACCCACCTGTAAATGTGTCTGACCCCCCTAAGCTGACCCACCTGTAAATGTGTCTGACCCACCTGTAAATGTGTCTGACCCACCTGTAAATGTGTCTGACCCACCTGTAAATGTGTCTGACCCACCTGTAAATGTGTCTGACCCACCTGTAAATGTATCTGACCCCCCTAAGCTGACCCACCTGTAAATGTGTCTGACCCACCTGTAAATGTGTCTGACCCACCTGTAAATGTGTCTGACCCACCTGTAAATGTGTCTGACCCACCTGTAAATGTGTCTGACCCACCTGTAAATGTGTCTGACCCCCCTGTAAATGTATCTGACCCCCTAAGCTGACCCACCTGTAAATGTGTCTGACTCACCTGTAAATGTGTCTGACCCACCTGTAAATGTGTCTGACCCACCTGTAAATGTGTCTGACCCCACTTGCTGTAAGCTGACCCACCTGTAAATGTGTCTGACCCACCTGTAAATGTGTCTGACCCACCTGTAAATGTGTCTGACCCCCCTTGTTGTAAGCTGACCCACCTGTAAATGTGTCTGACCCACCTGTAAATGTGTCTGACCCCACTTGCTGTAAGCTGACCCACCTGTAAATGTGTCTGACCCCCCTAAGCTGACCCACCTGTAAATGTGTCTGACCCACCTGTAAATGTGTCTGACCCACCTGTAAATGTGTCTGACCCACCTGTAAATGTATCTGACCCCCCTAAGCTGACCCACCTGTAAATGTGTCTGACCCACCTGTAAATGTGTCTGACCCACCTGTAAATGTGTCTGACCCACCTGTAAATGTGTCTGACCCACCTGTAAATGTGTCTGACCCACCTGTAAATGTGTCTGACCCCCCCTTGTTGTAAGCTGACCCACCTGTTAATGTTTCTGACCCACCTGTAAATGTGTCTGACCCCACTTGCTGTAAGCTGACCCACCTGTAAATGTGTCTGACCCCTCTAAGCTGACCCACCTGTAAATGTGTCTGACCCACCTGTAAATGTGTCTGACCCACCTGTAAATGTGTCTGACCCACCTGTAAATGTGTCTGACCCACCTGTAAATGTGTCTGACCCACCTGTAAATGTGTCTGACCCACCTGTAAATGTGTCTGACCCACCTGTAAATGTGTCTGACCCACCTGTAAATGTATCTGACCCCCCTAAGCTGACCCACCTGTAAATGTGTCTGACCCACCTGTAAATGTGTCTGACCCACCTGTAAATGTGTCTGACCCCCCTAAGCTGACCCACCTGTAAATGTGTCTGACCCACCTGTAAATGTGTCTGACCCACCTGTAAATGTGTCTGACCCACCTGTAAATGTGTCTGACCCCCCTTGTTGTAAGCTGACCCACCTGTAAATGTGTCTGATCCACCTGTAAATGTGTCTGACCCCACTTGCTGTAAGCTGACCCACCTGTAAATGTGTCTGACCCACCTTTAAATGTGTCTGACCCCCCCAGGCTGACCAAGAGAGAGCTGAAAGACCTGGAGTACAAGAAAACTGTCCTGAAGCTAGCTAAGGAACACAAAGCTGCAGGTGAGATAGAGAAGATTGACAGGTACTACATCCCACGTGAGGACGTCAAGCCACAGGACAAGTACGTGGAGGACAAGTCTGAGAAGCGCCATGGCTCAGAGCAGGCCAGGTGGGAGGAGGAACACCTGAACGCTGCCCTGCTCAAGTTTGGTGCCAGGGACGCCAAGGAGAAGAAGAAGACCAAGGACTACGATGTGATCATGGACGAGGAGATTGAGTTTGTGCAAGCTCTCAAGATGCCAGGAACCATGAAAGATAAGGTAGGACCTGCTAGCCTTGTTAGATATTTCTTCATGTTGGGTAATGGATGCTTTGGTTTAATGATGGCAATACCATCACTGTGGGTACAAGAGATGATTTTGGTGCAACCTTCATTTTTTAAACTGTTCATTTAAGTAAATACGAATTGATTAGTACAAAATACATGTTGGAGCATGTGTCACTGTGTGAGCCATGTCGTGCCACTCCCCAGGAGAAGTCTGTGAAGGAGGAGAAGAAGATGTCCATCTCTGAGACCAAGAAGAGCCTCCCCATCTACCCCTTTAAGAAAGATTTGATCCAGGCTGTCAGGGACCACCAGGTGCTCATCATTGAGGGGGAGACTGGCTCAGGCAAGACCACCCAGATCCCACAGTACCTGCATGAAGCTGTGAGTTGGACATTGTGTGTGGGGGGGGGGTGGGGTGACCAAACAGGTGTGGGTGGGGGGTGGGGGCAAGACCACCCAGATCCCACAGTACCTGCATGAAGCTGTGAGTTGGACATTTGTGTGGAGGGGGGTGGGGGGGGGGGGGGTGACCAAACAGGTGGGGGGTGGGGGCAAGACCACCCAGATCCCACAGTACCTGCATGAAGCTGTGAGTTGGATATAACTTGGGGGTGGGGGGGTCTAAATCTATAACATTATTTGAAAGAAATGGCCAAATTTTGATGTGCTATTGTTCTAGGACCAAAGCTGTAACATTATTTGAAAGAAATGACCAAATTTTGATGTTCTAGGGCTTCACCGCAAACGGCATGAAAGTTGGCTGCACACAGCCGCGTAGGGTGGCTGCCATGTCTGTGTCGGCCCGTGTGGCTGAAGAAATGGGCTGGAAGCTTGGCAATGAGGTGGGCTACAGCATCAGGTTTGAGGACTGCACCTCAGAGAGAACTATCCTCAAGTACATGACAGACGGGATGCTATTGAGGGAGTTCCTCAGTGAGCCAGACCTGGCCAGCTACAGCGCTGTCATCATAGACGAGGCCCACGAGAGAACTCTCCATACAGACGTCTTGTTTGGCCTGGTCAAAGATATTGCCAGATTTCGTCCAGATCTCAAACTACTAATATCTAGCGCCACGTTGGACGCTCAGAAATTTTCTGAATTCTTTGACGACGCTCCGATATTTCGTATCCCTGGCAGGAGGTATCCAGTGGATATTTACTACACAAAAGCACCTGAGGCGGATTACCTGGATGCTGCTGTGGTTTCTGTGTTGCAGATCCACGTGACTCAGCCGTTTGGTGATATCCTGGTTTTCCTGACTGGCCAGGAGGAAATAGAAACAGCCAATGAGATGCTACTGGAGAGGACCAGGAAACTGGGAACAAAAATCAAAGAGCTGATCGTGCTACCCATTTATTCTACACTCCCATCAGAACTACAAGCCAAAATTTTTGAGCCAACTCCACCTAATGCTAGAAAAGTAAGGTTTTATATTTTTACGAGCCGGCCCGCGGCATAACATACGCCGCTATTTAGTTGTTTCTAATTTTCAATAATTCATAATTTGTGAATTCGACAGTACCAACGCTGACACTGAAAATATTTCTTTAAAACACTATAAGTAGCTCGTTAAGGTAGCTCACTAAAACCATGTAGGGGTGGGGAGGTAGGGAGAGCGTTTGCAGCTTGTTTTCTAACGGCTGGAAGAAGAGAATTATATATATAGATTGTATCCAATACTAGAATAACTTATCTGTTATTGAAACATGTTAGATAAAATGGCATTCAAATCTTTGAATCTTATGTAACTAATTAAATTTAGCACATATGATGACTATACCAAAGACTTACATTAACTTACTAAACACATGGTTTGCCTCAGTTTACTGGGGTTTTATAGACATTTTTTTGCTTTTGTTTGTTAGAAATATTTAAAAAGTAAAAAAAAAAACAACTGAGTATGAATAAGTTGACATTGTCTATTTTATAACTGTAAGGTTATATTAGCAACCAACATAGCTGAGACATCCTTGACCATTGATGGGATTGTGTATGTGATAGATCCTGGTTTCTGTAAGCAGAAGAGCTACAATCCTCGGACAGGCATGGAATCTCTTGTTGTCACCCCTGTTTCTAAAGTGAGTCTTTGATTTTTTGATTGTTTCCTTTTTATTTAGTGCACATTATCAAAATGATTTTTACAAGTCATATTTTTCTTCTGATTTATCATCATGCCTTTAATTTTCTGATCATGCTTTTAGTTTTTGTCTAATTTTGAACTCTTCTGTTGGAACTCATTAAAATAAAATCTGCTTCATTAAGGATGTGAAAACAAATGTCTTCTCTAATGGCTGTACCTTTGTTTGTATTTGTGAGGATACATTACTTACACTACCCGTTTAATTACTGTTTCTAATTGCCCAATTAATCAGGCATCAGCCAATCAGAGGGCAGGCCGAGCAGGGCGTGTCTCAGCAGGGAAGTGTTTCCGCCTGTACACAGCATGGGCCTACAAAAATGAGCTGGAGGACAACGCCATCCCAGAAATACAGAGGACCAACCTGGGCAATGTTGTCCTGCTCTTGAAATCTCTGGGCATCAATGACCTTTTGAACTTTGACTTCATGGACCCTCCACCACACGAGACCCTTGTTTTGGCGCTAGAGCAGTTGTACGCGCTGGGTGCCCTCAACCACATGGGGGAGCTGACCAAGCTAGGCAGGAGAATGGCAGAATTTCCTGTTGACCCCATGATGTCCAAGATGATTTTGGCCTCAGAGAAGTATGTCAAACACTTTCCTGCCCCATGCACCTCCAGTTTTATTGTAATGTCCAAATTTTCTACAATCTTTAAAACAGTTAATGAATTTAATTTTAGAATTACAATCACTGTTGATATTAGTACTAATTAACATGCCTTTGACAATTAATTGTCTTTAGTTACAGTTGAAATATTCACATTTTTAATAAAATAGGGCAGACTTCCGTTATTTCAGCTAGGTTCTGATTTTAAAAAAAATTGTTAATGTGTTAAAAATTAATAGCTGGCTTTGGCCAATCAGTTATATATTAAGTTACACAGTTGAATTGTGTGGGATTTTTTTCAACTGAAGGTCTTGTCTATTTTATCTATTTTAGTGTTTTTAAAAAAATCAACCAATGTGTGAAACAACTCATCAGTGAGTCTTATTACTAGCCAACTTTCTTTGATCTTAGCCATAGTGCACATCACAATGATCAACAAAATGGTAGTATATTATATAACATAAAATTAGGAAAAATTACATGTTATAAAATTCTTTGTATTATATGTATGTGCTTTTGTTTTATTTTATATAACTCTTCCAAAACTTAAAAAAAAATTAATTAGGCCTGCTGTATAATTTATTGTTACATTTATCATACATCATTTTTACTTTCTCGTATATACGAAGTATAGAGAAAGTATTGTAATCGTGCAAAAAAAAAAAATCGAGATTTTTACAGATCTCGACGTTTTACACCTCACTGATACGGAAAAACATAATTTTGCAATCTTGTCCGTATGTCTGTGTGTGTGTGTGTGTGTCTGTCTGTGTGTCCGTGTGTAAACACGATAACTTGAGTACCGTTACAGCTAGGTTAATGAAATTTCATATATAAGTATTATATCAAAATCGTAGATCCGTATCAACTTTTGAGCGATTTCCGATAACCGGAAGTGGTACTTTTCCTACTTTGAATTTTTCAAAAGCCTATAACTTGAGTACTATTTCAGATAGATAAATGAAATTTCACATGTAAGTAAAAGATCTAATTCTCTACCTTCTGTTAAATTTTGAGTAATTTCCGTTGACTGGAAGTAGTAATTTACGCTACTTCCGATTTCTCAAAAAACTAATGTAAATTTTAAAAGTACTAATAATATTGTGCACTATTATGCGCTTTTTTATTGGGCGTTCACTTGGTGTGCAATTAATTTGTCTACGAGATTTTATTCTATTTTTAAAACTTTAAGTATTTAAAATGGATTAAAAATCATGTCTATAGCCCGAGTTCCCATCCCCTGTTATTTTATATAAGAATATTCGAGAAAGTTTAGGGGAGATCACCCCCGGTTTATTTATGATTCATAAATAGTACTGCTACCCTAGTCCTGCACATTTTTGTCATCAGACCATCATATTTAAAAACAATCTCTATGCCTGGTAGATAAAAGAGTATTTCATAAAGCCCAATAAATGGTTGAAGTTAGGAATGGGGTCACTGATCAGCCTTGTATCTGGAGTTGTTTTCTCAATGATGATTGGTTCACTATTTATAACAATCCAATCAGCTACAGTTTTTAACAGTGAAAAAAATGTGTTGATTGGTTTACAAAAGATAACTTAGAGAAGTGGATCTTCTGCAAGGTTAAACCAATCACAATTTTAAGTAGTCCATTTTTCTATGTATTCTTGTTTTGATTTTTAAAAATAATTTTATATATTCATAAAGATATTTTAAAAAGTAAAAAAAAAAATAGTATAATGTTATAAATAGGACAGTGCACAACTGTGTAAAAGTAAATGTACTCATCATAGTGGGTGGTAAAGGGTTACATTTTATCAAACTATAACTATTTATTTAGATATTTATGTTTGGTTTGATTCCTGAAGTTTTTGCCACTTGTTTAAATGGTTTGCAAATGACAGACATCAAGAATTGAACTGTTTCCTGAACAAACCCCATCTGATGTCTAAATGAGCCTTTAAGTTATTGTATAATCCACCAGGTACAAATGTTCTAAGGAGGTCATCACCATAGCAGCCATGTTGTCTGTCAACAACGCCATCTTCTACCGCCCCAAAGATAAAATTGTCCACGCCGACACCGCCAGACACAACTTCTTTGTGCCAGGGGGAGATCACCTGACCCTCCTGAATGTGTACAACCAGTGGGAGGAGACGGAGTACTCGACACAATGGTGCTATGAGAACTACATCCAGCACAGGTCCATGAAGCGGGCCAGGGACGTCAGGGATCAGCTGGAGGGGCTGCTAGAGAGGGTGGAGATTGACGTCATGTCCAACACTGGTGACACAGTTGCCATTAGAAAGGTGAGCTAGAGAGGGTGGAGATTGACGTCATGTCCAACACTGGTGACACAGTTGCCATTAGAAAGGTGAGCTAGAGAGGGTGGAGATTGACGTCATGTCCAACACTGGTGACACAGTTGCCATTAGAAAGGTGAGCTAGAGAGGGTGGAGATTGAGGTCATGTCCAACACTGGTGACACAGTTGCCATTAGAAAGGTGAGCTAGAGAGGGTGGAGATTGAGGTCATGTCCAACACTGGTGACACAGTTGCCATTAGAAAGGTGAGCTAGAGAGGGTGGAGATTGATGTCATGTCCAACACTGGTGACACAGTTGCCATTAGAAAGGTGAGCTGGTCTGGCATGCCTCCATGGTACAGTTCAAACACCAAGTGATGGGCTGTCTGTTGCCCAACTCCATTGATTGTAAAGTGGGAAAGTAAATCAGTTCTATTTTTTTTTTATGATTTTTTTTTTCTGTTTATTTCTTCCTCAAATAGTTGTGTTGTATTAGATGTTTTGTTGTCTATTGTTATTTTGTTGTCTTAGCTCTTTCTTTGCTATTAATAATGCAACTGTTAATTCTTTTCTGGTGTTGATTGATTTGTGTCTGATGTTGGTAGTTTGTGTTGATACTTGTCTAAAGTTGATAGTTGTCTTACATGAGCAGGCTATCACTGCTGGCTACTTCTACCACACTGTCAGACTGACCAAAGGTGGTCAGTACAAGACTGTCAAGTCCCAGCAGACAGTCATGGTACACCCCAACAGCTGCCTGTTTGAGGAGCACCCTAGGTGGTTGGTCTACCACGAACTTGTCTTCACGACCAAGGAGTTCATGCGACAGGTAAGTTCATCACAGTCTCAACATTCTATCATACACATGTAGGTTTCTGTCAATATTCTGTCACGAACTTGTCTTCACAACCAAGGAGTTCATGCGACAGGTAGGGTCATCACAGTCTCAACATTCTATCATACACATGTAGGTTTCTGTCAATATTCTGTCACGAACTTGTCTTCACAACCAAGGAGTTCATGCGACAGGTAGGGTCATCACAGTCTCAACATTCTATCATACACATGTAGGTTTCTGTCAATATTCTGTCACGAACTTGTCTTCACAACCAAGGAGTTCATGCGACAGGTAGGGTCATCACAGTCTCAACATTCTATCATACACATGTAGGTTTCTGTCCATATTCTGTCACGAACTTGTCTTCACGACCAAGGAGTTCATGCGACAGGTAAGGTCATCACAGTCTCAACATTCTATCATACACATGTAGCTTTCTGTCAATGTTCTGTCACGAACTTGTCTTCACGACCAAGGAGTTCATGCGACAGGTAAGGTCATCACAGTCTCAACATTCTATCATACACATGTAGGTTTCTGTCAATATTCTGTCACGAACTTGTCTTCACGACCAAGGAGTTCATGCGACAGGTAAGGTCATCACAGTCTCAACATTCTATCATACACATGTAGGTTTCTGTCAATATTCTGTCACGAACTTGTCTTCACAACCAAGGAGTTCATGCGACAGGTAGGGTCATCACAGTCTCAACATTCTATCATACACATGTAGGTTTCTGTCAATATTCTGTCACGAACTTGTCTTCACAACCAAGGAGTTCATGCGACAGGTAGGGTCATCACAGTCTCAACATTCTATCATACACATGTAGGTTTCTGTCCATATTCTGTCACGAACTTGTCTTCACAACCAAGGAGTTCATGCGACAGGTAAGGTCATCACAGTCTCAACATTCTATCATACACATGTAGGTTTCTGTCCATATTCTGTCACGAACTTGTCTTCACGACCAAGGAGTTCATGCGACAGGTAAGGTCATCACAGTCTCAACATTCTATCATACACATGTAGCTTTCTGTCAATGTTCTGTCACGAACTTGTCTTCACGACCAAGGAGTTCATGCGACAGGTAAGGTCATCACAGTCTCAACATTCTATCATACACATGTAGGTTTCTGTCAATATTCTGTCACGAACTTGTCTTCACGACCAAGGAGTTCATGCGACAGGTAAGGTCATCACAGTCTCAACATTCTATCATACACATGTAGGTTTCTGTCCATATTCTGTCACGAACTTGTCTTCACGACCAAGGAGTTCATGCGACAGGTAAGGTTATCACAGTCTCAACATTCTATCATACACATGTAGGTTTCTGTCCATATTCTGTCACGAACTTGTCTTCACAACCAAGGAGTTCATGCGACAGGTAAGGTCATCACAGTCTCAACATTCTATCATACACATGTAGGTTTCTGTCAATATTCTGTCACGAACTTGTCTTCACAACCAAGGAGTTCATGCGACAGGTAAGGTCATCACAGTCTCAACATTCTATCATACACATGTAGGTTTCTGTCAATATTCTGTCACGAACTTGTCTTCACAACCAAGGAGTTCATGCGACAGGTAAGGTCATCACAGTCTCAACATTCTATCATACACATGTAGGTTTCTGTCAATATTCTGTCACGAACTTGTCTTCACAACCAAGGAGTTCATGCGACAGGTAAGGTCATCACAGTCTCAACATTCTATCATACACATGTAGGTTTCTGTCAATATTCTGTCACGAACTTGTCTTCACAACCAAGGAGTTCATGCGACAGGTAGGGTCATCACAGTCTCAACATTCTATCATACACATGTAGGTTTCTGTCCATATTCTGTCACGAACTTGTCTTCACGACCAAGGAGTTCATGCGACAGGTAAGGTCATCACAGTCTCAACATTCTATCATACACATGTAGGTTTCTGTCACGAACTTGTCTTCACAACCAAGGAGTACATGCGACAGGTAAGGTCATCACAGTCTCAACATTCTATCATACACATGTAGCTTTCTGTCAATGTTCTGTCACGAACTTGTCTTCACAACCAAGGAGTTCATGCGACAGGTAAGGTCATCACAGTCTCAACATTCTATCATACACATGTAGGTTTCTGTCAATATTCTGTCACGAACTTGTCTTCACGACCAAGGAGTTCATGCGACAGGTAAGGTCATCACAGTCTCAACATTCTATCATACACATGTAGGTTTCTGTCAATGTTCTGTCACGAACTTGTCTTCACGACCAAGGAGTTCATGCGACAGGTAAGGTCATCACAGTCTCAACATTCTATCATACACATGTAGGTTTCTGTCAATATTCTGTCACGAACTTGTCTTCACGACCAAGGAGTTCATGCGACAGGTAAGGTCATCACAGTCTCAACATTCTATCATAGACATGTAGCTTTCTGTTCATATTCTGTCACGAACTTGTCTTCACAACCAAGGAGTTCATGCGACAGGTAAGGTCATCACAGTCTCAACATTCTATCATACACATGTAGGTTTCTGTCAATATTCTGTCACGAACTTGTCTTCACAACCAAGGAGTTCATGCGACAGGTAAGGTCATCACAGTCTCAACATTCTATCATAGACATGTAGCTTTCTGTTCATATTCTGTCACGAACTTGTCTTCACAACCAAGGAGTTCATGCGACAGGTAAGGTTATCACAGTCTCAACATTCTATCATACACATGTAGGTTTCTGTCAATATTCTGTCACGAACTTGTCTTCACAACCAAGGAGTTCATGCGACAGGTAAGGTCATCACAGTCTCAACATTCTATCATAGACATGTTGCTTTCTGTTCATATTCTGTCACGAACTTGTCTTCACAACCAAGGAGTTCATGCGACAGGTAAGGTTATCACAGTCTCAACATTCTATCATACACATGTAGGTTTCTGTCCATATTCTGTCACGAACTTGTCTTCACAACCAAGGAGTTCATGCGACAGGTAAGGTTATCACAGTCTCAACATTCTATCATACACATGTAGGTTTCTGTCCATATTCTGTCACGAACTTGTCTTCACAACCAAGGAGTTCATGCGACAGGTAAGGTTATCACAGTCTCAACATTCTATCATACACATGTAGGTTTCTGTCCATATTCTGTCACGAACTTGTCTTCACAACCAAGGAGTTCATGCGACAGGTAAGGTTATCACAGTCTCAGCATTCTATCATACACATGTAGGTTTCTGTTCATATTCTGTCACGAACTTGTCTTCACAACCAAGGAGTTCATGCGACAGGTAAGGTCATCACAGTCTCAACATTCTATCATAGACATGTAGCTTTCTGTTCATATTCTGTCACGGTCTATTTTGAAATATCTAGTATTATTTTTTACTTAAATAATCCAGTGATAATACAAATTATATTACCTTTTTAATCACCTTTAAATTTTTTCAAGGTGTTGATTAATTTTGCCAACTGAATGTTCAAAACCCTTGACCACACAGAACTAAACATTCTCTCCTTGCAGGTGATTGAGATAGAAAATCTGTGGCTGCTGGAGGTGGCTCCACACTATTACAGGTCTAAAGACTTAGAGGACGGGGCAGGCAAGAAAATGCCAAAAAAAGTTGGAAAAGCAAAAAACGAATTAGAAAGAAACTACTGAACATTGCAAGACATTGGTACTCCAAGTACATTCAGATTTCTTCAGTAGATCTCAGACTTGAGCAGTAGCTCTAAGTGCATGGTCAAGCTGACCGGTCACACCTCTGTCAGGTCACACTGACCCCCCCTCTCCATTGCAATCAGGTGAGACTGAGCCCACTCTACTGCAGTCAGATGAGACGGACCAACAACCAGAATTTGTTGTACATAACCTTCCCTGTGGCAGCTGCTATTGAACAGTTGACATTTTGTAGTCAAAAGATTTCCTGACTGTTCCATTGTTGAGTGTAATCATAAGATTTCCTGACTGTTCCATTGTTGAGTGTAATCATAAGATTTCCTGACTGTTCCATTGTTGAGTGTAACCATAAGATTGTTAAATTGTTGATTGTAAGAATCATTGGTGTGTTTTATGCAAATGTTGTCTACAACAATGTGATTAAAATACTGTTACAAAAATTATTTGAAGTTAAGTGACGTCAGTAAAGAATTCTAAAAATTGCAAACAAAACCTTATTCACATAAAAGAAACAAAAGAATGTATTGATACAATTCAGCTTTATTAAGTACACATAAAGTCATAAATATTGTCACCATTAATGATAAAGATAATGAATAAAAATGTTTTGGCTAAGTTATAGTATAATTATCAAACGAAACCAGCTATGTATTTAAAGTTTAGCACTCAACAGTTTGTCCTCTAAGATTGTAGCTATTTTCACTTCAGTCACACACTAGCACCCCCACCCCAACCACCTCCAGTCACACACTAGCACCCCCACCCCAACCACCTCCAGTCACACACTAGCACCCCCACCCCAACCACCTCCAGTCACACACTAGCACCACCACCCCAACCACCTCCAGTCACACACTAGCACCACCACCTCCAGTCACACACTAGCACCCCCACCCCAACCACCTCCAGTCACACACTAGCACCACCACCCCAACCACCTCCAGTCACACACTAGCACCACCACCACCCCAACCACCTCCAGTCACACACCACCACCCCAACCACCTCCAGTCACACACTAGCACCACCACCCCAACCACCTCCAGTCACACACACCCACACCAGGATCACAGGTTTCCTGCTGGTCTAAGAATTGAATAAAAATTGTATTAAAACATAACAAAAGACAAAAACTAGGAGCTCTGTAAGGCTGAACATCAAGAGGGCTGAACATTCCTGGAGGATGGGGCTCCTGGTGCAGGGACTGACTTCTCTTTCAGGGACTGGGACTCTCGTTTCAAAACACTCAACAACGTCTGGGAACTCTCCAGAATCTAAGATAAATTTTTCTTTAGTAACTCAATGATGATTTTATTTTTTAACGATAAAAAAAAAAACCTGATTGGAAAGGACTTGATTATGAACTAAATAAAATTCTAATTGTTAATGTTAAACTTTCTCACCAAGTATCACAATAGACCAAGGGGGGGGGGGGGGTGTGATCAGTAGAATGACCACAACAGGACCTCACTGTGAAATGAGTGACTTGTAGTTCAGCACATATAAGCCACACATTTGTACTGAATAGTCTAGAGCCAGATTCTCCCCAATATTTTGGGCTATGTCTTTCCTCTATCAGACCACACATTTGTACTGAATAGTCTAGAGCCAGATTCTCCCCAATATTTTGGGCTATGTCTTTCCTCTATCAGACCACACATTTGTACTGAATAGTCTAGAGCCAGATTCTCCCCAATATTTTGGGCTATGTCTTTCCTCTATCAGACCACACATTTGTACTGAATAGTCTAGAGCCAGATTCTCCCCAATATTTTGGGCTATGTCTTTCATCTATCAGACCACACATTTGTACTGAATAGTCTAGAGCCAGATTCTCCCCAATATTTTGGGCTATGTCTTTCATCTATCAGACCACACATTTGTACTGAATAGTCTAGAGCCAGATTCTCCCCAATATTTTGGGCTATGTCTTTCCTCTATCAGAAGAGATTCATTCCTCATACAAGAGACAAACACCCCCACACATACACCTCTCCCACATGAACAAACAGCACACTGCGATTAACTGACAACCTACCTTCATGTAGGCTGCCTCTGTCTCAGCTATTGTCTTATCAAACTCATTACGTGAGGCCATTTTCTTGGCTAAAGATTCGTTTACTTTAGCCAGCCTTTCTGTCAGTACCCTGATGTCATTTTGTAATTTCATTTTCTCCTCCTCTTCTTGCAGGATGGAGCGGTGGATCTCATCCCTCTTGCTACACAGTTCCTCTATACCTAAACCATGTAAATAGATGTACATTCATCATTAGAGTCGTATATCTCAATTATACAAAGTTCATTTGTATGGGGTGATGTAACTGTAAAGGAACAAGGTATAGAAAAGTATGGAACAATATGCTGTAGTATCTACTTGACTGGACACAGAATGTAATGCCCACGGAGGGATGGGATATTCAGATTTATGTAAGCTTTGGAATTTGGGTACATGTGAACATCCAGACATTAATTGTAACAAAATATAGCAGGACTGCAAGTAAACTGCAAAGATGTGGCTATTTGGACATGGTCCTTGTAGTTGTTGTATTGTGAGTTGTAGCGTACAAAACAGATATGCACCTGGTTTGTTTCTCATTTGTACCTGGAAAACCTTAGCCTGATTTGTGAAAGAAAAGTTTCAACAAAATAAGTACATCGGTCACAATTGTTGTGTTTTTTTAGATTTAAAAAACAAAATATTCTAAACATCATTGCTTCTACTACTATGATCGCGCGCTCACAATTTATGTTTTCTTGTCAAAACGGGAGAAAAATCCTGTCACGTTCATGGGGTCACTTTGAGTTCATATTGGTTTAGATACTGGGCCGCTATGAAGGAGTAAGATGATTTTGAGATGTAAACCTGTACTCACACTTGACAAGTTCATTGTTGTAGCTCTGCAGAGCTGCTCCTTGTTGGGACATCTCAGTGAAAATAAAACAGGAAATTGAGATTCTAAAAAGGTAGATCTAGTTGAGGTGGACCAAACACCACACCTTGACCAGACTTCTTGATAAATGTTGACAAAATTATAATAATTAATTATAAAAATAATACAATCTTTACTTGAAGTTGAAGAAAAATTGCATAAATGAATTAATTCCTAAAGAAGAACAACAATAAGTGTGGAAGTAAGAGACTAAAAATCATCATGAATAAATGAAATGGAAATGTTCAGTAACAAATCAAATGAGTTAGAATAAATAATGTCTTCCAGCGAGACCAATTTACATTTTCAGCTTTATTAGAATTAGGAGTCCTTTGACTCTATTTAAATAATAAGGTTTTATAAGCAGCCAAGGCATTTTTAATGGACATTACCAAGTTGACATGGAACCTTCCATCATTATTGTTAACATGGATAGAAAAGGTTTTTTTTAGATTTTGCAATCAGAGTGACCATAAAAATAATAAAAGATATAAACTTAAGCCTGAAAACAATTCAGAAATAATATTTTTAGAATCTATATTATAGAAGTTGCAAATCAAGAGAAGTCAAAAATAATTTTTTTAGTTATAGGCTAATTTCTATTTATTGTCATCAAGGCTAAGATATGACATGAAGTTTCACTTTCGTAAGACAAAAATTGATTGGCAGTGCAGAAACTCCATGATATATATTCAGTAAGCCCCACTTAAAACAACAACAAATACTCATAGTAATTTGTACTCAAAACTTTGCCAATACAATATTTAAAATTTAGCCATATACAATGAAACTGTTTTTGGGTTTTTTAAAAAGTTTGTAACCGAAAATACTACAAAAATCAATTAGATCCAATCTTTAGTACAGTCCAACAAAAATCAGATTTTTATAACCCCTCTATTTATTTTATAAATATTGTACATGCCTTTTAAATATTTAACTAGCCATAGTTACCCATTACACATGAATTATAAGCCTAAATTTTAAAAATTATTTTATAAAATTGTTATTGGTCAAAACGCAATGTGCTTTACTATATGTTGAACAAAATTAGTAAAAATGCAAAGAAATAACTAAATAGCTAAAAATTCAATACGTTTAATATAACGTAGGCTTCAAATACCAATTAGAATAGTTAAAACAAAATATATACATTATTAATCAACACAACACTATATTAAATGCCCACACTGATTAAGTGACTTAAATGATTCTTTGAAACACCAGGCTATTTAATAGCATTTATGTTGTTTTTCAAACTATTTATTTTCATTATTTTGGTCGTGAAAATTCTATAGGCCTACATTTCATAGTGTAACTCTTGATAAGTAGATCTATGGATCTAAATCAAATTTGAATTTGAACATTGGAAGATGTGGGAAGCGAATCTTATCAAAGATGATGTCATTAGTATTGTGTATTATTTTAGACATTCTATTTTTAATTATATTTTTTATCCTACAAGCAATGACACCATTAGAGATGTATCCTTTTTATAGTTTCAACTTTTTATTAACATCGTTTCATTAAGATTTTTTCCTATTTGGATCATGTGGTGTTATTCTGTTTGCCAATGATAGTTTTTGTGTTGCTTATATGTTCTTGTCACAACCATAAACTATTCCTGGTTGCATAATTCAAGATGTGTTTCTACATTAGAATATGCCTTTATTTTTAGCGCGAGATTCAGGGGAAGCCACTCTATTTTACAAATGACTGCTGTTTATATGGCAAAACTTGGTAATCTATCGTTTTGGGTACGTAAAATCGCCCGCGATTTGTAATGTGAAAAACAGGTGACTCCTTAAATTTTAATAATTATTTCACATTTTGAGGAGAATTTATGTATTAAAAAATTCAAAAATGTTTCCTTAATTCATTTATGTACCTGTTTTTAAACAATTGAATTAAAACTTTTCCGTAATAAATGAAGACTAGCGATGTTTCCAACAGATGCAACCATGCTCATTTACTATAGCAGCCATCTTGTCTAAGTTTTATTTTTATAAGCTTTTAGCGCCAGATTCAGGGGGAAGCCACTCTATTTTACAAATGGCTGCTGTTTATATAGCAAATCTTGCTCTCAGACACTGCTGTTTAAAGTTAATTTCTGGCCTATATCGATATATTTAGCCATTGATTTAGGTTTATTATTCATTTATCTATAATATTTGACACAAAAGTATGACAATATACTTCTATTAAAGCCTTGACAATGAGGTAACGTTTTCGTACATAAATAGCCGCGGGCGATTTTACGTACCCAAAACGATAGATTACCCAAAACTTGCTCACAAACACTGCTGTTTAAAGTTGATTTCTGGCATATATTGATATATTTAGCCATTGGTTTAAGTTTATTATTCATTTGCTATAATATTTGACACAAATATATCACAATATACTTCTATTAAAGCTTTGACAATGAGGTAACTTTTTCGTACATTACTAGTCTAGCCGCGGGCGATTTTAGAATTTTACACGTACCTAAAACTAGTAAAACTGCCTAAAACGATAGATTACCCATAAATCTAATCTAAAGAGTACCAAATACTATTACTATTACTTTAGTAACTTTAGGCCTACTATTAAAACTATTCACAAACATGTATAATATTTTATTTAGATCTAGATAGACTAGGTCTATTTTCTGTAACAAACATACCAAAAAAATTAACTTTTCAGATTGTGTTTACAAATCTTGTCAAGACAACTACCGGGGTATGATGTCATTTCCTTTTACAATCATTACAATAGTTTCGTCTTTTTAAGTGGTTCTAGACATAGGCTTACTTAGTTAGCATAAAGGACGGGTCACTTTAAGCTTATTGTTTTTTTTATTATAAATGTTATTAGGTTTTTTTTTTCAAATTTCACATACAGAGAAGTAGCTAAAGGGGGAGGGGCGGTTAAGACCCACTCCGGGCGTCGACAGTATGGGGAGGGGGCCAAAAAGGGGTAAAATAATTTTAAAATGTATTTTGATCAACATTACTTATTTATACACAGTCGAAGTTCAGAAAATCGACTGGTTTCTGTCTATAAAGACATATTTGACGTTTTTCTACATTGATTATGTAACAGCATACTAGAAGCAGTTAAAGGGACAGTGAACTAAGTGAAACAACAGCAAAAACTAATGAAAAGTGTGTCAGAAAAATGTGTCAGAAAAATGTGTCAGAAAAATGCAATTTTTGTGTAATTTGTAAAGCCAAAGAAAGATTCGCGTGTTACCAAGATGACGGAAAAATATGAATATCTAATTCCAGAGAAATCCAACTTTCTGATGATTATCAAGGGGCAGTGTATCAAGGGGTACTATATCAAGGGGAGTGTATCAAGGGGTACTATATCAAGGGGAGTGTATCAAGGGGTACTATATCAAGGGGGAGTGTATCAAGGGGTACTATATCAAGGGGCAGTGTATCAAGGGGTACTATATCAAGGGGAGTGTATCAAGGGGTACTATATCAAGGGGAGTGTATCAAGGGGTACTATATCAAGGGGGAGTGTATCAAGGGGTACTATATCAAGGGGCAGTGTATCAAGGGGTACTATATCAAGGGGAGTGTATCAAGGGGTACTATATCAAGGGGAGTGTATCAAGGGGTACTATATCAAGGGGTACTATATCAAGGGGCAGTGTATCAAGGGGTACTATATCAAGGGGGAGTGTATCATGGGGTACTATATCAAGGGGCAGTGTATCAAGGGGTACTATATCAAGGGGAGTGTATCAAGGGGTACTATATCAAGGGGAGTGTATCAAGGGGTACTATATCAAGGGGCAGTGTATCAAGGGGTACTATATCAAGGGGAGTGTATCAAGGGGTACTATATCAAGGGGAGTGTATCAAGGGGTACTATATCAAGGGGCAGTGTATCAAGGGGTACTATATCAAGGGGCAGTGTACTTGTTTTCTTTAAAAAAAAAACCGTTTGCTCCATATAACACTTGGTATATGATGTACATCCAAAACTACGCAATCCAGACACTCACAGAAAGGTTGCGCATTGGCCTGCTTGTTTCATTTCTCCCTTCCTAAAAGACCTTTATCTACCCCTTTTTTAGTTTGATGGCAAGAAAACGACTAGCTTTGTCTAACCGTCGTCAGCTAGCTGATCACTAGTACCTAACCTTATTATCTTCACTTTTGTGTTTGAGTTTAGAAATATTTTGATTACATTTTCGTGACCAATCTCATGTCTAATTAGATTAAATATAGAACATTCTTACATTGTTATCGGAGACGAATCGTATCTGCAATGTTAGAATGAAATTATTCCTGTAACTTTCAACGTCCATATGAAAGAATTAAGTTAGAACTATCTTATGCACAACACTATAAATCAGTTTTAAAAGAAAAGTTTCTGTAAATTCCCGATGCTAAAAACATGCATTTCCGCACCGAAATAATTGTGTGCACATTTAGTTTCTGACACCATTTGTTTTGGTAATTTATTGTAGAAAACCTATTGGTATTATTTAATGCGATCTTTCTGTAATTGTATGAAATAGTCACCATGGCCTTCAGGCAACAGCTGATGGCTCTATTGTGGAAGAACAGCATCATAAAGCTCCGTGCATGGAGCAGTATAGCAGCAGAAATACGTACGTCTTTAGACAGAGGTGTAGCTTTTCTTTGTAGATTTTAGGAGGGTGGGGGAGGCGGTAGGGTAGGGAGAAAGACATACATACATACATACATATATATATATATATATATATATATATATATATATATATATATATATATATATATATATATATACATACATACACTGAGTTTGTGTACACAAGAAAATGTTTCCGGTTGAACTATCTCAGTTAATTTGAGCCCCTCCCCCACCTCCCACTAGTTCTGCCCCTGCTACTGTGTGCCTTATCAGCCTACATCCAGCACCACAACTCACGTGTAGACGTCCCAGCTGAAGTGTACGAAGAATTCTGGAACGACTACAACACGGGGCCTGAGTTGGTTTACGTTCCAATATCTCCGGCCATCGAACAACTCTTTCATTCTGACATCAGCCGGACCAGGTGTAAGTCGGCGTGTATGTAGCTGTAGATGTATTTGGTGCATTAGGTGTATGTAGCTGTAGATGTATTTGGTGCACCAGGTGTATGTAGCTGTAGATGTATTTGGTGTACCAGATGTATGTAGCTGTAGATGTATTTGGTGCACCAGGTGTATGTAGCTGTAGATGTATTTGGTGCACCAGGTGTATGTAGCTACAGATGTATTTGGTGCACCAGGTGTATGTAGCTACAGATGTATTTGGTGCACCAGGCGTATGTAGCTACAGATGTATTTGTTGCACCAGGTGTATGTAGCCATAGATGTATTTGGTTCACCAAATGATCCAATCAGTTCCAGAGGTGTATTCCTTCCCTACCCTGGAGGAGGCGTACAACTTCTCAGAGAGCCGACACTTGGCCAACCCCGTGGTCGTGTTTGAGATGGACGACGTTAACGTCATGCCCAAAAGACTTCGTTACAAGATAGCCATGACCTACCCATATAATCCACACGACCTGTATGGAGCATTCTTTGGTGAGTTATCAGTCAGATTTGGTGAGGTAGATCAGATTTGGTGAGGTAGATCAGATTTGGTGAGGTAGATCAGATTTGGTGAGGTAGATCAGATTTGGTGAGGTAGATCAGATTTGGTGAGGTAGATCAGATTTGGTGAGGTAGATCAGATTTGGTGAGGTAGATCAGATTTGGTGAGGTGGATCAGATTTGGTGAGGTAGATCAGATTTGGTGAGGTAGATCAGATTTGGTGAGGTAGTCAGATTTGGTGAGGTAGATCAGATTTGGTGAAGTAGATCAGATTTGGTGATGTAGATCAGATTTGGTGAGGTAGATCAGATTTGGTGAGGTAGATCAGATTTGGTGAGGTAGATCAGATTTGGTGAGGTAGATCAGATTTGGTGAGGTAGTCAGATTTGCTGAGGTAGATCAGATTTGCTGAGGTAGATCAGATTTGGTGAGGTAGATCAGATTTGGTGAGGTACATCAGATTTGGTGAGGTAGATCCGATTTGGTGAGTTCAATCAGATTTGGTGAGGTAGATCAGATTTGGTGAGGTAGATCAGATTTGGTGAGGTACATCAGAATTGGTGAGGTAGATCAGATTTGGTGAGGTAGATCAGATTTGGTGAGGTAGATCAGATTTGGTGAGGTAGATCAGATTTAGTGAGGTAGATCAGATTTAGTGAGGTAGATCAGATTTGGTGAGGTAGATCAGATTTGGTGAGGTAGATCAGATTTGGTGAGGTAGATCAGATTTGGTGAGGTAGATCAGATTTGGTGAGGTACATCAGATTTGATGAGGTAGATCAGATTTGGTGAGGTAGATCAGATTTGGTGAGGTAGATCAGATTTGGTGAGGTACATCAGATTTGGTGAGGTGGATCAGATTTGGTGAGGTAGATCAGATTTGGTGAGGTAGATTATTTGAGCAAGTACCTGAGCACTGTTAACGTTATCCCAGGAACTTGAGCCGCCATGTTTTTTTTTTGTTGCCAAGACTACAGCGTCCACGCTGTGCCGGACATCCAGTATCAGCTGGCCCGCGTCTTCACGGACTACTGGAGGAAAAAGAAAGGGGACGTCAAGTCGGTCTACTACAGCCTGAGACTCCACATGATGCCCTCCCCTGCCACGACCGTGACCAAGGGCATCTCAGCCACCCTGCTCTTCATCTACCCCATGATGTTCATCGGCCTCCTCTGCTTCACCACCACGGCTGTGGTCGACGAGATGGAGACCAAAATTAAAGTGAGAATCTGCCCAGAGTTAGGGGAGCTGGGGAGATCATGGGAGCTCATGTTCATTAGTGTTGTACAATTAATGCATATGTTCATATTGGTTCATATATATATATATATATATATATATATATATATATATATATATATATATATATATATATATATATATATATATATATACGTGTATGTGTCTGTGTCTGTGCCATAAACAAATGTAGCTTTTTCAAACAGTCCACAAAATATGAATTAAAAAAATATTTTTTCCAACTTTTTCCTCAAAATGTACTCAATAGAAAGTTTCAGGCTAAAGTTACTCTACAAAATTACATTTCTGTGGGTTTATCTCCAAGGGTTGCTGGGACTTAGAAGTATAAAAATGATAATTAAAAATCTTACATGGATTTAAAAAAAGAATCATTTTATAAAATCTTATTGAGCATAAGTTATAATTTATATGGTTAAAGTTTTTTAAAAAAAGTGTGTCCAGCCTTAAGTAATTTTTACGAGCAGTACTCTAGAAAAATTAGCCAGAATTAAAATATCCTCAACACGACAGAACAAAATCACAGAAAAAAAACTCAGAAGCACGACACAATATAACATAATATAATATCCGATAGAATGGAATGTGATAAACTATTTTGCCATAATTTATACTAAGGTTGAAACACTGTTCTTACCACTAATTTAAAAATAATTTAGTGCAATATGCAGTTCTTGCAAGAAACTTTTTGATGCAAGTTGCTAATCCGCGAAAGTACAATCAAAGAGCAGGGCAAAAAGAAAACTTTGTAGAGTCCCAATGGAGAATTCTAAAACTAAAATCACAAATTATTTTACTTTTCATGCACAGTTTTAAGTGGCCGCGGACAATCTTAGGTTATGGTGGCTGTATCTTAGATATACTCAGGTGTTGTGTTGGCTGTACCTTAAATATACTCAGGTGTTGTGTTGGCTGTACCTTAAATATACTCAGGTGTTGTGTTGGCTGTACCTTAAATATACTCAGGTGTTGTGTTGGCTGTACCTTAAATATACTCAGGTGTTGTGTTGGCTGTACCTTAAATATACTCAGGTGTTGTGTTGGCTGTACCTTAAATATACTCAGGTGTTGAGTTGGCTGTACCTTAAATATACTCAGGTGTTGTGTTGGCTGTACCTTAAATATACTCAGGTGTTGTGTTGGCTGTACCTTAAATATACTCAGGTGTTGTGTTGGCTGTACCTTAAATATACTCAGGTGTTGTGTTGGCTGTACCTTAAATATACTCAGGTGTTGTGTTGGCTGTACCTTAAATATACTCAGGTGTTGTGTTGGCTGTACCTTAAATATACTCAGCTGTTGTGTTGGCTGTACCTTAAATATACTCAGGTGTTGTGTTGGCTGTACCTTAAATATACTCAGGTGTTGTGTTGGCTGTACCTTAAATATACTCAGGTGTTGTGTTGGCTGTACCTTAAATATACTCAGGTGTTGTGTTGGCTGTAGCTTAAATATACTCAGGTGTTGTGTTGGCTGTAGCTTAAATATACTCAGGTGTTGTGTTGGCTGTAGCTTAAATATACTCAGGTGTTGTGTTGGCTTTAGCTTAAATATACTCAGGTGTTGTGTTGGCTGTAGCTTAAATATACTCAGGTGTTGTGTTGGCTTTAGCTTAAATATACTCAGGTGTTGTGTTGGCTGTAGCTTAAATATACTCAGGTGTTGTGTTGGCTGTAGCTTAAATATACTCAGGTGTTGTGTTGGCTTTAGCTTAAATATACTCAGGTGTTGTGTTGGCTGTAGCTTAAATATACTCAGGTGTTGTGTTGGCTTTAGCTTAAATATACTCAGGTGTTGTGTTGGCTGTACCTTAAATATACTCAGGTGTTGTGTTGGCTGTACCTTAAATATACTCAGGTGTTGTGTTGGCTGTACCTTAAATATACTCAGGTGTTGTGTTGGCTGTACCTTAAATATACTCAGGTGTTGTGTTGGCTGTACCTTAAATATACTCAGGTGTTGTGTTGGCTGTACCTTAAATATACTCAGGTGTTGTGTTGGCTGTACCTTAAATATACTCAGGTGTTGTGTTGGCTGTACCTTAAATATACTCAGGTGTTGTGTTGGCTCTACCTTAAATATACTCAGGTGTTGTGTTGGCTCTACCTTAAATATACTCAGGTGTTGTGTTGGCTGTACCTTAAATATACTCAGGTGTTGTGTTGGCTGTACCTTAAATATACTCAGGTGTTGTGTTGGCTGTACCTTAAATATACTCAGGTGTTGTGTTGGCTGTACCTTAAATATACTCAGGTGTTGTGTTGGCTGTACCTTAAATATACTCAGGTGTTGTGTTGGCTGTAGCTTAGGTGTAACAGGCAGCTCTAGAAGATGTGTGTGTGAGTGTGTGTGTGTGTGAGTGTCGTGTTTAAGTACGCAGTTCTAGCCTGCCCTGTGTGTGTGTGTCGTGTTTAAGTACCCAGTTCTAGCCTGCCCTGTGTGTGTGTGTGCCGTGTTTAAGTACCCAGTTCTAGCCTGCCCTGTGTGTGTGTGTCGTGTTTAAGTACCCAGTTCTAGCCTGCCCTGTGTGTGTGTGTCGTGTTTAAGTACCAAGTTCTAGCCTGCCCTACCCCAGGAATCCATGAAGCTGATGGGCCTGGGAGAACTGGTCTACTGGCTGTCCTGGTTCATCACCAGCTTCCTGTCTGGACTGGCCATCTCGGCTGCTGCCCTGCTGGTCCTGTGTCTCGACTACTCAGAGTCTGGCGCCGTCATCAAGTCGTCCCCGCCCCTGTTCTTCGTCATGCAGCTGCTGTTTGTCGTCGACACCATCTCAATGGCGTTCTTACTCTCATGTTTCATCCAGAAAAGTAATTCTTTAATGGCATTACATAGTATCGTAAAGTAATTCTTTAATGGCCTTACATAGTAACGTAAAGTAATTCTTAAATGGCCTTACATCGTAACGTAAAGTAATTGTTTAATGGCATTACATAGTAACGTAAAGTAATTCTTTAATGGCCTTACATCGTAACGTAAAGTAATTCTTTAATGGCATTACATAGTAACGTAAAGTAATTCTTTAATGGCCTTACATCGTAACGTAAAGTAATTCTTTAATGGCATTACATAGTAACGTAAAGTAATTCTTTAATGGCATTACATAGTAACGTAAAGTAATTCTTTAATGGCCTTCAGCAGTGATGCCAATGGTCACTGACTGGCGTGATGTCACTGGTGTCATGTGACTGACTGGTGTAATGTGACTGACTGGCGTGATGTCACTGACTGGTGTGATGTGACTGACTGGCGTGATGTGACTGGCGTGATGTGACTGGCGTGACGTCACTGACTGGCGTGATGTGACTGGCGTGATGTGACTGGCGTGATGTCACTGACTGGTGTGATGTGACTGACTGGCGTGATGTGACTGGCGTGATGTCACTGACTAGCGTGATGTGCCTGACTGGTGTGATGTTACTGACTGGCGTGATGTGCCTGACTGGTGTGATGTTACTGACTGGCGTGATGTACCTGACTGGTGTGATGTTACTGACTGGCGTGATGTCACTGACTAGCGTGATGTGCCTGACTGGTGTGATGTTACTGACTGGCGTGATGTGCCTGACTGGTGTGATGTTACTGACTGGCGTGATGTACCTGACTGGTGTGATGTTACTGACTGGCGTGATGTGACTGACTGGCGTGATGTTACTGACTGGCGTGATGTGACGGGCCTTATGTGACTGGCGTGATGTGACTGACTGGTGTGATGCGACTGGTGTGATGTGACTGGCGTGATGTGACTGGCGTGATGTGACTGGCGTGATGTCACTGATGTGACTTACTGGTGTGATGTCACTGACTGGCGTGATGTCACTGACTGGCGTGATGTCACTGACTGGCGTGATGTGACTGGCGTGATGTCACTGACTGGCCTGATGTTACTGACTGGCGTGATGTGACTGGCGTGATGTGACTGGTGTGATGTGACTGGCGTGATGTGACTGGCGTGATGTGACTGGTGTGATGTGACTGGCGTGATGTGACTGGTGTGATGTGACTGGTGTGATGTGACTGGCGTGATGTGACTGGTGTGATGTGACTGGTGTGATGTGACTGGCGTGATGTGACTGGCGTGACGTGACTGGCGTGATGTGTTCTGGTTGCAGGCCGTAACGCTGCCTTTGTCACCGTGGTCCTGTATTTCATCATCGGCACGTTCAACACCAACCTCCAGCCGTACCTCAAGTCACGGACGGCGCTCTACCTGTCTGGCACGCTCGTCTACCGCCTCGGCTTCGACGTCGCCATCTCCATCCTAGACAACGTAGAGAATTCGGGCAAGTTTTTTCTATGGCCTCGCCAGATCTTGTGCTGGCCTCGCAGATCTTGCTAGAGCTCGTTTAGCCGACACATTATCTCATTCTCTCCCCCCCCCCACACACACTACACTATGTTAGGTGACTGTTTTACATAACCACACTATTTCCAGTATTTGTAAATACAGAAGTCGATCATTGAAAGATTATCTGTGCCGTCAACCATCCCTACAGGAGAGCGACAACTGCTAAAACACGTACTTTCAATGTCCAACAAACATACACCATGTACCTACAGTCATATCTTTCCCCGGCAGGAGGAAGGATCGACTTCTCATCAATGTTCACCAACTTAAATAATATCTTTCCCCGGCAGGAGGAAGGATCGACTTCTCATCAATGTTCACCAACTTAAATAATATCTTTCCCCGGCAGGAGGAAGGATCGACTTCTCATCAATGTTCACCAACTTAAATAGCCCCCACAAGACGTGGTTCAACTGTCTCCTGATCATTGCCCTCAACACCATCTTCAACATCTTCCTCTTATGGTACATCAACAACATCTACCCTGGCCAGTATGGCATCCCACGGCCGTACAACTTTTTCCTGACGGTAAGTGATACATACCGCGGCCGTACAACTTTTTCCTGACGGTAAGTGATACATACCGCGGCCGTACAACTTTTTCCTGACGGTAAGTGATACATACCGCCCCGTATAACTTTTTCCTGACGGTAAGTGATACATACCGCGGCCGTACAACTTTTTCCTGACGGTAAGTGATACATACCGCCCCGTATAACTTTTTCCTGACGGTAAGTGATACATACCGCGGCCGTACAACTTTTTCCTGACGGTAAGTGATACATACCGCGGCCGGACAACTTTTTCCTGACGGTAAGTGATACATACCGCCCGTATAACTTTTTCCTGACGGTAAGTGATACATACCGCCCCGTATAACTTTTTCCTGACGGTAAGTGGTACATACCGCAGCCGTACAACTTTTTCCTGACGGTGTTTGGCCTGTGCTATACTAGGTACCTTTAAAATATTACCACCAGGAAACTTCCGCACACAGAAACGTTACGTAAATACCCGCACACAGAAAAGTTACGTAAATACCCGCACACAGAAAAGTTACGTAAATACCCGCACACAGAAAAGTTACGTAAATACCCGCACACAGAAACGTTACGTAAATACCCGCACACAGAAAAGTTACGTAAATACCCGCACACAGTAAAGTTACGTAAATACCCGCACACAGAAAAGTTACGTAAATACCCGCACACAGAAAAGTTACGTAAATACCCGCACACAGAAAAGTTACGTAAATACCCGCACACAGAAACGTTACGTAAATACCCGCACACAGAAAAGTTACGTAAATACCCGCACACAGAAAAGTTACGTAAATACCCGCACACAGAAAAGTTACGTAAATACCCGCACACAGAAAAGTTACGTAAATACCCGCACACAGAAACGTTACGTAAATACCCGCACACAGAAAAGTTACATAAATACCCGCACACAGAAACGTTACGTAAATACCCGCACACAGAAAAATGCAGTTACAGAAAGTTGGCTAGACAGAAACTTGTTTACACCGAGAAATGCACAAATAAAAATGTACGCACGCGGAAAGATGTTCAAAAAGAAATTACGTCTGAAAGAAAAATGTGGGCAAAATAAACTGAACACATAAAATTGCGCACACGGAAAATTTGTTACGCGCAAAGAACACGCAGAAATATCTCTAACCATAATATAAGAACAATGCTGCAGTGAGCAACACAACCTTTACATATAATATGATTAAGCAGTGTTTCTTCTAGACTTTTTTCCGGGGGGGGGGGGGGGGGCAACATTTTTTCGGCGGGGGGGGGGGGGGGAGGGGCGGAACACTAGTAAAAGTATGTTTCCTATACAAATTCCATTTCGTTGGGTGGGGGGGGGGGGGAGGGCGGTAGATTTTCTTCGAGGAGGGGGGGGGGCAGAGGACCCCCCCCCCCCCCCCCCCCCCCCCCCGAAGTGATGCCAGGAAGAAACTCTGTGAATAAGATCTCAATATTTTTAATATGTGACATAAAATTTAAAGCATATAATAAATGGGCCACTAGTAACATAACACATATTTATATACGGGTCATGACTAAAGATTTATACACGGGTCACGACTAAATCTCATCCTACTACTGACCACAGCGAGACTACTGGCGCCCCCCTAAAGAAATATTGGAAGTTACGGCGACTCCAGCAGAAGATCCTGAGTTCTTTGAGCCTCCGCCATCAAATCTCAAGCCCGGAATCGTTGTTCGGAAATTGTTCAAGGTCAAATACACTTCAGGTTTATAGGTGGTCCTTATCTAGTCGTAGGTTTGATGAGGTTAGATGTTATAGGTTGTCTTTAACTTATCTAGTCGTAGGTTTGATGAGGTTAGATGTTATAGGTGGTGGTTAACTTGTCTATTCTCTGATGATCTTTAAATAGCTCTAGCATCTATTCTCTGATGATCTTTAAATAGCTCTAGCATCTATTCTCTGATGATCTTTAAATAGCTCTAGACTCTATTCTCTGATGATCTTTAAATAGCTCACGCCTCTATTCTCTGATGTTTTCAGATGTTTGGCAATAAGATAGCAGTGAATGGAATCAATATTGACTTATACGAGGGGCAGATAACTGTTCTTCTAGGGCACAACGGGGCAGGGAAGACAACTACAATCAACATGGTCACAGGTGGGTTAGAACAACCAGCACCAACCAGGGTTGAGAACAACCAGCACCAACCAGGGTTGTGGTTGAGAACAACCAACACCAACCAGGGTTGAGAACAACCAGCACCAACCAGGGTTGAGAACAACCAGCACCAACCATGGTTGTGGTTGAGAACAACCAGCACCAACCAGGGTTGTGGTTGAGAACAACCAGCACCAACCAGGGTTGTGGTTGAGAACAACCAGCACCAACCAGGGTTGTGGTTGAGAACAACCAGCACCAACCAGGGTTGAGAACAACCAGCACCAACCAGGGTTGTGGTTGAGAACAACCAGCACCAACCAGGGTTGAGAACAACCAGCACCAACCAGGGTTGTGGTTGAGAACAACCAGCACCAACCAGGGTTGAGAACAACCAGCACCAACCAGGGTTGAGAACAACCAGCACCAACCAGGGTTGTGGTTGAGAACAACCAGCACCAACCTGGGTTGAGAACAACCAGCACCAACCAGGGTTGAGAACAACCAGCACCAACCAGGGTTGTGGTTGAGAACAACCAGCACCAACCAGGGTTGAGAACAACCAGCACCAACCAGGGTTGTGGTTGAGAACAACCAGCACCAACCAGGGTTGTGGTTGCTCGCAGCATTGGTCTGGGACTGGCCAAGTACCGTCGTCTGTTTCTGTTTCAGGCTTTTTGCCGCCCTCCAGTGGCACGGCTATAGTTCAAGGTCATGACGTCATAAGGAGCACACACCTGGCCAGGGACTCGATCGGCATGTGTCCCCAGTACGATATTCTCTTCTCTAAGCTCACGTGTAAGGAGCACTTGATTTTCTTCCTTAAGGTAGGACTCACGATATAGGGGGGGGGGGGGGCGAAGGAGGCTGGGGTTGGGTGTGGAGGATAATTGAGTATTTGGCGATAAGGCAGCGTAATGACCCGCAGGCTAACTACATTTCTATTTTAACTCCGCTCTTTACGTCCGTTATTTACGTCTGTGGCGTAGGCAGCCATCAGGAGGGGTTGTCTCAACCGGGGCATGGGGGGGGGGGTGAAGGGCGTTGGTGTTTATGGATTGAGGCTAGTATTTTGCGTGTTCGGGTTGAGGCTAGTACTTTGCGTGTGCTTTGCTGCAGTCAGACCGTTCTCTTCAATGGATAACACGTCACATGATTTTCTATTCTCTGCCAGCTCAAGGGAAGCTACTCACCTAAGGTGGTCCTGTCGGTTGTGGAGCGCCTGGTGTCCGTTGGCCTACAAGACAAAGTGAACTGCCTGGCGTCCCAGCTCTCTGGCGGTCAGAAGAGGAAGTTGTCACTGGCCAGCGCCTTCTGTGGCGACACGCGAGTAAGTTCCTGCTGTCCGCCACACACAGTTTGTTTACATTGGGTGTGTAAGTTCCTGCTGTCCGCCACACACAGTTTGTTTACATTGGGTGTGTAACTTCCTGCCGTCCACCACACACAGTTTGTTTACATTGGGTGTGTAACTTCCTGCCGTCCACCACACACAGTTTGTTTACATTGGGTGTGTAAGTTCCTGCTGTCCGCCACACAGTTTGTTTACATTGGGTGTGTAACTTCCTGCTGTCCACCACACACAGTTTGTTTACATTGGGTGTTTCATCAATCACTAAAATAAGTGGAGGCAAGTTTGGTCTCTAGAAGTGAAATGTGTTTGCTTGTCATTATTCAATTAAGGTCGTTTTTCTGGACGAGCCATCGACCGGCCTTGACCCCGCCGCCAGACAGGAAATGTGGGCTTTCCTAAAGACAATGAGAGAAGGTCGAACCATCCTTTTAACGACCCATTACATGGACGAGGCAGATGTACTGGGCGACAGAATCGCCATCATGGCGGAGGGGAGAGTTAAATGCTGCGGCACACCCATGTTTTTAAAGAGGGCTTATGGTGAGTAAATTAGATGGTTCAGTTTTGTAGCACACCCTTGTTTTTAAAGGATGTTTATAGTGAGTAAATTAGATGGTTCAGTGTTGTAGCACACCCATGTTTTAAAAGAGGGTTTATTGTGAGTAAATTAGATGGTTCAGTGTTGTAGCACACCCATGTTTTAAAAGAGGGTTTATGGTGAGTACATTAGATGGTTCAGTGTTGTAGCACACTCATGTTTTTAAAGAGAGTTTATGGTGAGTAAATTAGATGGTTCAGTGTTGTAGCACACCCATGTTTTTAAAGAGAGTTTATGGTGAGTAAATTAGATGGTTCAGTGTTGTAGCACACCCATGTTTTAAAAGAGAGTTTATGTATTTGGTGCACCAAGTGTTTGTAGCTTTAGATGTATTTGGTGCACCAAGTGTTTGTAGCTACAGATGTATTTGGTGCACCAGGTGTATGTAGCTTTAGATGTATTTGGTGCACCAGGTGTTTGTAGCTGCAGATGTATTTGGTGCACCAAGTGTTTGTAGCTACAGATGTATTTAAATTAGATGGTTCAGTGTTCTAGCACACCCATGTTTTTAAAGAGTTTGTGTTGAGTAAATTAGATGGTTCAAAGTTTTAGTACAACTATGTTTTTAAAGAGAGTTTATGGTGAGTAAATTAGATGGTTCAGTGTTGTAGCACACCCATGTTTTTAAAGAGAGTTTATGGTGAGTAAATTAGATGGTTCAGTGTTGTAGCACACCCATGTTTTTAAAGAGAGTTTATGGTGAGTAAATTAGATGGTTCAGTGTTGTAGCACACCCATGTTTTTAAAGAGAGTTTATGGTGAGTAAATTAGATTGTCAGTGTTGTACATGGTGACTAATAAAAAGGTTAATGTTGTAAGCCAGATAAATGCTGTAAGATTTAGTCAACAACATGTGGCATCAGTGCCTACAAGATGAAATGACAAACAAAATTTCGGTTTACAACTTCAAATTCCAGGTTATAAATATAATGGGAGCATAAAGGAGTATTGAGTTCACCTGGAAGATGGTATATTTTATACTATACAATGGTATTATTTTTAACACCGTATTTATAACATAAAATGTTATACTTAATTACATAATACTATATACTTCATAAGATGGTATACGTTATTACATAGATAGTGTACTTTATAACACAAGATGGTATGCTTTACAAAATAAAATAGTGTACTTTATAAAAATAAGATGGCGTACTTTATAATATACGTCGACGTTTTACCAGCTAACACGGCTACTTTGTATCAGGTAGCAGGTACAGGATGACCGTGGTCAAGGAAGGTCAGTGTCAATCTGGTGACGTCACAGACCAAGTTATCAACTTCATTCCTGGCGCCAAGTTTATTGTAAGTCCAACGGTCGTCAAGGTCATAGTCTATCGTGGTCATCAAGGTCAAAGTCTATCGTGGTCATCAGTGTGTTAGTCTATCGTGGTCATCAGTGTGTTAGTCTATTGTGGTCATCAAGGTCATAGTCTATTGTGGTCATCAGTGTGTTAGTCTATTGTGGTCATCAGTGTTTTAGTCTATTGTGGTCATCAGTGTGTTAGTCTATTGTGGTCATCAGTGTGTTAGTCTATTGTGGTCATCAGTGTGTTAGTCTATTGTGGTCATCAGTGTGTTAGTCTATTGTGGTCATCAGTGTGTTAGTCTATTGTGGTCATCAATGTCCTGGTCTATCATCACACCAACTATTACATCATACACCTAAAACATGTTATATCTACAAACGGCCGCCACCTCATACAGACAGAGACCAACCTAGAGATTCAGTACTCACTACCTGACGACAGTTTGCCCATCTACCATCACCTGCTCAAGTACCTGGAGGAGAACGGCCCTGACCTTCACGTCTCAAGCTTCGGGCTGACGGCCACATCCATGGAGGACGTCTTTATGGGGTAGGGCTGTGGCTAAATGTGGTGGGGGTGGGGGTAGTTCTTTCTAGGGTGGGGCTTAATGTGGTGGGGGGGTGGGGGTAGTTCTGGCTGGGGTGGGGCTGTGGCTAAATGTGGTGGGGGTGGGGGTAGTTCTTTCTAGGATGGGGCTTAATGTGGTGGGGGTAGTTCTGGCTGGGGTGGGGCTGTTCTGTCTAGCGTAGGGCTGGGGCTTAATGTGGTGGGGGTAGTTCTGGCTGGGATAGGACTGGGGTTGGGTCTTTTTTGTGGTAGGGCTGGGGTAGTTCTAAATGAGGTGGGGTTGGGGTAGTTCTGACTGGGGTAGAGCTGGGGTCCGGTGTTTTTGTTGTAGGGCGGGAATATAGTGTTCATGGGATGAAATGTCTGGGCTAGGATCGCTTGGGTAAGATCTTTCGGTGGTAGAATCGTTCTGGAGTAGGGATAGGGGATACTTTTTACTTTCTCGTATATACGAAGTAGGCCCAATAGAGAAAGTCTTGTAACCGTGCAAAAAAATAATCTAGATTTTTACAAATCTTTTACACCTCACTGATACGGAAAAACATAATTTTGCAATCTTGTCCGTATGTCTGTGTGTCTGTCTGTGTGTAAACACGATAACTTGAGTACCGTTACAGCTAGGGTAATGAAATTTCATATATAAGTATTTTATCAAAATCGTAGATCCTTATCAACTTTTGAGCGATTTCCGATAACCGGAAGTGGTACTTTTTCTACTTTGAATTTTTCAAAAGTCCATAACTTGAGTACTATTTCAGATAGATAAATGAAATTTTTACATGTAAGTAAGATATCTAATTTTCTACCTTCTGTTAAATTTTGAGTAATTTCCGTTGACCGGAAGTAGTAATTTACGCTATTCCCGATTTCTCAAAAAAAGGAATGTAAATTTATAAAGTACTAATAATATTGCGCACTATTATGCACATTCTGTTTTGGCGTTCGCTTGGTGCGCAATTCTTTTTTCTATGAGATTCTATTATATTTTTAAAAGTTTAAGTAATTAAAAATCATATCTATATTCCACGTTATATAAGAATATTCAAGAAAGTTTAGGGGAGATCACTCCCGATTTATTCATTCCTAGGATGTTACTGGAATAGGGCTCTGTTCTGGGTTGTTGTCTTTTAGGTCTCTGTTGGTTCTGGGTTGTTGTCTTTTAGGTCTCTGTTGGTTCTGGGTTGTTGTCTTTTAGGTCTCTGTTGGTTCTGGGTTGTTGTCTTTTAGGTCTCTGTTGGTTCTGGGTTGTTGTCTTTTAGGTCTCTATTGGTTTTGTGGTAGTATATTCACCAGGGAATGGATCCTTCATTCAACACAACTTACCGTTGATCCTACTCTGTTGTCTGGGTGTTGATACTAGTCTGTTTTCTGGGTGTTGATCCTAGTCTGTTGTCTGGGTGTTGATCCTAGTCTGGGTGTTGATCCTAGTCTGTGTTGATCCTAGTCTGGGTGTTGATCCTAGTCTGTGTTGATCCTAGTCTGGGTGTTGATCCTAGTCTGGGTGTTGATCCTAGTCTGTTGTCTGGGTGTTGATCCTAGTCTGTTGTCTGGGTGTTGATCCTAGTCTGTTTTCTGGGTGTTGATCCTAGTCTGGGTGTTGATCCTAGTCTGTGTTGATCCTAAACTGGACTTTTCAACAGGTCTGCTAAGAGACGTGTATCTACTTGGATGAGACAGAGCAAGGGCAACATTTTCACAGGTGTGTGTGGTCAGGTGTGTTTGTGTTTGGTCAGGTGTGTTTGTGTTTGGTCAGGTGTGTGTGGTCAGGTGTGTTTGTGTTTGGTCAGGTGTGTTTGTGTTTGGTCAGGTGTGTTTGGTCAGGTGTGTTTGGTCAGGTGTGTTTGGTCAGGTGTGTTTGGTCAGGCGTGTTTGTGTGTGGTCAGGTGTGTTTGTGTTTGGTCAGGTGTGTTTGGTCAGGTGTGTTTGTGTTTGGTCAGGTGTGTGTGGTCAAGTGTGTTTGGTCAGGTGTGTGTGGTCAGGTGTGTTTGTGTTTGGTCAGGTGTGTGTGGTCAGGTGTGTTTGTGTTTGGTCAGGTGTGTTTGTGTTTGGTCAGGTGTGTTTGTGTTTGGTCAGGTGTGTTTGTGTTTGGTCAGGTGTGTTTGTGTTTGGTCAGGTGTGTTTGGTCAGGTGTATTTGTGTTTGGTCAGGTGTGTGTGGTCAGGTGTGTTTGTGTGTGGTCAGGTGTGTTTGTGTTTGGTCAGGTGTGTGTGGTCAGGTGTGTTTGTGTTTGGTCAGGTGTGTTTGTGTTTGGTCAGGTGTGTTTGTGTTTGGTCAGGTGTGTTTGTGTTTGGTCAGGTGTGTTTGTGTTTGGTCAGGTGTGTTTGGTCAGGTGTGTGTGGTCAGGTGTGTGTGGTCAGGTGTGTTTGTGTTTGTGTTTGGTCAGGTGTGTTTGTGTGTGGTCAGGCGTGTTTGTGTTTGGTCAGGTGTGTTTGGTCAGGTGTGTTTGATCATACGTGTTATGTCTGCCATTGGCCATTAGAATAACTGTTTTATCTGAGTTAATTTTTTTGATGCCAGCTCTCCTTAAATAAAACCGTGACATTTGAATTCACTTGTATAACCACCTGACACCAACATATACCACCTGACACCATAAAATACCACCTGACACCACCTGACACCACCTGACACCACTTGACACCATCATATACAACCTGAAACTATCATATACCACCTGACACCACCATATAACACCTGACACCACCTGACACCACCCTCCCATATCACCACAGACCAGCTGTTCACCTCTGACACCACCATATAACACCTGACACCACCTGACACCACCTGACACCACCTGACACCACCATATAACACATGACACCACCATATACCACCTGACACCACCTGACACCACCATATACCACCTGACACCACCATATAACACCTGACACCACCCTCATATATCACCACAGACAAGCTGTTCACCTCTGACACCGGTACGCGGGGCCTGCGACGTGTCTGGCACCAATTTGTGGCGGTCTGGATAAAAAACCTGCTCCTGTTCACCCGCCAGCCCATCCCCTCCCTCTCCCTGCTCCTGCTCCCTGCCCTGCTCGTCTCGCTGGGCGTGCACGAAGACATCCAGAACGAGGCGGAGAAGCAGCTGCCTCCGGTGGAGTTCAGTCCCCGGGGATTCCAGAAGCTGATCACGCCCATGTGGATCTCCTCGGGGGTGTCCCCCAAGCTTGTCGCAGCCTACAAGGACCAGCTGCCCAACTCGGAGTTCCTGGAAATATCGGAGGTGACAGTTTTTTAATTTCTTATCCTCTCAATCAGGGTCCAACAAATATCGGAGGTGACAGATTGTGTTTTAAATTTGTTGTCCTCTCAATCAGGGTCCAACAAACGGAACAAATATCGGAGGTGACACTTTCTCCAATTTGTGTTTTAAATTTGTTATCCTCTCAATCAGGGTCCAACAAACGGAACAAATATCGGAGGTGACACTTTCTCCAATTTGTGTTTTAAATTTGTTATCCTCTCAATCAGGGTCCAACAAACGGAACAAATATCGGAGGTGACACTTTCTCCAATTTGTGTTTTAAATTTGTTATCCTCTCAATCAGGGTCCAACAAACGGAACAAATATCGGAGGTGACACTTTCTCCAATTTGTGTTTTAAATTTGTTATCCTCTCAATCAGGGTACAACAAACGGAACAAATATCGGAGGTGACACTTTCTCCAATTTGTGTTTTAAATTTGTTATCCTCTCAATCAGGGTCCAACAAACGGAACAAATATCGGAGGTGACACTTTCTCCAATTTGTGTTTTAAATTTGTTATCCTCTCAATCAGGGTCCAACAAACGGAACAAATATCGGAGGTGACACTTTCTCCAATTTGTGTTTTAAATTTGTTATCCTCTCAATCAGGGTACAACAAACGGAACAAATATCGGAGGTGACACTGTCTCCAATTTGTGTTTTAAATTTGTTATCCTCTCAATCAGGGTCCAGACGGAACAAATATTGGCGTATTCTCAACAAGTTTGTTCTGTGGATTATGTCTAAGTCAGATAACAAAATTTCTATAAACTAATGTTAAAACAAATTGTATCGTACTTGTGATAAATTAAGGTTATTTCAGCGGAGTGATTTTCTTAAAATGTTTAAGATACTGTCTGAAATTAATTTATCAATGTTGTTTCACTGTAAAATCATGTCAATGGCCGACATCAAGAACCATCTCAGACTGGCCGGTTCACCTTGGCCAGTCCATGGAGTGGCCAGCTAAAGGCCGAAATCAAGTAAATTTTCGGACTTTGGCCAGTCAAAGCACACGCTGACCGGCCAATGTATGCTTTGACCGACTTCGAGCTTTGACAGTAATATATTTATAAATTTCACCAAAAATATTGACCTGTCCTTTTTCACTATCAGTTTGACATGTTCCCTGTGACCAAGCTATCAGTTTGACCTTTGACCAAGCTATCAGTTAGACCTTTGACCAAGCTATCAGTTTGACCTTTGACCAAGTTATCAGTTTGACCTTTGACCAAGTTATCAGTTTGACCTTTGACCAAGCTATCAGTTTGACCTTGACCAAGCTATCAGTTTGATCTTTGACCAAGCTATCAGTTTGACCTTTGACCAAGCTATCAGTTTGACCTTTGACCCGTGACCAAGCTATCAGTTTGACCTTTGACCCGTGACCAAGCTATCAGTTTGACCTTTGACCAAGCTATCAGTTTGACCTTGACCAAGTTATCAGTTTGACCTTTGACCAAGCTATCAGTTTGATCTTTGACCAAGCTATCAGTTTGACCTTTGACCCGTGACCAAGCTATCAGTTTGACTTTTGACCCGTGACCAAGCTATCAGTTTGACCTTTGACCCGTGAACAAGCTATCAGTTTGAACTTTGACCCGTGACCAAGCTATCAATTTGACCTTTGGCCAAGCTATCAGTTTGACCTTTGACCAAGCTATCAGTTTGACCTTTGACCAAGCTATCAGTTTGACCTTTGACCAAGCTATCAGTTTGACCTTTGACCAAGCTATCAGTTTGACCTTTGACCAAGCTGTCAGTCTTACCTTTGACCTTTGACCAAGCCATCAGTTTGACCTTTGACCTGTGACCAAGCTGTGACCTTTGCTCTACCCCCAGACGGCGCCCGACGATTACTTCGTGTCGTATTTGAATGAGCACGGGAGGGAGGAGTACGGGAACCGGATGGTCCTGGGGGTCAAGCTGAGTCGGATGTCACCCTCGGTCCTGTACTACCAGAGGAAAGCCATACACTCTCTCGGGATATCTGTGAGTGCCAGATGACGTGGGTAGTGGCAGACGTCGTGGGTAGTGGCAGACGTCGTGGGTAGTGGCAGATGACGTGGGTAGTGGCAGATGACGTGGGTAGTGCCAGATGACATGGGTAGTGGCAGATGACATGGGTAGTGCCAGATGACGTGGGTAGTGGTAGATGACGTGGGTAGTGGCAGATGACGTGGGTAGTGGCAGATGATGTGGGTAGTGGCAGATGACGTGGGTAGTGGCAGATGACGTGGGTAGTGGCAGACGTCGTGGGTAGTGGCAGATGATGTGGGTAGTGGCAGATGACGTGGGTAGTGGCAGATGACATGGGTTGTGGCAGATGACGTGGGTAGTGCCAGATGACGTGGGTAGTGGCAGATGACGTGGGTAGTGCCAGATGACGTGGGTAGTGGCAGATGACGTGGGTAGTGGCAGATGACGTGGATAGTGGCAGATGACATGGGTAGTGCCAGATGACGTGGGTAGTGGCAGATGATGTGGGTAGTGGCAGATGACGTGGGTAGTGGCAGATGATGTGGGTAGTGGCAGATGACGTGGGTAGTGGCAGATGACGTGGGTAGTGGCAGATGATGTGGGTAGTGGCAGATGATGTGGGTAGTGGCAGATGATGTGGGTAGTGGCAGATAGTGATGTAGATAATGACAGACAGTTGATGTCTCCCCACTGACCCGTGTCTCCCCCTCCCCTCCCAGGTCCAGCTGATCACCAATGCTCACGTGACCTACAACCTGGGCCCGCAGTACTCTGTCCAGTCTGGCGTCTGTTTTCTCAACGTCAACCAACTTCCGGTCAGCGACAAGATCCACACCCAGACCTTGGTCGGCATGGCGTTGGCCATGGCCCTGGTGCCAGTCATCTTCATCAACAGCCTCATCACGGAGCGAGTGGTCAGTCTTTTCTTCTCTGTCATCACGGAGCGAGTGGTCAGTCTTTTGTTCTCTGTCATCACGGAGCGAGTGGTCAGTCTTGTAGTTCTGTCATCACGGAGCGAGTGGTCAGTCTTGTAGTTCTGTCATCACGGAGCGAGTGGTCAGTCTTGTAGTTCTGTCATCACGGAGCGAGTGGTCAGTCTTGTAGTTCTGTCATCACGGAGCGAGTGGTCAGTCTTGTAGTTCTGTCATCACGGAGCGAGTGGTCAGTCTTGTAGTTCTGTCATCACGGAGCGAGTGGTCAGTCTTGTAGTTCTGTCATCACGGAGCGAGTGGTCAGTCTTGTAGTTCTGTCATCACGGAGCGAGTGGTCAGTCTTGTAGTTCTGTCATCACGGAGCGAGTGGTCAGTCTTGTAGTTCTGTCATCACGGAGCGAGTGGTCAGTCTTGTAGTTCTGTCATCACGGAGCGAGTGGTCAGTCTTGTAGTTCTGTCATCACGGAGCGAGTGGTCAGTCTTGTAGTTCTGTCATCACGGAGCGAGTGGTCAGTCTTGTAGTTCTGTCATCACGGAGCGAGTGGTCAGTCTTTTGTAGTTCTGTCATCACGGAGCGAGTGGTCAGTCTTGTAGTTCTGTCATCACGGAGCGAGTGGTCAGTCTTGTAGTTCTGTCACCACGGAGCGAGTGGTCAGTCTTTTGTAGTTCTGTCATCACGGAGCGAGTGGTCAGTCTTGTAGTTCTGTCGTCACGGAGCGAGTGGTCAGTCTTGTAGTTCTGTCATCACGGAGCGAGTGGTCAGCCTGGTAGTTCTCTGTCATCACGGAGCGAGTGGTCAGTCTTGTAGTTCTCTGTCATCACGGAGCGAGTGGTCAGTCTTGTAGTTCTGTCATCACGGAGCGAGTGGTCAGTCTTGTAGTTCTGTCATCACGGAGCGAGTGGTCAGTCTTGTAGTTCTGTCATCACGGAGCGAGTGGTCAGTCTTGTAGTTCTGTCATCACGGAGCGAGTGGTCAGTCTTGTAGTTCTGTCATCACGGAGCGAGTGGTCAGTCTTGTAGTTCTGTCATCACGGAGCGAGTGGTCAGTCTTGTAGTTCTGTCATCACGGAGCGAGTGGTCAGTCTTGTAGTTCTGTCATCACGGAGCGAGTGGTCAGTCTTTTGTAGTTCTGTCATCACGGAGCGAGTGGTCAGTCTTGTAGTTCTGTCGTCACGGAGCGAGTGGTCAGTCTTGTAGTTCTGTCATCACGGAGCGAGTGGTCAGCCTGGTAGTTCTCTGTCATCACGGAGCGAGTGGTCAGTCTTGTAGTTCTCTGTCATCACGGAGCGAGTGGTCAGTCTTGTAGTTCTGTCATCACGGAGCGAGTGGTCAGTCTTTTGTAGTTCTGTCATCACGGAGCGAGTGGTCAGTCTTGTAGTTCTGTCGTCACGGAGCGAGTGGTCAGTCTTGTAGTTCTGTCATCACGGAGCGAGTGGTCAGCCTGGTAGTTCTCTGTCATCACGGAGCGAGTGGTCAGTCTTGTAGTTCTCTGTCATCACGGAGCGAGTGGTCAGTCTTGTAGTTCTGTCATCACGGAGCGAGTGGTCAGTCTTGTAGTTCTGTCATCACGGAGCGAGTGGTCAGTCTTGTAGTTCTGTCATCACGGAGCGAGTGGTCAGCCTGGTAGTTCTGTCATCACGGAGCGAGTGGTCAGTCTTGTAGTTCTCTGTCATCACGGAGCGAGTGGTCAGTCTTGTAGTTCTCTGTCATCACGGAGCGAGTGGTCAGTCTTGTAGTTCTCTGTCATCACGGAGCGAGTGGTCAGTCTTGTAGTTCTGTCATCACGGAGCGAGTGGTCAGCCTGGTAGTTCTCTGTCATCACGGAGCGAGTGGTCAGTCTTTTGTTCTCTGTCATCACGGAGCGAGTGGTCAGTCTTTTGTTCTCTGTCATCACGGAGCGAGTGGTCAGTCTTGTAGTTCTCTGTCATCACGGAGCGAGTGGTCAGTCTTGTAGTTCTCTGTCACAGTTACCAGCGCTAACAGATGCCAGTCTGCTTCATTGACGTCATATCTGCCTTTTTCTGGTTTAGTGATCCGTTAACTGTACAAAGACGCCATAACGACCAGTGTACACGACTTTATAACTATCTGTAATAGGACATCTACATTTACATTTTTCTTAACTCTTCCTAAAGTACAAAACAAAGTACATTTAACTTAACGTAACTGTCGGCTAATTGTGCTGGCTACGACCTTTTGTCATCCCCCTGTAATCTATCCTCAGACGGGCGCCAAACACCTCCAAACGCTGAGCGGGGTCCACCCTTTAGCCTACTGGCTCGGGACCTTCGCCTTCGATTTCCTGCTGTTTATGACGATAACGGCGACGATCCTCGGCATCCTGACCTTTAACCCCGAGAATTTCATCAGCCATAACCGCTGGCTGGCCACGGCCATCGTGTACACGGTGTATGGCCTGGCCATCCTGCCCTACCTGTACGTCTTCCAGAACTGCTTCAGTGAGCCTTCTCGCGGGGTGCTGGTGCTCTTGTTCATCAACATCTTCATAGGTCAGTTTGTACTGGGGGGGGGGGGGGGTCACAGTGGGCAGGGGAGGTGGGTGGGGGGTGCTCTTGTTCATCATCTTCATAGGTCAGTTTGTACTGGGGGTGGGGGGGGTGCTGGTGCTCTTGTTCATCAACATCTTCATAGGTCAGTTTGTACTGAGGGTGGGGGTCACAGTGGGCGGGGGAGGTGGGTGGGGGGTGCTCTTGTTCATCAACATCTTCATAGGTCAGTTTGTACTGGGGGTGGGGGGGTCACAGTAGGCGGGGGAGGTGGGTGGGGGGATGCTCTTGTTCATCAACATCTTCATAGGTCAGTTTGTACTGGGGGGGGGGGAGTCACAGTGGGCGGGGGAGGTGGGGGGTGCTCTTGTTCATCAACATCTTCATAGATCAGTTTGTACAGGGGGGGGGTCACAGTGGGCGGGGGAGGTGGGTGGGGGGTGCTCTTGTTCATCAACATCTTCATAGGTCAGTTTGTACTGGGGGTGGGGGGGGGGGTCACAGTGGGCGGGGGAGGTGGGTGGGGGGTGCTCTTGTTCATCAACATCTTCATAGGTCAGTTTGTACTGGGGGGGGGGGGGGTCACAGTAGGCGGGGGAGGTGGGTGGGGGGTGCTCTTGTTCATCAACATCTTCTTAGGTCAGTTTGTACTGGGGGGGGGGGAGTCACAGTGGGCGGGGGAGGTGGGTGGGGGGTGCTCTTGTTCATCAACATCTTCATAGGTCAGTTTGTACTGGGGGTGGGGGGGGGGGTCACAGTGGGCGGGGGAGGTGGGTGGGGGGTGCTCTTGTTCATCAACATCTTCATAGGTCAGTTTGTACTGGGGGGGGGGAGTCACAGTGGGCGGGGAAGTAAGGGGGTGCTCTTGTTCATCAACATCTTCATAGATCAGTTTGTACAGGGGTCACAGTGGGCGGGGCAGGTGGGTGGGGGCTGTTGGTGCTGTTTTTAATCAACATCTTCAGAGTTTTCATTGCAGTGACTTGTATAAAATAGTTTCTACCTCTCAAACAAGGAATGATACTTGGAACAGCTGTTGGTATTCTCAAACTAGCCAACATAAAGCTACCGAGCCTATTCAAATACTTGGACAAATCTTTGAGCATGTTGTCACCCAACTACCTCAACACCGGATCCTTTGTCACCATCATGATCAAGTTTGATGTCGACATCAACGGTAGGTAGGCCCCATGTTGTGTCATACGGTAGGTAGGCGCCATCTTGTATCATACGGTAGGTAGGCGCCATCTTGTGTCATACGGTAGGTAGGCGCCATCTTGTATCATACGGTAGGTAGGCGCCATCTTGTGTCATACGGTAGGTAGGCGCCATCTTGTGTCATACGGTAGGTAGGCGCCATCTTGTATCATACGGTAGGTAGGCGCCATCTTGTGTCATACGGTAGGTAGGCGCCATCTTGTGTCATACGGTAGGTAATCTGTCAGTCATACGGTAGGTAATCTGTCAGTCATACGGTAGGTAGGCGCCATCTTGTGTCATACGGTAGGTAGTGTGTCAGTCATACGGTAGTCACTTACAAGCCTTAACGTCATGTTGCACTAAAAATCTTTTAGAATCTACTTCACCTGCTGTGCCATTATTTTTTTCCTTAGGCGGCTTCGAGTACCAATTTCAGAAACAAAATGGCGTCCTAAAGACGAACGTGTATACACTGCTGGTACAGAGTGGCATATCGTGGTTGGTGTTGTTGATGGTGGACTCCAAACTACACCGTACACTTTGGTGAGTGGTATATCGTGGTTGGTCTAGCTGGTGAGTATAGAGTAGTATATCGTGACCTTAGTGACGCCACATGTTTGATCATGCTGTGGTGACCCTAGTGACGTCACATGTTTGATCATGCTGTGGTGACCCTTGTGACGCCACATGTTTGATCATGCTGTGGTGACCCTTGTGACGCCACATGTTTTTATGTTAGGTACCGACTGCAGCAGATTTCCGGCAGCAGTTTTACCTGTCGAGATGTGGAGAGGGGTGGGCACATACAGGTGGACGATGACGTCACGAAGGAAGTCCAGCGCATAACAGAGACTGACACGTCGACTTTGTGCAAAAGTGGTAAAATGTGTTAATGTAACAGTGTGTACACGTTTTATAAAAAAAAAATCTGAGGATTTTTTGGTTAAAATTATGTACATCTTTTTGTAAAATCGTATGCTAACATTTTTTATATGTGTAATTATTTGATATGTAAAAATGTTGCCATGATTTGGAGGGGGGGGGGGTGCCGCAGATTACCTGGACTGGTGTTGGGGAGGGGGGGGGGTCGGTACATTAACTGGGCTGGTGTCCGGTGTCACACTAACACGAACACATACAAACTCTAACACTAGTCACTAGCAGTCTAACACACGAACACATTGCTTGTTGCTATATCTTACCTGTTGGTTCACTGTCTCGTTGAGTTAGGTGAAACAAATATCGAACAAGAACACATTAATTCAACTCAGGTTGCAGTTGGGGCCAAGGAATGTATATTTAGATCATCTGGAACCAACGAACTGATACACATTTCATTACGACAAACACAATCTTCCCACCACACAACTCTCGTGAACTCATCTGTCTCGCACACTTCCGTTTCTTACACACTTTCCAGGGGAGGCCACTCTTACTGCTTACACATTGTTTACATTTATAAACGATCATCATCACAACACGAACACACACACGAACGCTAACGTTAAAAGTTTTAAAACTCATCGATCTTGTCCTGCAGTGCTGCTATAATTCCACTCCACTTAGTGTTTCTTCCAGACTTTTTTCTCCGGGGGGGGGGAGGGGGGGGGGAGGGGGGGGGGGGCACTCGAAATTTTCGGGGGGGGGAGGGGGGGGGGCGGGCGGTAGACTTTCTTCGGGGGAGGGGGCGGACACTGTTGAAAGTATATATTTTCTATATAAATTATATAAATTTCATTTCGTTTGGGGGGGGGGGGGGGAAGGGGGGGGGGCGATAAAAAATTTCGACCCCCCCCCCCGAAGAGATGCCTGGAAGAAACTCTGACTCCACTCCACCACCAAATCCACCACCAAATCCACGACTAAATCCACCGTCCTCCCCTCCACTCCACCACCAAATCCACGACTAAATCCACCGTCCTCCCCTCCACTCCACCACCAAATCCACGACTAAATCCACCGTCCTCCCCTCCACCAGACGCCGTCCTGCTGGTCAACTTGAAGAAGTCCTACTACACCCGCGGACACTGCAGTGTGGCGGTCAGCTCGATGTGTCTGGGGATAGCTGAGAGGGAATGTCTGGGTCTGCTCGGGCAGAACGGCGCCGGCAAGTCCACCATCTTCAAGATACTGACCGGTCAGGTGCCGGTCACCGCCGGGGATGCATACATCAAGGGCAACAGCGTCAAAACTCGGCTCAAAACTGTAGGTCAAGGTCCTTTATGTTTCAGGTCCAGTCTATGATGAGTTACTGCCCTTAATGTTACAGGTCTAGTCTATGATGAGTTACTGCCCTTAATGTTACAGGTCCAGTCTATGATGAGTTACTGCCCTTAATGTTACAGGTCCAGTCTATGATGAGTTACTGCCCTTAATGTTACAGGTCCAGTCTATGATGAGTTACTGCCCTTAATGTTACAGGTCCAGTCTATGATGAGTTACTGCCCTTAATGTTACAGGTCTAGTCTATGATGAGTTACTGCCCTTAATGTTACAGGTCCAGTCTATGATGAGTTACTGCCCTTAATGTTACAGGTCCAGACTATGATGAGTTACTGCCCTTAATGTTACAGGTCCAGTCTATGATGAGTTACTGCCCTTAATGTTACAGGTCCAGTCTATGATGAGTTACTGCCCTTAATGTTACAGGTCCAGTCTATGATGAGTTACTGCCCTTAATGTTTCAGGTCCAGTCTATGATGTGTTACTGCCCTTAATGTTGCAGGTCCAGTCTATGATGAGTTACTGCCCTTAATGTTACAGGTCCAGTCTATGATGAGTTACTGCCCTTAATGTTACAGGTCTAGTCTATGATGAGTTACTGCCCTTAATGTTACAGGTCCAGTCTATGATGAGTTACTGCCCTTAATGTTACAGGTCCAGTCTATGATGAGTTACTGCCCCCAGTTTGACGCCCTCCATGACGTGTTGACAGGACGAGAGACCCTGTACCTGTATGGCAGGTTGAGGGGGGTGCAGGAGGGCAGCCTGCGTGAGGTGACGAACATGATCATCGACTTCATCACGCTACATCCACACGAAGACAACTACACACGGACATACAGGTATTCAAACAGTGAGACATTCATATTTCTAACCTTTGTTTACAAGTTAAAAAAATATATATATAAATGGATGCCTGCAAGCTGAACATATCTGACAGTGGCGGCAACAAGAGGAAGCTGTCTGTTGGTATAGCAATCATCGGCAACCCCCACTTCATCATGTTGGACGAGCCGACAGCTGGTCTGGATCCGGTGTCCAGGAGAAGTCTCTGGCGGTGTCTGCATATGGTTAGATCCATGGGGAGAACGTTGGTGCTGTCGTCACACAGGTAGGCACCTGATTAGGTCTGGGGTGTAGGTGGGGGGGGGGGGGGAGAACGTTGGTGCTGTCGTCACACAGATAGGCACCTGATTAGGTCTGGGGTGTAGGTGGGGGGGGGGGAGAACGTTGGTGCTGTCGTCACAGAGGTAGGCACCTGATTTGGTCTGGGATGTAGGTGGGGGGGGGGGGGGGGAGAACGTTGGTGCTGTCGTCACACAGGTAGGCACCTGATTAGGTCTGGGGTGTAGGTGGGGGGGGGGGGAGGAGATCGCTGTTGTTGTCGTATACAAAGGAATCCTGAATGTAATGTAGGAATGGGTCGACAGTTGTAGTATTGAGCCATAATGTGTTGTATGGTGTGACGTATTCACGTGATGCACCTGGGGAGCAAAGGGCTACAACCACACCTCACCTGGGGAGCAAAGGGCTACAACCACACCTCACCTGGGGAGCAAAGGGCTACAACCACACCTCACCTGGGGAGCAAAGGGCTTAACCACACCTCACCTGGGGAGCAAAGGGCTTAACCACACCTCACCTCTGAACACCCTTCTACAGTTGAGCCCACGTAAGCACTGCAGCCCTTGCTTCTCTTTCCACTTACCTTCTCCGGGATTGCTCTTGTTGGCCTACTAAGTTGACCCCCTCCCTTCTCAGGGTGTGCCCGGTCATTACCACTATGTCTAGTGAGGGAGGTCATGCTACATATAAACGATGGTGTGTGATTGGCCTTACAATTGTTATGTTACGGAATATGCGATGTGTTGTAGGGACAAAATGGTACATAGTAGTTATTGTTATATGGACACATTTCATTAGGTTATGTCCACTTGTGTTAAATACTTGCCTTATAAATAACGTATATATATATATATATATATATATATATATATATATATATATATATATATATATATATATATATATATATATATATATATATATATATATATATATATATATATATATATATATATAACGATTTCAAGAACATATATGTTGTGATATATTATATATTTTTAAAATTGTAAGCATAGAGCGACACTAGGCCAATAGCTAGATTAACGAACGACCATCGTGACATTATACAAAGCACACCCCTCCCCCTCCCCCCCCATCTGTTATGTCTCTCTCAGCATGGAGGAATGCGAAGCTCTGTGTACAAAGATAGCCATCATCAAGCAGGGGCGGCTACTGTGTCTGGGCAGCCAGCAGTATCTGAAGAACAAATACGACCAAGGCTACTCCGTCGTCCTTCACGCGTCCACAGGGGCTGACGGAAAACCTACAGACCTGGACACTGCTATCACATCTCTCGACCAACATTTCGATAACATCAAGGTATACGGGGGTTGGGGTTGATCAAGGTATACGGGGATTGGTGATGAACATCAAGGTATACGGGGATTGGGGTTGATCAAGGTATACGGGGATTGGGGTTGATCAAGGTATACGGGGATTGGGGTTGATCAAAGTATACGGGGATTGGGGTTGATCAAGGTATACGGGGATTGGGGTTGATCAAGGTATACGGGGATTGGTGTTGATCAAGGTATACGGGGATTGGGGTTGATCAAGGTATACGGGGATTGGTGATGAACATCAAGGTATACGGGGATTGGGGTTGATCAAGGTATACGGGGATTGGGGTTGATCAAGGTATACGGGGATTGGGGTTGATCAAAGTATACGGGGATTGGGGTTGATCAAGGTATACGGGGATTGGGGTTGATCAAGGTATACGGGGATTGGTGTTGATCAAGGTATACGGGGATTGGGGTTGATCAAGGTATACGGGGATTGGGGTTGATCAAGGTATACGGGGATTGGGGTTGATCAAGGTATACGGGGATTGGGGTTGATCAAGGTATACGGGGATTGGGGTTGATCAAGGTATACGGGGATTGGGGTTGATCAAGGTATACGGGGACTGGGGTTGATCAAAGTATACGGGGATTGGGGTTGATCAAAGTATACGGGGATTGGGGTTGATCAAGGTATACGGGGATTGGGGTTGATCAAGGTATACGGGGATTGGTGTTGATCAAGGTATACGGGGATTGGGGTTGATCAAGGTATACGGGGATTGCGGTTGATCAAAGTATACGGGGATTGGGGTTGATCAAAGTATACGGGGATTGGGGTTGATCAAGGTATACGGGGATTGGGGTTGATCAAGGTATACGGGGATTGCGGTTGATCAAGGTATACGGGGATTGCGGTTGATCAAGGTATACGGGGATTGCGGTTGATCAAGGTATACGGGGATTGCGGTTGATCAAGGTATACTGGGAACGGGGATTGGGGTTGAACATCAAGGTATAGGGGGATTGGTGATGAAAATCTAAATATTTACGTGATTGTCTGATAGAAAACCGTGTCAGTTTTGGAATCAACACACAATCTGTTTGATGAAAATATGGTATACAAGTATAAAGTTCTCACGGTTTGTGACTGGAATAATGTACCATTTCCGGCACAGGAAATCGCGCAAAAACTGAAAGAAATGGGATGAAATTTATGTGATTTTTTTTAGTAAAGTAATTCTCAAATTACTGGGTTTACTCACATACACAGACACACACCACAGATGATGTGTTCATTAACATATAGACACACAGACACACAGACACACATATCACAGATAATGTTGGTGTTCACCTACTCAGATCTCTGTATAAAATGTCAAGATTTGTGAGTTTCTCGATTTCGATTATTCCACAATTATAATACCACTTCCAGTACTCCGTAGAATGGAAAGTCAAGACGGACATTGTGACCCAAACCTTAGCTTTGTCCATATCACCTATGTTTTCTGTCACCTGACATTTGTCCATATCACCTGTGACCGTACCCTGTTCAACCCCCCACCCCCTACTCGCAGATGTTTGACAAGCAGGCCTACCCCCACCCCCACCCCCTACCCGCAGATGTTTGACAAGCAGGCCTACCCCCACCCCCACCCCCTACCCCCCACCCCCAACCCCCCCCTACCCGCAGGTGTTTGACAAGCAGGCCTACCCCCACCCCATACCCCCCAGCCCCCTACCCCCCCTACCCGCAGGTGTTTGACAAGCAGGCCTACCCCCACCCCCACCCCCCTACCCGCAGGTGTTTGACAAGCAGGCCTACCCCCACCCCCCTACCCGCAGGTGTTTGACAAGCAGGCCTACCCCCACCCACACCCCCTACCCTCAGGTGTTTGACAAGCAGGCCTACCCTACCCCCACCCCCTACCCGCAGGTATTTGACAAGCAGGCCTACCCCCACCCCCTACCCGCAGGTGTTTGACAAGCAGGCCTACCCCCACCCCCACCCCCTACCCGCAGGTGTTTGACAAGCAGGCCTACCCCCACCCCCACCCCCCCTACCCGCAGGTATTTGACAAGCAGGCCTACCCCCACCCCCACCCCCTACCCGCAGGCGTTTGACAAGCAGGCCTACCCCCACCCCCTACCCCCCAGCCCCCCACCCCCCTACCCGCAGGTATTTGACAAGCAGGCCTACCCCACCCCCACCCCCTACCCGCAGGTGTTTGACAAGCAGGCCTACCCCCACCCCCACCCCCCTACCCGCAGGTATTTGACAAGCAGGCCTACCCCCACCCCCTACCCCCACCCCCACCCCCTACCCGCAGGTGTTTGACAAGCAGGCCTACCCCCACCCCACCCCCCTACCCGCAGGTGTTTGACAAGCAGGCCTACCCCCACCCCCACCCCCTACCCGCAGGTATTTGACAAGCAGGCCTACCCCCACCCCCTACCCGCAGGTGTTTGACAAGCAGGCCTACCCCCACCCCCACCCCCTACCCGCAGGTATTTGACAAGCAGGCCTACTACTGCCATCTCCTGGTGCCAGAGTCCACCCGGCTGTCAGAGCTGTTCCAAGTGTTGGTGGAAGTCAAGTCATCCTGTGACTTAAGTCACTTCACGGTGCAACAGACGTCCCTGGAGCAAGTCTTCTTAAAGTTCATGAAGGAATAATTCACTTGCTGTTTGTGTGTCGTGTTTGTGGATGTGTATGTGTGTGTGTTTTATATAGCGTGGAGCCCTTAGTTTACGTGCGTGTGTGAGTGTGTTAAAATATGTGTGGGTTGGTGTGTTTGTATGTTTAACGCTTGAAACATGTTATAAATTAAACTGACAAAAACAGCTGTATATGTGTTTGTTCTAACTTTTTGTTTTAACTTTATCTATTTGGATTCTAGACCTAGATCTAGATCTAGAGATTCTAGATTCTAGATCTAGATTTACGCAAAAACTAGACGCAGACGCTAGATCTAGATTATAGATCTAGATTCTAGATTTAGACTATCTACTTTAGAATCTATTCCAATAATAAATTTGTATATTAAACAATTCAGGCCTTAATTAATTTATAGAGATATTTGTTTGCTTAGCTATAGAATTGGCTAATTTGGGCTAAAAATTTTGAAAGAATAGGCCTATTCGCGTAAGTTAAGTTTATTTATTACACCTTTTATTCTTCGTTCATTATAACGTGCCTAAATAGCTGCGATGATAGTGTACTAGAAACCATGTGGGTGGTACGGGTTGAGACACAATAACTCAGGTTTTTTTTCAATCTGTTTTTTATATGTGAATCTTCCGATTTTAGAAAATAAAGAAATGAATAATTTTATTCAAATTTGATTTAGATCTTAATATATAGATCTTCTTATCAAGACATACGCTATGAAATACATACAATTTTATGGGTCAAACAAATAACATAATGACCATTAAATAGCCAGGTTTTTAACGGAATCATTTAAGTCTTTTAATCAGTGTATGCATTTAATATGGTGATATGTTGAATAATAATGTATATAATTGGGTTTTAATTTTTCGAATACGTATTGGTAGCCTATGATAATTTTAAATGTGTCGGATTTTTAGCTATTTAGTTATATCTTTGCATGACCACTAATATTGTTCAACGTGTAGTAAAACAAATTGCGTTTTGACCAATAACTATTTTATAAAATATTAGGATACTGGTAGCCTTTGTTTATTTAAATGTGCCGGATTTTTAGCTATTTAGTTATTTCTTTGTTTTCCAAATATGTATAACATTAAACATATATAGGCTTATAATTCACGTGTAACGGGTACCGATGGCTAGTCAACTAGATTTCCCTTTTCCCTACTGTAACACTCTATGTTGGGGTCGCAAGCACTAGATCATACTAGATGTTGTTGTGAGTTCTTCTTTCTTCAAAGATAGACAATGTTGTTTCATTTTACAACGGTATTTACAATAATAAGATCCATTAAAAATATGCTTCATTCAGTAATCAAACATCCAACGTGAATACACAGGATAGAGTCACAGTAATAGTACTGGACACATTTCAAGTCTAGGTGGTCCCCGCACTTTATAGCACTGTGTTACATAAAACACATCCCACTTTATAGCACCGTGTTACATATAACACATCTCACTTATAGCACCGTGTTACATATAACACATCTCACTTATAGCACTGTGTTACATAAAACACACCTCACTTATAGCACTGTGTTACATAAAACACACCTCACTTTACAGCACTGTGTTACATAAAACACACCTCACTTTACAGCACTGTGTTACATAAAACACACCTCACTTATAGCACTGTGTTACATAAAACACACCTCACTTTACAGCACTGTGTTAACAAACAATTATCGGAGTTTCCCTATGGTGTCTGCACCGCGAGAAATTAGCGGATGTGACGTGTTGCATAAAAGAACGCCGGTAAAATAATCAATACAGATATTTTGATTTACACCTCCTACTTTCATATTTTTAAAGAAGGAGGATTACGAAGAAGTTTCTAGCAAGTGAATCGTTAAACAGGCCGTTGGTGGCGTCCAGCCATTATGCCCAACCAAAGATCTCTACAGCAGTTCTCGGCATTGTTATGGAAGAACTGGAAAATAAAGTACCGCTCCAAGGGGAGCATTTTCTTTGAGTTAGGTAGATAAGTCAGAACATAGGCCAGTTTGACAGTGTTAGGTAGATAAGTCAGAACATAGGCCAGTTTGACAGTGGTAGGTAGATAAGTCAGAACATAGGCCAGTTTGACAGTGTTAAATAGATAAGTCAGAACATAGGCCAGTTTGACAGTGTTAAATAGATAAGTCAGAACATAGGCCAGTTTGACAGTGTTAGGTAGATAAGTCAGAACATAGGCCAGTTTGACAGTGTTAAATAGATAAGTCAGAACATAGGCCAGTTTGACAGTGTTAAGTAGATAAGTCAGAACATAGGCCAGTTTGACAGTGTTAAGTAGATAAGTCAGAACATAGGCCAGTTTGACAGTGTTAGGTAGATAAGTCAGAACATAGGCCAGTTTGACAGCGTTACATAGATCAATTTTTAAAGTCATTACATAAGTCGCATTTTTAACAAATTAAGTCAGCGTTACAATGGCTAGATCTACATAAGCTAGCGTTACAGTGGCTACATAAATAAGCCTAACATTGGCCACATAAGTCAGCCTTATAAAGGCTACATAAGTCAGCCTTACAGTTGCTACATAAGTCAGCCTTATAGTGGCTACATAAGTCAGCCTTATAGTGGCTACATAAGTCAGCCTTACAGTTGCTACATAAGTCAGCCTTATAGTGGCTACATAAGTCAGCCTTATAGTGGCTACATAAGTCATCGTTGCAGTGGCTACATAAGTCAGCCTTATAGTGGCTACATAAGTCAGCCTTACAGTTGCTACATAAGTCAGCCTAATAGTGGCTACATAAGTCAGCCTTACAGTGGCTACATAAGTCAGCCTAATAGTGGCTACATAAGTCAGCCTTACAGTGGCTACATAAGTCAGCCTTACAGTGGCTACATAATTCATCGTTACAGTGGCTACATAAGTCAGCCTAATAGTGGCTACATAAGTCAGCCTTACAGTGGCTACATAATTCATCGTTACAGTGGCTACATAAGTCAGCCTTACAGTGGCTACATAAGTCAGCCTTATAGTGGCTACATAATTCATCGTTACAGTGGCTACATAAGTCAGCCTTACAGTGGCTACATAAGTCAGCCTTACAGTGGCTACATAAGTCAGCCTTACAGTGGCTACATAATTCATCGTTACAGTGGCTACATAAGTCAGCCTTACAGTGGCTACATAAGTCAGCCTTACAGTGGCTACATAAGTCAGCCTTATAGTGGCTACATGAGTTAGCCTTATAGTGGCTACATAAGTCAGCCTAATAGTGGCTACATAAGTCAGCCTTACAGTTGCTACATAAGTCAGCCTTATAGTGGCTACATGAGTTAGCCTTATAGTGGCTACATAAGTCAGCCTAATAGTGGCTACATAAGTCAGCCTTACAGTGGCTACATAAGTCAGCCTTACAGTGGCTACATAATTCATCGTTACAGTGGCTACATAAGTCAGCCTAATAGTGGCTACATAAGTCAGCCTTACAGTGGCTACATAAGTCAGCCTTACAGTGGCTACATAATTCATCGTTACAGTGGCTACATAAGTCAGCCTTATAGTGGCTACATAAGTCAGCCTTATAAAGGCTACATAAGTCAGCCTTACAGTGGCTACATAAGTCAGCCTTATAAAGGCTACATAAGTCAGCCTTATAAAGGCTACATAAGTCAGCCTTATAAAGGCTACATAAGTCAGCCTTACAGTGGCTACATAAGTCAGCCTTATAAAGGCTACATAAGTCAGCCTTATAAAGGCTACATAAGTCAGCCTTATAAAGGCTACATAAGTTGACGGTATTGGTAATTCCCACCATAGCGTCGGTTATTATTCCGAAACGGTATAGCAGTTTAAAAAATGGTAAACAATGGCGTTGTCTGTTACGCCGTTCCGGAATCCACCGGGGGAGTACTGTAAGCCAAACCTTTTTTGGTGTCAGTATTTATTTTAATACAGAATGTTTGAAAATTTGGATAGATTGATTTTTTGCATGTGAAATACTGTTTTACTAGATCCAGAATTTCTAGATCATATTCTAAATTGATTGTCGCAAATCATCCGCAAGTTTTTATTTCTGTGTTTAAAAAAAAATCATTAAACTAATCTCTACACTTGACATTATGATTTATATTTAGAATCTAGAACAAAAATGTATTTCTGTTAACTTGTGTTGAACTTAAAATTACGTTTACACATTAGTTGAATACATCGACTTTATTATATTTCAACGGTAAAACAACATGGTTGAAATTAAACCAACATTGCCGGATAATTTCCGACGCTCTACTCGGGATTTCCAGGTATAGTATTTATAATCGCTGTCTCCCTGGGTATTTATAGTCGCTGTTTCCCTGGGTTTTCCTGGGTATTTATAGTCGCTGTTTCCCTGGGTTTTCCTGTGTATTTATAGTCGCTGTTTCCTGGGTATTTTTAGTCGCTGTTTTCCTGGGTTTTCCTGGGTATTTATAGTCGCTGTTTTCCTGGGTTTTCCTGGGTATTTATAGTCGCTGTTTTCCTGGGTTTTCCTGGGTATTTATAGTCGCTGTTTTCCTGGGTTTTCCTGGGTATTTATAGTCGCTGTTTTCCTGGGTTTTCCTGGGTATTTATAGTCGCTGTTTCCCTGTGTGTTTATAAGCTTTCGTTTTAACTCACGTGCCAAGTTCGCTGATATAATCTAACAAACAATTTTTTTTTTTAGTTGTTTGCTACTGCCACTGACAAATCTTTGTACACATCACGTGACACACTTGTATTGCTTACACCAGATGAGTCTAACACTTAGCGTCCCTGTATTTCAGTGTTCCCGTTGTTGATAGCCAGTATGGTCATGTACGTTCAATCCAAGGGGAAGACTGTGATCGAGAAACCCGCAGTTCGATTTGAGCAAGAGTGGACTTTCTTCCTGTACGAAGATTTTCAGCTGGTCTTGTTTTACACGCCGGTCTCCCGAGCATTGGAGCAGATGTTGAAAGTGGACGAGGGAAGAACATGTAGGTCTAACAGGCTGTCGTTACAGCCCTGTGGCAGGTACACATTCACCCT